TTGCAGTTGCTCCTCTTTATCAGCACATTTTGTTGTAGTTTTAGCATGCACCTTTTTGGTCTTGGAAGGTGTTTTCTCTCTTGGTGGATTCATATTTAATTTGAGTATAGAGTTATGCTATTTTAGACTAGAACCTGCGTGATCTTAATCAAACAGCGAACCGGCACGGCGAAGTCTTATAAAAACTTCCCGAAGATTTGAGAGTGCCATTGAGAAATCACTACCATGAGCCAAAACATCATCAAGAAAATTGAAACACCCGTTCCACAGGAGATCACCAAGGATATTGTCCATCATCCGTTCGAATGTCGCGGGAGCATTCGCTAAATCGAATGGCATCACTACAAAGTGAAAATGTCCACGGCCTGGGATGCTGAATGCTGTCTTTTCGCGGTCTGCAGGGTCAACCTCCACTTGCCAATATCCGCTTGCGAGATCAAGAGTTGAGAACCATTGGGCTCCGTTTAAGGACTCAATGATATCCTCAATACGCGGCAAGGGATATGCGTCCTTGTATGTGACGTCATTAAGCAATCTAAAATCCACGCAAAATCTGGTAGAACCATCCTTTTTGGGAACTAGGACAATGGGAGAAGAATATGGGGAATCGCTGGGTTCTATGACACCCTGAGCCAGCATATTATCAACAGCTTTTTCGGCTATCTTCCTACGCGCCCACCCCATTCGACGAGGAGCTTGCCGAATCGGCTGTGGTGTGGTTGTGATGATCCTATGCTTTGCTACTGAAGTACGGCCAAGTTCACCATTTGGCCCTACAAATACATCATGGAATTCGGAAATCAAATTGACCAACTGTTCACGTTGATTCGGGGTTAGATCCTCAGAGGAATTGACCATGTCATGTAGATGTTCTGGTAATTCAGAAGCTATAACCCGAATATCGGATTCGTCAACTTGAATCTGTGCTACTAGTTGAGGGTGTGCAATACCAAGCAAAGTTTCAGCCCTGATCTTAAGTTGTCTGCCTTTCTGGTTGATCGCTAGAATCGGAACAGTAGACTTTCCAGGATCCACCACAGAAGAAATCAGCTGAACGCCATCAGCGAGGAAAGAAAAATTCAGCGGTTCAACAAGAGCAGCAACATCAGACAAGATGTTTTTCGGCCATGGATGACTAAGTTGTGCAGGGATAACAACCTTAGAATATGGCGGTATCGTAACATCTTCCCGAACGGTTACACGACAACACGGTACAGACTTTTCAGTAAACAGTTTGATTTCATGACCCCCTATCATCATGTGTCCCGATGATAAGTAAAGAACACAGTCATGTTCTCGGAGATAATCCATGCCTAAAATACCATTAGTCATGCCTAAGTTGGCAACAATCACAGTGCGTCGTGATACAAACAAATCAATCGATAAATCAACCTCCAATGTACCCAGTGGTGATAAATCATGCCCTCCCACTGCAACAAGAGATTCTCCGAGCGGTGCCAATTGTGCTTCCTTCCCACCTATAGCCTCAAAGATGGAAATGTCAATAAGAGTAGTCATAGCACCACTATCTACAAGAAAATTGAACGGTTGATTGTTTACAAGTACCTTCGCATGCCAACTATTGTCATATTGAATGGAACAAATATTCAGGTCTATATTCTGGTTTGTTGGTCCGTCATCAAGTAATAATTCAGCGGGCACTGAGGACCTCAAGTCCGCTGAGTGTCGTTTAAATTTGCGGTCGAAGAAGAAGCAGATGTTGCAGGATCAACAGGATTCTGGAGATGTGGACAATCCCGTTTAAGATGACCAGTCTGCTTGCAATTAAAACATGCTTTGCAATCCCTACCCCAATGACCATGTTTACCACATCGAGGACACGGGTTGCGTGGTGTACCAGCAAAGTTGCGATTGTTGTTAGAGCGTGGCGCCACATGTCCTAGTATCTCATCCAGTTTTGCTAAAATGCGCTCGCCAATACTGCCTTCGAAAGATAAGTCGTTTTGCTGGTTAGCTGCATTACCAGGATTACTCTGTTTCACTGCCGCAATACGCGGTTTGGAAACGTCTTTCCTCTCAGAGTGGTTAGTATCGACAGAGTAATACAGTGTTGCAAGAGACAAAGCACTTTCAAAATTATCAGGCTGTTGCATGGTAACATGTTTGATCATGCTTTCATCGGTTAAACCGGCGAGAAACTGCGATTTCAAAATATCATCCTGACCAGCAATATCAAGATTTGGGTAAGCCAGAATAACGAGCTCTTTCAACTTGTTACCATAATCCCGTGGCGCTTCATTTGGCTTAATCCTACGACAGTGAAATGTAGTACGGTATGAACTCTCATTTCCGGCAGGTTTAAAGAAATGAATAAAATGAGCCACAATATCACGATAGCTAGTACGTTTCATTTCGGGTAAATCTTTCAACACATTAAGAGCCTGCCCTGTCATGCAAGTAGCCAATTCTAACCCTGCAGTGTCATCATTCCACTGATTATAACTAGAAACCAATTGAAAATGGCATAAATAACTAGGCCACGCCATGACAGTGGACCCATCGAAATACATCGGCTTTTTGGCATTTCTTGTCATCATCGTAGCATTAGCTGTGCTATTGAGAACACTACGATTAACACTGGCATTCAGGACACTGCTAGCGCTCACTGGAGGAGCTGATTGTGTAGCCACTGAAACCATTTTTGGATTAGCCCTGGGTTGTTTTTTGACAGTATTAGAGCCCTCTTTACCATTAGTACTCAGAAAAGGGACCACAGGTACAAAATTACTCACATGAGCTTCCTCCGAAAATTTTACTTCCATTGTCTGTGAGAATGCGTTCCGCTTTCCTTCTGGCTGTCCATCTTCAGACCCAAAATCTGAAATTTCATCATCCTTGAGAATAGGTAGTAATTTAGGAACAACCGCTGCTGGTGTTGAAGTGATCAGACTGACATCTGGTTCATGTGACATGGGCTGGGTTTCCTCGGGATCAGCAACTTTTCCTGTTTCTATCTTGCCAGAAATATCTTGCAGCATGCTGAAAATTTGTGAGCCCATTTTTGAATTCTGGAGTTCAACCGATTCCAGCTGAGTTCCAATCTGTTCTATACGACTGTCCATCAGCTGCAAACGGCTGTCCATATCCTCTTGCATTTCCTCGGAATCTTTAAGTTTCGCTTTCAATACCTGTATTTGCAGATGCAAAAGTTCATTCTCCTTTGCTTCCTTTGGTGCCGGTACAATCTTTCTTCTCTTAACCATTTTTCCAAAATATCAGGCAAACGCAGTAGTAAAAAAAATATCGGCAATTATCTGTCCAATATTATCCAAATATTATCCGTCACAGACTAGCCTACCTAATCGGCTTAGTCTTAATAGTCCCTGTTTCGAATAATATATCCTGGCGTGCTCGCCAAAAATTCGTATATGTGGCGTACCAAAATTGATATCACCACTCAGGTTCTTTCTGCCAGCTTCTTGGACGTTGTAATTGCTATAGATGTCGATCACAAAGTAATCTTCTTGCGGTTCCAAATACAGCAGAGTAACCAAGTTAACTAACTAGATTAATTATACACCTGTGAGAACTTAATACAACCAAATACTCCAATAAGAAATACAATAAACAAATAAAAACATGAAAAACACAGTACAAATACCGTACGATACATACGAAACACAAGATACGGAATTGGTCTATGACGTCACAGTCATGAACTATTTACTTATAATGGGATACTAAAAACCGGGTAAAACATACCTAGATATACAAGAATAACTAGTATGACACTAAAGATACAACACAAATCCTATCTTATCGACAAACACGTAATAGACATTGAAATACGCATAGAAATACGGAAATCACACAGGAAATAAACTGCGAAGATAGACTAGTTACGGAAGTGTTAAATACAAGCTAACTAGTGAACAGAGCTATGCCAAACTGGAGAAATAGTAAACCTGTACTACTAATATCATTTTACAACAAGAATTACATAGATTTACGGCATTAAAACACTATAATAATAACCTAATACACAGAGGAAATATCTACACTGCCGGCAGTCTGACAAACCAGCAGAAAGAGAATGTTACACAGCTGCTCACTAGTGACTCAAGTGGTAAGAATAAATATGGGCGAACAGTATAAAACAGGGTTATAGACGTGGTCGTCTCACAAGGTATATAATTACACAATAACACAACAAACAGTGTGTCGTTCTATTCTAAAACAAGGAAAATTGACAAAACTTCAGTTTCAGAAATTGCTTCGAAATATGGCACAAGTTACAGAATGTGCAATTTCAGGTTGATTTTGGTCTGCAAGACAAACATATCTTTTAGTATATGAAAGAATTATTGCATGTGGACTAGATCAGAATTGGAAATGGTTTACTTTTCCTCTATAATTAATATTGATAATAGTGAATCTTATACTGCACAATTTACACACAGCTTTTTTGTTCGTTTATTGTTTGTGTATACTGATAATGCAGAAACCATGATGACCGCGTTTGATGAACGGTTAAATACCGATATAGAAATTCATTGATCTGGTTGGAATGAGGACAGGTTATCAACACGAATTACCGACAGCTTCAGTAGAGGCGTGATTTTTGAAATTCATTGATCTGGTTGTAATGAGGACAGTTTATCAACACGAATTACCGACATCTTCAGTAGAGGCGTGATTTTTGAACTGGACCAGTACATGTGTCAACTTTCATTTATCGAAACGTATTACAATACACGTCAAAGACGTGGCTCACAGCTCCCGTTTTCAATACCAACAAAATCTGCAACACGGGAATTGCGATCATATTACCGACGTTTCAATGCCCATTTGAAAAATTACTCACATTACTGTAATGAAGATGATGAAGGATTCCGTTTTCTAAGTCTGTTGTTCCAATTGTTATTTCATTGGCTATTGCTATTGGCGACCTGTACATTTTTCATTCCCCAGTAGGAAAGTTCCCTCAACCCCACATTGCCCCAAGCATAGTCCAATAATCCGAATAAGGTCAGCACAGGTGTAATGTTGCAATACATTCGTATATTTCAAAGAGAAAGAGAGAGAAAAACACGGTACAGTGCAATAAATTAGTAAAATTCAAAATAAAAAGGTATAATTGGAGGCCCACACTCCGTGAGAGAATTAGCCCTTTACTATCAAAGAACACTTTGATCACACGAGTTACCAAACTACTTAAACTTAACGACGTTTAGTTAGGTCCAGCGAGCTTGTATACTGCGTATCGAATGCTAAGGGGAGCGAACACAAACATTTTTATGAAATTGTGCTTGCCGATGGCGTTTTAATTTTGCCCCAAACAAATGTGCCCAATAACTCCATTGAACTTTCAAACTGAATTTCATAAATATCATGGCAGAAATGCCCAAATGTCAATACTTAGGTGAATTAATCTGGTATATATATATATATTTACATTGATCAACTGCAGAAAGAAATTCATTTAGGCCAATGGCGACGACTCGTAACAATCAATCATCGTTTCATATTAAAATAGTAATATATCTCATTTTGCAGCAGCACTTGCAGCAAATGCAAAAATCCCAGCTAGAAATATGGAGCCACAACTGCCCCAAGACATATAATAGCTGTATCCAAAATCTTCCAGTCCTAGGGCTGCAGCAAAATTATTTGGTTTCCGTAGTACGGTGTAGGTGGTTGATCCAGCAGCTATGAGTATTCCTGTATAAAATTAATATCAATGTTTAATTGCTGAACCTTAAAAAAAACAGCATTATAACTATGTGAAGGTAATCCCAATAGAAATATTAGTTCGATTTTAACCGCGATGAATGTTATTGGACTATTGTTCATTAGAGAGTTGTATGAATCGAGTAGTCTAAGCCTAAGGGTATTATATAGTACATTGTTGTACAATTACAATCTGTACATTGTTGCCTCACTTCACCAGAAAACGTGATAATGACCGAATATAACAGTATCAGATTTCAGAAGACTGTTTCCGCTCAAGTCGATTTTGTATTCGTTACAAATCTTAGCAACGCTCGTGGTACTCCAATTTATGGGTATAACCTAAACTGCTGTGTTTCGTTCTATGTTTGCTTTTATTTCATTTTAATAATTGATCAGAAAAACAACAAAGACTAGTACTAGTCTTTATAGATACGTACCTGCGATTACCAAAAGCGCTCCAGCTGCCAATACTTTTCTTTTATTTGTCCTTAGAATATCAACAAACAGCAGGAGAACGGCCGGGATACTCAAGAATAATCCTATACATATCAAGCAGGCAACGACCATAACAATGATATCGTCTCCTGCAATGATTAGAGAAGGATATTATATAAGCTACAGCAATATGCTGTGGGATTACTACGATTGGGTTAGTATAATGTCATATACTTTACTACAAAACAAATGCTATGAGATATACAAGCTCTCTAGATGAATAATTTTCGTACCTTTTTCAGGCATAGATAAAAAAGGAGAGTGTTTTATGTAAGAATTAAGTATAGAATTTTCCTGGTTATCACTGAAAAGAGGAGATGCGATAAGAAAGATCAGTTTTATGCGAGAAAAACGCCATCCAGTCAAGTTTGGCTAACTTGACCTGTTTGGTTAACCTGATAATATTATAACTTCTTGCGTAATGAGAATAAATTTCAATGTTGATTGTTATTTTATAGATATTTATTTCTCTTATCTCTGATAAACATTTATATGCGCCGCAGAAGTATGTGTACCAATATGGAGGAAACTAATTTTGTTCGCCTATTTTACATCAAGTTGTGTAATAGGACTAAAACCTTAGGCTTAGACAGATGGTATATTCACTTGGCTAATACAGACAGTTCCCGAACTCGTAATATATCTAAAATAAAGAAAATCGGAATAAAACTATGGCCTAACCCTTAACCTGGTACACATACTACGGGAGTACCCATTTATATTATTATAACCTTACATACCCAAATTCGCATGCACAATTTTGGATTTCTATTAATTTATTCTTACCTATTGTGATGTCACAACGTTGCGTTATAAAGGTGACACATGTCTGAAAAAGACCGACACCTGGATTAATCCAAGAAGTTGTGGCCAAAGCAACTACTCCGAATCCAATACCAGCCAAGCACAATAATGTTGCTATCACAGATAAAATACCCATGTTTTAGGTATTTTTATTTACAATCTGCGAAAAGATATTAGGTGATTTATAAGGTAAAAAATGGCTTGATCTCAAGAACATGATATCCATGAAGGAGGCTCAAAATTAACTTGAAATGACCCAATAAATCATCTTCAGTAGTTTATTACTATTTAAAGTGAATTTCTTGCATCATTTATATGAATTAATTTTTTCCCTTTCATATTTCAAGTTTGAACCGACTCAAATTCATATTATGATATTTGAAAAGATAAACTAAACGTTAAAGTTAGTCATAAAACTGCTCTAAACAGTAGACAAATTCTAACTCACAAACAGACTGTTACGAGTCGCAAGTTAGCGAAACATCTTTGCAAAAACTGAGCAAGACAAATATTCAGCTTTTTCTGAGATTCTCATCATTAAGATAAAAATATATATATATATGGTTAATAATTCAAAAATTTTACCGAAAAGGCGAGTTGGGAAAACCGAAGTTGACTAATATTTTCGAATACGCTAAAAGGTGACGCCTGACAATATGACTCATTCTCGTTTAATCAAAATAGAATAAGCATATAAAAAATTGAAAAAGTTTCACTTTAATGTGCTACTATGGGAGCTATGCTACTATTTTTCTTAATCAACTGTTATTGTGGATGATCCAACATTAAATGTCCGATAAAAATCGTGCCTTCCTATGACGAACTGGACTTTAATCCTATTAAACGAATTAGTAAATTAAGACAGAATTTATAACGCATTGCCGTGGACTATAATTCTTTATTATAACAGTTTCAAAACCTTTAAAATCAACATTGAAGAGAATTGATGCGTCTTGATAAATAGTATAAATAGAATTAAAATACCGTCAAATATTGTGGGTCTCATTATAATGTCAAGTAAACAAACGTATTTGCTTCAAATTTGCACTATCGCATTAATCCAACCGAGTAATTTATTGACTTTTTGAATATTGTTCTGACCGATAGTCCATTTGAAGCTTTCAGTATCTTGCTAAAAGCTTTTAGTAACAGACAATAAGAATTTAATCTATTTATGATTTCTGCGTAGGCAATCACAAATATCCCGAGGCAAATATTATACATTTTCCACTCACTGAACTCTTGGCTTCACTTTTACTTTTGTGAAATATTTTTACTAAACATGGCCCGGATTAAATTTGAACAGCGTGGCATTTTAGTCTATTTTATATTCCTCGAAATCACGTTAATTGCCAGCTAAATTTATCAGGAAGTCCAGGTGTTTTGGGCTAACAAAATGTTTGGGAATGAATGAGAAAAGTTTATTCGTTCCGCCCTTACGTGAACAGTGGAAATATTTATTACATCAAAATATCATATCAATTTTTTGCTGTTGTTGTATTTCTTGTCGGTTTTGTAACTAGAATAAATCAACTTTGCGTAAAACTAAAATATATTAGTTTCTATACTCACATTGGCAACTGAAGTAGTTAGTACAATGTTAAGTTACAAAGAATACGAAAAACAAAGCTAAATTGTAAAGAAACTCACACAAAAGTCCATAATTGATAACATTGTCAATATGAGCTACCGGTTCCACTAGATTTCCCCTCATATATTTCAACGTTTTATATTATTATCATCTTAAATTCAATTCACTCATATAAATTGCTCCAAACATATAGATGTTTGGTTTGATCACAATATTTAAAGTAATCGTAATAACTCTATCCAAGTGGATACCATATTACATATACCAGACGAATTCTTCTTTCAAAGGAATTATTACACTTGGTGGTAAAGTTACATGTTATCAAAATAAACAGTAACTGAGCTCGCGGTCTTGTAGAAAAGCCTTATGTTGATAAACGGTAAGCAAGTCAGAAGGCTTAGATTAAACTTAAAATTTGAATTTTCTAAACTCAGAATCAAACGTCGGATCAGGATTTTACGGCGATTCTTCCTAAATTTTAAAACGAACTTTTTGTGAGCTCAATTGTACATTAATATGTACATTAATAGATTAATATATCAAACAATTGTACATTAATATAAAATGCTATGTGAAACAATGCTTAACCAGCGCGAATTGAAAACTAATCTACCAAACAATTCAGTCATCTACGAGTCATTGTAGCACTAAAGTTAAGACTTTCCTAGCTGCAGGCTTATTTAACTTATACGAAATAGAATTTATTTCGAGTTAAATGCCTAATCCTTGTATAACGACCTCGCTTTATGACAAACTATATATCCCGTGATGTCTGAGGTAACACCCAATCTCCTGATCTATGACTGGTACAAAATGATTTTTTTGTCTCGCTTGGTGTTGCAACCTCACACCCACAAAATTCCACCAAAGACTTTATTTGAGTAACGCGTTAAATTAATTTGACGTAACTGATATAGCAAAATCGAAAATAAAAAAAATTACCGGTTGTCGAATTTTAAACAAAATAACTTTGAAATTGAGCTTATCGCGCATAATATTTAAACGAATTAAATATATGATACAGTATTATTACAGTGAGATACCGCCGTGTCCGATTTCTATCCATATGACGTTGCAATTAACATACGCAGACAGGCTTTGATCATATATTTGAACTTGATATATCTTGTGATAACACCAGAGATAAGAATTAAGTGTTATTTTTTTGATATTGGTTTCTGTAAAATAGTTTAATGTGGTTTTATAATATGCATGCAGACAGGAAGGCAATATTGATAGCATAATATCTTCATATACCAAAACATTAGGTAAAATTACCTTTGCTTGCAAAGTTGATCGTGTTACTCGACAGACAGATTATTTTTGTGCTATCCAGTGGCGCAAATTACAAGAACATACCTCAACGTTGTCGCCCATGTTATTTATGATTTTATTGTCGCCCATGTTATTTATGATTTTATAAGCAAAATTGGACACCCTGATTCTAAAATGAACAAGGGCAACTAAATGAGAGTTCGACAAACAAGAAAAATAACATTTAGAAACAACGAATATTTCATTAAAACTGAACTACCTTTCATTCTATTAAATATATTCCATTTAGCAACATTAAAAACCTATCTCAATGTAGCATAACTTTTTACCGATGGAAACTAAAGTATGTTATTTGCATTAGAAATTTCTAAATATATTTACGACGATGTATAATATTACAAATACATATAGCAATCACATTTAGAAGCTTTTCAAAAGAATCTAATTACTACTCTTTTTATAATTGTTATTTTGCATAAGAGTGTGTTGACGTAAATACACCTACATATTATTGAAAGTACAAGTGTCACAAAAATATCTTAGATAGTTGAAACTCCCATACAATTAAGAAACGGTTTAATACTATAGAATTGTGCGTATAGATGCTGGAATCTCAATATGGTTATGTAGCATTTAATACAATTTAAGCTATAAAAAAAGATGTTGAGGTCAATCGCGGGCGATAACATAGGTAAATATTAGACCAGAATTTATAAACAAAAACTGAAACTCCCAAAAATAACACAAGCGGTATTTATGACAAATATTTAATTAATTGGACACTGGTGTTTTTTTTTTCTGTTAAAAGTATTTTATCTCTGAAAGCCATTTAAAATTTTACTGCGATGTATTCGTGAAACGCTGCTAAAGACAAGTCGTAAACATGCACTTCCTACTGACTTTCGAAAATAATATTGTCAGACTAGCGAACCTTGCCAGGATAATAGCTTTTTATAAAAATATACTTGCTACAACACACACTTGAAGTATTTTCCTAGTTTAACTTCAGATATGTTTCATCTAAACGAAATCTTTATTCGGCTGTAGATGTATAGACTCAATTTTTTTATAGCAAATGATTTGTCCTCAGATCTTCTGAACGACTAGAAATTTGCTTCAAACGTTTGAGGAACGTGGAAGCAACGAATTTATCTGTAGGAATTATTGATTCAAAACACGTTTTTCGTAACAAAGTTATAAATTTTTAATAACATTCCAAATGATATGATTTTCTTGCTTTCGTGAAAAAATAATAGAAATAATAAAAAATGAAATGCCGAGTAGATCCGCGAATCCCATGGGAATTGGTGTGCGCCTTGTACTGGAATAAGGGTATTTTGCAGCTGCGAACTATTGCAGTTTTAACAAAGTCTTGTTAAAAATTCAAAATCCGTACTATGTATATAGTGTAGATCAGAAGATAAACGGTGATGGTGAACATAGAATGATAGAGATCCGAGGTATAAATCCGTCTAATTCTTGTCCAATACATCCCAGATACTCACACAAAGTAAATTAAATATTCAAAAACAAAACAAATTCAAAAACTAAAGTTAGTAGATTCATGGTCTAAGCAGGGTTGCACAACTCGAAATACGTGCTAAAGTTTTTGAAACATTCTTGTCGCGTGACACGCCACGTTCGCATAATTGTTGGTATTGTAAACTCAAAAACTCTTAAAACACAAAACAACATACCAACCTTCCTGACAACAGAAGAATGAAAAGGGGTACAAAATATCGTGAAATTGGACATTAACACTACTAAGTCAGTTTCTGTTTCTTATAGAACCAGAATATAGGGATGTGTGACAAAATTGCCGATTTATATTATTACGATATAAACTCACTCTCATGCTTTTTACTTCAAATAGAAAAATCATGTTTTACCTGCTTAACCGCTCGCTATGGTAGACTAATCTACTCATTTCCAGCTTCAGTTTGAAAACAATTAGATCTATCTCGACAAAGCATGATCTTTTCTGATAGTCGGAGCTGTGCCAAGCCAGGAGCCTGTTTACTCCAGGTTGAAGCTATAAAGAGCTCACAAGGAAGTGACACCTCCGTTGCATATTACTCAGCGGAAGTTCTATATCGTACAGAAAAGGTAGATTATATAAATGTAATAGCCTTCACCTGGTACTGTAGCATTCATTTTAATTTAACTATAGTGCGTACATACATTCATATTCGCTTCAAAAAGAACAAATCACTTAATTCATTGTGAGCTTATGCGACATTGATCTCAATTTTTTTTTTATAAAAGAATGCTAAGGACATTGACAAATAGAACCGCATTTCCCGATTACCTACATTTAACATCAGCAAACAAAGGATATCATTGTCAAAATATAAATAGTCTACCATTTCCTATCACTGAGTCCCTTAAATGAACGCACTATAAGCACGGTGCATATATTGTTCACAATAAGTAAACCCGCCGTGACTGAAATGCTTAGATAATTATATTAAATCACACGGGAAAGTGCGCATCATATTTATTTCCTGGTTCGATAGCTAATATCAGTATACTTTATCGACTGCCTAATGCCGACAGTTTGATTGTTGACGATCTCTCTCTGCGATAATCCGTCAAGGTATATTTTGTTTTACTAAGGACTTTATTTTGACCTGGCAAAAATGGATTGCTTCGCGTTTTCAAGGCGTCTATCTATAAATGTATTTCCTTCTTCGTGAGAGTTGCCAAACTTTGCATAAAAATAAACCATTTATCACTTGTCGTTTACTGCAAAACTAAACGCCCTCTCATTTTTTTAATCTCTTCGTAATGGGCCGAGTTAAAGTAATGTTGCTCGCTGAAGCCCAAACAAGGCAACTTAGACGTATGTTTTACGACCAGGTGTTTCGCGTGACTAGTACAGTGTCTCGAAATAGCAACGAATCGGTCATTCGAGTTTGGACAACTCATAGAGCTCATCATACATGCATGGCGCATGATCGGTACGAATTTTGAAGATGACGCACACCCAAAATACTAAGAATTTTAAACCTTCATTTCGTCTTCATTTCCGCCCACAGAAATATGACGAATGACATTCGGACCTTGCGAGTCGACATCGACGTCAGGACTGCCTGGTTAATATGAAGTTAATATTGAGAATGAATTCATTCAAAATAAATTCACGTATTAGAAATTGGATGTTGTATCTCCGCTAGATTATGTTGGCGCCTCCTCATTATTGTTACAACTTGACTTTTTCCCGTAATTTTATCTAGTTCTACACGAAAACCCATGCAATGAATTAATTTCCAAACCCCAAAACTTATGGAAATTCTACGCTCTTCTCTTTTTTGACATTTCTCTTGAATTATTCTGAGTAATAACAGATATATTAAATTAAAGTCGTCCGCGCCTCCGCTCAGCATTATACGTTGCCCGATATTCACGACCAATACTAACAATTTTGTCCCGTTGGTTATCCAGTTGAAGGTGTGCCATAGGCGTTTTTCTTAGGCATTTCAGTCCTGCGTATCGAATATTATTATTGTAGATGTGCAGTGTACTTACAAAATAAAGGTAGTCCGAGTTGCTCCAATGCGACGACAGGCGTGAAACTTGTGGTACATAGAAAATCCTACTGTATTCCCATGTAATTCTAGTCCTACTGTAGAAACATTTTAGACATTGAAAAAGTTTTTTTTTGAATCATTCGTACACTGCATATAAAAGAATTTTTATGTGAATCACGACTCGTTTTTGAATTGTTTATATATAATTGCGAAGATGATATTGGTTATTGTTTATTTTGGCGCACTTTACCGTACATATTTATTAATAGTAAAAGCCAAATGAATATCATTCATACCTTAGTAAATCTCACATCTGTAGTTATTTTACGACTTAGGACATCCTTCGTGCCAGGCTGTTGTTTTTGTTGATATATTTCAAGACTGTCAGAAAAGGCAGAGGAAATGCGTTAGAGAGCCGGTAGTGTGTAAACATGTTAAATTCCAAAATCTAAGCTAATTACTGTAAATTAAACACCACCAATTCAATTATCGATTGTTTATCAACACAGAACATTACATCTGCGAATATTTACAAACGAACAATTGCATTGTTGCGATGAAAAACAAATTTGTGTTTATCCCGATTGAATATATTTGTTTGAAACTATTAGACTTACAAAATGGCGTACATACTACCACAAAACATAGTTTTTGTCACATTTAAACAAAGCGATGGAACAAGGAAAAACTGAATCGCGGACTTTATGTTTTGTGTTTTATTGATGATGTTGGTCGATTGAATATAGCGATTTTATTATCACATATCACAGCTTTTAACCTTTTTATACATAGGATTAGTAGATTTCGGCATTCAATTTACATTCGCTTGGATATTTTTTTGTTCCGAAGCGCTAGGAATATTGATTGTCGCTGAAGGTATATCTGGTTGATTCGTCACCACTCTATTTTTGAAATTGCTTAGTGAACAAGAAATGTATATATGGATCGTTTTGCAAAAATGCTGTTGCGAAAACGTCACCACATTTCTAACTGATGGACCAATTGATTTAATTAATTAATTATCAGTACCTAAAGATGAAATAAGTCGATGAAAGTTGGTATTCAGGGTCGTCCAAACCGTGCGTGGCCTGCGGAAGCATTTAGAGTGGCCCGCTCTGTATTTTTCAGAATTGAATAAAAAAAAAATGAGTAAAGATGTGATACAAACGATTTGTTTATTTTCCTGAAATGCGCTCTGCCAGCCCTTTCGAACGAGCCATGAGTGCCATTTTGAGTCGAAACCAATTGGGAGGAGATATCGATACATAAAGGTGTCATAGCCGCTTACACTCTTGGTCTTTTACTACTCTATATGATGTTATCGCAAAACAATCGAAGGAATGTATATTATGTATTGTTCGGGTTGCCAATGTTTTACGTCCGGAAATAAAATAGGTTTTTGCAAAATAGCCTGTCAAGACAGACCATAACTCGTCGTGTTGAAGAGCCCGGGAAATCTATAGCGGAAACTTTAATTGCAAAAGCGGGAAATTTTTCATCGTATTCCTTGGCGCTTGGCGAAAGCACTGACAACAAGTTTACTGCTCAATTGGCAACTTGGCGATCTTCTTGCGGGGAGTTAGTGATGGTTTGAAATAACCGCAGAGCTCGCAGCCATTGTCCCTATTAAGGGTACGACTGGAGGCATTGATTTGGAGCTGACTGGAGCTGTGATAAAAATGATCAAGCGCCTTGGCTTGTCTTTGGCGAAACTTTCGGGAATAACCACTGATGGCGCCCCATCAATGGTTGGGAAACAACAGTTTCATTACGGTATTCTAATAACTGTGGAAGTTTGGTGTGGGGGTATTGTTTGTTTGTTAATTAATCGGTAATCAGTGAAGCAAAACTAGAACATAACTACCATGTTAAATGGACCGTGCAATTATTATTGAACTACATATGGCCTTATTATGAGTGCGTCTGCCCGAAGTTGGAATGCGACGCGCATTTTAAGAACGAGAGTGATCATGTGGTCAAGTGCACGATTTGCTACTGCAAAAATGTCTCACTAAAAACACAAATTGAAAGCGAACGTTTGCCGTGTACTCTACCCGTGTCATTCGGAAAGTTGTGATACAAACACACCACTAGCGGCATAGTTTAACAGCGTTTCACAGATTTGCGAAATCACCAAATTCACATAAAATACAAAGAATTTTGTTGTATTGAAGGCATTGTATTGCAACCACAAATGTTAATTAAAAGGTCATGTCACTCCCAGAAATTTTGAGATCCATAAAATGATAACTATGTATTCACGATAAATCGAACACAGACTTGAGACCACCGACTTCTACGTTGCAACTATTTTTCTTTGCGTTTGATATGCGATGGTATAATATTAATATAGAAAATATTTGCGAGCATATCACTGGACGGAAATATTTTGCATCCTGGCTGTTTGCAGAACACAATTCGCTATAGTTGATTGATAGAATACACAGGAAAAAATTTGTGAAGCTGTGAAGACGTCGGTCGAAAAACGAATATTCCGTTTATCGTGGCTAAGCTTCACGGACGCCGTACGTCATTCTGGGATACAGAATTTTGTTCCATTAACACAAAAAATCTTGAAAGTGTTTGTTAATTCATTGTCCAACATCGTTTTTTCGCGGAATTTTATAATCATATTGTCTGTCGCAAATATTAACTTAGGTTTTCTTTAATTTCAAATTCGGAATTTCAAGTTCCTCTTTGTGAACATATTGTGTAAGGTCCCTAACCTTTGTTTTTGAAATTTTTTCTAAATATGAGTGTTCTAACTTGTGTTTGGAGTAACAAACCTTGTTTTACAGTCATCTCATCAAAGCGTTTTTGTTCTATATTATCACCTTCACGCAATTTTTTAGGGACAGACTTTTATTCGTGTTTAGGATAGGTTATTTGTTGGCGCTGAAATTAACTCCTCTTTCCCTATAGAAACGGAATACCCTTCTACCGGTATTTAAAATATGTTCCTTACGCATCGTCTCTGCTAATTGACTAGCGATCGCCGAAGATTCAGCAATAAATGATGAACAAAATTATTTATTATTCATAGTTTTTTAATGAGGAATTGCTAATTGTAGAGAATCGGAAGAATGTAGCCTAAAAAGATATCCCAGCACAATATTCATTTTTTGGTCGACCAAACCGTCCGATGATAACGAAATTGCCGAATCAGCGAAAGAAATGCATGTAAATTGTCGTCTGCGATCCAATTCTTTTCTCTCTGTAAAACACTCATAAAATGAATTTTACCACTGCGCCGAAAAGGTTACGTGTTGTTTTTCTGTGCCCTCTCAAAAGAAGTGTTATATACAAGAGTTTTTCAAACTTCACAAACTCAGGACGCAATCACTAGTAATAATACGAGTATGGAGGGACGTTAAAAGAAATTTAATTTTATTAACATTGATACACAAAAATGAAGAACTTTATGCACATCTCTCACCGATGCTACATGTAAGATTGCTTTTGTGCATAAACATTATATCGCAACTTGATGTCTGATATCTGATAATGTTACTTTTCTTTCAAAATCATTTTCCACGATTTTATCGTTATTATTCGTTGCATTTCGTGTATGTTCGCCAAGGAAAAATTATTTGTGTAATCGTTCCTATTAATGTAATATATGGAAATGCCGCAAGTGGCACCGGGATGCAAATATTTTTTATACTGGGTCTGCAGCATTCCAGAGAGTATCATAACACTGGTTTCCTCTCTGCAAATATACGACAATACTTAACTAATTTATGAAACAATGAAGATCGAACAATGTAATATGGTTACCACCAACTAATCTGGAATTAGGCACGCAAAATATACTACGTAATGACTGATAATTCAACAGCTAAAGATCCATGCTATTTAAAGAACGAACATTTTCTGACGAAATTAAATTGCTTTTTTTGGCTGTTTACTCTCTCGAAAATGTCCTTTCAATTTTTGATTTCTGATCATAATTTTAAAATTAGGAACATGCATGATAGGCTAACATCATGTCATCGGACATTAGAAGATTGAACATAATGTTCTCCACGAAAAATGAAGGCGAGATAAATATTCGGGAACCAGTCATGCCAGAGAGGAGAGTAATTCACGCACAAAGAATGGCTAAAATAATTTTTCTCTGTGTATGCTTCGTTTATATTAAATTATCATATCATTCGATTATTCTTAATTGAATTAACCCCAAAACGATTTGAATAATTTGGGACTCTATTGGACAGCCCTAGATATAATCACTTTTATCCGGCACAACGCGTTTCTAGTACCTATTATATTTAAAAGAGTTGAAACAAAAGCTAGGGCACCTGACTTGTTAAAATCGACCGGGTTACCTTCGCACTTATGTTTCAACTGCGAAGCACCTCCGCACTTATAATTTTTTTAGAGTGAACACTGGTTCGAACCCACCTTCATTCAAGATGATACTTGAACATTTTATTTCCGAGGTCTGTGTCGTCTGATCAACTCGAATTATTTCATTGAACACTGAGGCACCATTGAAAGATGGTTCATGGAAATTTCTGTCCCTTTCTTTCCCTTTGCCTTGGTGCCCTAAGCACATACTTTTATTGTTCAATAGTTAATCCAGCACTGCCAGGAACAGATCAATTCGAACAAGAAAAAAATATCCATTTTTATTAGCAGTATTTATTATGCGATTACGAACTATAGCAATAAGTAAGAAAGCACAAATTTTTGAATAAGCAGTTTAAATCGAAATTTGAATATCAATCTTATGCATAAATTCATGAAGAGCAAGGTTGCTCTTTACATGTGCTTACTTCAACCAAAGGTTCTGTGCATCTGCTTTCATCCTCACTAATGCATTTCCTAGATCGGCGCTTTTGCCCAACTCCACATGTAACTGAACAGGACGAAAACAGGTCCCATTCAGTATAATTAAGACTTAAGAGATGGTCCAGAATACATTTTTGAGATCTCCGATTTAGAAAGATAACACAAATTAACCTCGCAACATCCGTCGAATCTTCCTTTAAGAGGAGCCAATATTGGAAAGGGGAATGGTTTATACGGACAGTTACTGCTGGAAGCTAACTGAGGAACTGTTGGAGGACTGCATGGACTTGATTTGACCCTGACAATTGAATAATAACAACCGGATCCGTATCTAAAACATCCATCAATCAACGAACATTCTCTGTAAGTAATATCTGAAAATACAAAAAAATATTATATAAATGTTCTAAAAACATCGTGTATAAGAATTTGAAAAAATGGAAACTGGCTTACCTTTCCATCCGGCTAATTGGAAACTAACGTGAGAAACGTCAAAAAATGGAATAAGTTCGCAACCTTTTCGTTGGCTCATCAATAGTGAGAATTCTTTTAAGAATGCAGAATTATTCGCTGTATAATTAAGGTTTAGTGTAATTTAAAATAAAACTAATCTAACATGAATCCTCCAAGACCACCTCCGAGAGAAAAAACACCTTCCAAGATCAAAAAGGTGTTTATAAAGACAACAAAAAGTACTACCAATGAGGAAAAACTACAAGCTGGAGAAACGGAAGCAATGGAGCTACTCAACGTTTCAACCACGTCTGACTTGTCGCAGCACAGTGAGTTAGTTAGCGGAATCCTTCCTCTAATAACGAGGAACATAATAAATGGCATAACCCTGCAACTCCCTGCCATGATAGGCCAGTGTCTTACTGACAACTATGACCTATCAGACAACTCAGACATTTTGACCCCGTTAACACCAAACATTGGGGAAATACTCAATGACTTAAATCAATCTATGCGAGATATTAAATCTGAATTGACTGAAATAAAAGAAAGTCAAGCGTTTCATACTAGATTGTATGATGATCTTGCGAAAAAGAATAAATTTTTGGAAAAGCAAGCATCTGATAATAAGAAAACTATTGAAAGTCTCCTTGATCGAATACATGATCTAGAAGAAGATTTATTTTATGTCTCCGAAAAAGTAGAAGACCAAGAAAGACGAGGGCGGCTAGAGAACCTGGAGTTCCATGGTGTCCCTATTTCTGAAAATGAGAACACTGACCAAATAGTCTGCAACATCGCGAAGATGGTTGGGTTGAAATCCAAGCTAGCGATATCTCGACATCACATAGAATGCCAACAGGGATAGAAAAAACTAGAACCCCTGCTATTATTGCCAAATTTGTCCATCGCAAAAACAAAATCAAGATTTTTGAAAAAAGGAAACTCTTGCGTTCAGTAAAATCGAGCACGACTTCAAACATCCATCAAAAATATTCATCGCTGAAAATCTAACTGCCATAAATAAAGACCTATACTTCAGAGCTAGATCAGCAAAAAATAATTGCGGATACAGATATATTTGGACTTCAAATGGAAAGGTATTTGTGAAAAAACAGTATGTCAAAAATTCTCTAATATTAATGTGAAGAAGATCTTTCTAAATCAAATAACTATTTATGTGAGTGTAATTTCTTATTTATTCTAAAATGACTAGTAGTGATTTTTTAACATGTTACTTATGTAACAGATCAATAATATTAGGCCAAACAAAATTAAATTGTGAAATATGTGGCAAACAATTACACCTCGAATGTGCTCTTATTTTCGCACCCTCAGATGCACCACTAGCTCAGCCTTATTTTTGCCAAGCATGTCTAAAGGAAACTCGATCGTATCAAAAGTTTCATGGTGCTTTTGCTAATAATTTTAAAGTGCTTAATGAACTGAGTAGATGTCGATGCCAAAACATAGAAGTGTCAGATTTGAATATTATTAGTAGGTCCATGTCAAAAAACTGTTTTATTGCTTTCCACTTGAACACTAGATCTCTCCAAAAGAATTATGACGAGCTTGTTAACTTATTGTCTGAATTTGCTACCCCCCACATCTCATTGCTATTTCTGAAACAAGGCTTGGCGTGACCCCTAATTCAAATATATCCTTAAATAATTATGATTTCATTCATAAACCTTCCATAACAATTGCTGGAGGGGTTGGCCTATATGTTAGTCGGGACCTTTCTTTTTGTCAAATCCATGAATATGACCTAGAGCACCCCGACTGTGAAGATTTATGGATAAACTTGAAAATTAATCTCAATATCTCATTCATAATAGGAGTAATTTATAAGCACCCAAGAAAAGATATTATTCAATTTACAAGTACCATTTCTAATGTATTAGATAGGTTGAACCGGGACAAAAGATTATTCATTTTGCTAGGAGACTGGAACATTGATTTATTGGGCCAATCGACAGATTTGGCCACTATGAAATATATAGATACGCATCTTGCCAATTTGTCATTGCCCTTAATTACAAAATCAACAAGAGTGACTCGCACCTCCAGCACACTAATCGATAATATTTTCACCAACGCCATAAACTATGATTTATCGAGCTTTGTTATTTTAACTGATATAAGTGACCATTACCCACAATTTTGCACCGTCTCTACTCCAATATTTACAAGAAGACAAAATCAAATTTTCAGGCGTGATATGAGAAATTTCTCTATTGATATGTATAGATCTGACATAGAATCATCTATCCTCCCAATATCAAATTGCCAAATTACATGTGATAATTTAAATATTTTATTTGACTCATTTGTAGCAATTATTAAATCGAGCATTGATGCTCACGCACCAATAAAACCATTGAGTCGGCATAAAACTAGACTTCTAGCCAAACCTTGGATAACCAAGGGAATTCGTGTTTCAGTTAAAAGGAAACATAAAATGTATAAAACTCACTTCAAAAATGGTACTAACACGCAATATAGAACGTATAAAACTTATAGCAATTTACTGGCAGTTCTCATAAACAAGGCCAAAAAAATGTACTACTTCAATAAAATTAAACAGGTCAGTGGTGATATTAGATCCACTTGGGACCTAATTGGTCGAATAGTTAACATCAAAAAAGAGAGAACGCCAGTGACTGCGATAAAAACAATAAAAACTGATAATGGATCGAGGTAAAATGATCCATTATTAATCGCCAACTATTTTAATGATTACTTCACTTCTATAGGCCCGAATCTCTCTGAAAAAATCCCCCACATTGAGGGATCTTTTTTGAGTAATCTTAAGAACCCTATAAAAAAATCTCTTTTTCTTAGACCGACAACTGTTAACGAAATATATACCACTATAGCGAGCTTATCTGATGATAAAGCAGTTGGTTATGATAACATACCAGCAAAATTCTTAAAATATGCTGCTGATATAGTTTCTCCCATGATGTGTAAACTATTTAATGCTTCCATAGACTATGGTATATTCCCAAATTGTTTAAAAATTGCCAAAGTCTCACCTGTATACAAGACAGGAGATAAAGAATGTGCATCGAATTATCGCCCAATATCGGTTCTTTCTACGATGACTATAGTTTTTGAAAAAATTATACATAGTAGGCTAATCCAATTTATAGACCAACATAGCATCATAAACAAATCACAGTTTGGATTTCAAAAAAAGCATTCTACTAACCATGCAATGCTTGATATGGTGACTCATATTTATGACAAGATAGAGAGAAAGGAATACATTAGTGCTATTTTCCTTGACCTCAAAAAGGCGTTCGACACTGTCGACCATAACATTCTAATAAGAAAGATGAGCCACTATGGTATTCGCGGTCACGCGTTGACTTTTTTCAGGAGCTATTTGAGTTCACGTCAGCAATGTGTTAAATTTGGTTCGAATTGCTCCAAACTCTCTACTGTACAATGCGGAATTCCACAAGGATCGATCATTGGACCGATAATGTTTATTCTATTTGTCAATGACCTTCCTCATGCCACTAAATTACTTGTCAAACTCTTCGCTGACGATACCGGTTTGTTTGGAAGTTCAGCTTCGCCAAACGACTTGGAATTGCGGATGAATTCTGAAATGCAAAAATTGCAACCTGGATGACCATAAATAAAACTCACCATAAATATTGAAAAATCAAAATGCTTATTAATTAGTCCCAGGATAAATGAAAAAAATAAATTCGGCTTCAAATTAATATTGACAAGGTTCCACTTGAAAATGTCAACTCATACAAAATACCTAGGTATCCACATTGATGACCAATTGAAATGGACATCACACATTAATTACATTGCTGGAAAGTTGTCAAGTGCAACAGGTTTATTATTTAAACTAAGAAAATTCCTCACCATGCCAGCTCTCCGATTGGTTTATTTTTCTCTTTTCCAGTCGTATCTGCAGTATGGCATTATAACTTGGGTAGTGCGTCATCGACTCTACTCCACAGATTAGAAGTTTTGCAAACAAAGCAATTAGAGCCATATGTAGTGCACCTTTCCGATCTAGACTAGATCCTTTGTACCACAGGGTGTCGAATTATTTAAGCTTGGTCATATCCATGAATTTGAGATACTGAAACTCATGCACCAGTACTTCGATAACAAGCTTCCCATGGCATTCGCGGGAATTTTCAGAATGCAGAGTAATATCCATTCATACTCTACTAGATCAGCTTCGTCAAGTTCATATATGTCCCAAGATATTCATCAAGCAGGACACAGAAATCCATAAAATACACGGGTGTGAAACTGTGGGAATGCCTTACCAAGTACCATTAAATCTTTTAGGCTATTACGGTTTCAAAATTATATCTAAAAAGTAAATATATTAGTTATTATCTCTCTTCAATCAGCCATTGATTGGAGTATTCAGTATGATTCGCCATCTTCTGTCCATAGCTCAGCAGTCGCATTTGTAGGACTGTCGCCATGGCTGCCCAAAAAGCCGGAGGAACTATAGGTGTAAGGAGTCTATTTCTAAAGTACCCGGTACTTTAACTTTACCAACCTTGGTGCAACCTCTACACTAAAATGCCAAAATTCGTTATATTTTAATTTATTGAGCAAGCATATGCCTACCATTCTTTTCGTAAATTTTATGCCCACTTGCTGTGGAGCGTATTGTATATATATATATACATATCAACGTTTTATGATTTATTAGAGCTTACCAACTTCTATTCAATTAATCACTTACAATTTTGTCTTTGGTCTAACCATTTTCCCCTCGCTTGTCGTTTGTCTTTTATGTAACTTATATACATTTATTCAAATATGCCTTTTTATAAATTTATAGTTGAGTTGTTTTTCTTTTTTTTTCTCTATTATATGATTTTAGTAAAGTTGCGTTTGCTGCGAATATTTTCAATGATTCAAAATAGTTCATCATAACGACTATTGCATAGTCAATGTTTGTAGCAAATGTAGTTATTTTTTTACACTGAACCAGTAACAGCGCTTTAGGTGTCGCTGCTTGAAGACCTAATATGGTCCCTCGCGACTCCTGTCGCACAAATATCATTATTATTATATTTATTTATTGTACCAATTTTTTGTGCATTTGATGTTTTTGTGACGACGAATAAATGATTGATTGATTGATTGATTGCAGTTTGTGAAGAAAGGATTCCATACTCGGTGCTGTAAATAGTGAATATTATTAGGTATCACATGGAAAACTAATTATTATAACTGTGAATTATATAGAACAAAGCGGTACCTCTTTCACGACTAATTGAGCTTTTTGTTGAAAAAGAGCATTTCTTATTGCTATATGACAAACTGGAACTTCTGGAAAAATACGTGGTCCAAAAACTTTTCGGAAATCAAACAATTCTTTGTCAAAATAACAACCAGGTTGTGATCTACAGAGATTAGGATCGGTGTCTAGTGCTGCATTGTCGACTGAACATGGGATTCTGGGAAAGATAAAAGTAAAATAATATAGTTTATACCTGTACAAGGTAATATGACTGTTTAACTTTCAAAAGCTTTGAATGTGTAAAATATCAGACAAATTATAGCTTCCGCATTTTCTTATTATCTACGGTCTTTAAGAAAGAGTCTTTTTTACGAAAAGTGAAGTATACATATTTAGCTCTTGCTACAAACAAGTTATGATAACTAAGACTGATGTTCTTGGGTAAAATTATCCTACCGATTAAACGTTTCTCACCTGATACAATAAGGAATATCAACTGGTGGATCAAGAACGTAAGGCTCATTCGGTGTTAGTTTACAACTTGCTGGAAATGGAATAATTTGAGGAAATGCTGTTGTAAAAAAAATAGAATAATGAAATAAAAAAGTAAATTTCAAATTTTTTTTTTATAAATATATCGTGCAGATATCATTATCATGCAGATGAAAATATTTTTTTAATTCCTCATCATTTTTTCTAAAAAGGCGACAAATTTTTATAATTTCTATACCTGGTGATGGTAAACGAAGAAATCTTGCGCTGTCTTTCTTCATTTTCATAGCTTTTTCATACAAATCATCAGTATCGTCGACATTTCCAGCCTTTGAAGCTTCTGCCGTAACTGAAAATTATAATGTGAACTTTCGACGACCTTATATACTGTAAATTAATGGAGTCTGTATTTCTTTCTTTGTCCCGAAAGTGCAATCTTTGTTTAATTAATACTCATGTTCATATTTAAGGTTTATGACTTTACATGAGACCAATCCAAAAACTTGGGAGATCGTTCGCGAACAAGCTATTGACATCTTGGAATATTTGATTTGCATCAGATTGAGCTATATTGGAACTCGTTGGTGACATTTAGCTTATAAAAAAGACCAATAACTATTAATGCCAAGATAACCAGAATAGAAACTAAATTTTAATTATGCTTTCAATTGCATTGATATGCTTACGTTTTTCTGCGTCAACTTGAGCGTAACAAACTGCACTTTCTCCTTCCTCAGTTTTACAACAATCTTCATGTTTGTGGCAATCATCAGCATCGACTGTTTCTGACACACCGTTCTTTGCAACAATGCATAGTTTTCTACTTTCGCTTCCGAGTCCTGTAAAATATAAAAAAAAATGAGTTCATATTTTGAAACTACATTAAATATCGGCGCATTTGGAAAGAATGTGCGACCAATTAACCAGGGTTAGTGAATGGAATATCAATAACGGAACAATCTTCCGTGAATGTTTTTCTAATCCCCGAGTGACAACTCAACTTTGTAAGAATGGACCAAGAGCGTACGGTATACAGTTTTTCACTGTTCTGTTCCAATTATCATAAATGTTTCGTATTTCATCCTATAGTCTGTTTCAAACACTTGTTGTAAGTTCATTATCGATAAGATGACCACAATGCAATATAAGACATTACAATTCCGTTTTTCTTCAGATGTGACTAATGCCTATCCAGGGTGTTCCAAGGTTGTCGGCTGCGGGAGCCACAAAATTATTGTTCGCGGGCCACAATACTGCCAAGAATAGGTAAACAGTGCAATACAAAGCAAACACTTTTATTGTGCAAACGCATTGATCAGTATCTTTCATTTATCAAGCTAACCCATGCATAAACCATCAAAAAAACTTACTTAAACCTGCAAAAAGTTTTCTACAGTCCACATATACTGTAAGATTGCAAACTCTTCAAAACGGAAAAAATGAAAGAATGCTTCCGCAAATGTAAGTGCTTTCGAACTTCGATAAGATTTTCAATGCAAAATCTTAACTTTGGAAAATGCTTGTTGCTCACAAGGTTCTAAAATGCCGTTTAAAATTCAATTATTTTGTTAAGGGGTTTTCAGTTTCAAAAATAAAACAGACAAAAACACATTGTTGCTTACCGATTAATGTTCCTGAGTAAATTAAAATTACTTTCCTTAATTTAACTGCGAAATCCTTTTTAATTGGGTTTAAACAAGCCATGAATAAATCTGGATTTTACAGATAAATTATATATACTAAGGCTGTAGATTAGAAACTTGACAAACATATTAATAAATTCGTGGTCGAACCCCATCCCTTTTGATATTTTTGGAAGGCTCAGAAAGACGCTGATAACGTGCGCGATTGCATTTTGTTAAAATTGCAAATTGTTTTCGTCAGCGTGACGTTTTTTTAAGATTGTAAACATCTTCACGTCGGTGTTTATACTCCTAAAATCACAAATTTCCCCCGGCTTATGCATGTGTTGTTCCACAAGGACGACGATTTTTTGTTCTCGTACGGAATTGTGAGTTCATTGTGAAAAACAATTTAGTATACTATAATCATCGGCAACGAGATGCCAAAAATAGACCCGCGACAAATTAAAAAAAATTTTTATACATTGTAAATCAGAAAATTTGGTGTTATGTTAGGTTTACTTTGGAAATCATACAATAGTCACTAAAATCGAAACACAGTCAACTGTGCGCGCGATGTCTACCGCCGGAGCCGCAGGCGCGTTTCTCGAGGTATATGACGACATTTTGAATACTTAATGAAAGTATATCAATTATTATTATTGTAATAAAATTATATTCAACACAATTGAGCCAATAAACAAGGCATTTTAAATATGCCCGCATCCGCCATGGATTGCGCAATTGTAATTATTGAGATTTTCACGCCGACCTTGGGATTTTTATAAGGGCGATATCTTGCTTAAAAATAGTCTTGAGTGCTAAAAGAAGATTTAAAATAGTAATCTTTTATTTTAGTAATCGTAATAGTAATTTCGACTCACAAGCGAGTAACGATGAACACGATTAAACTATTATGACAATACATTTTGAATGCTCGCATCGGCCACGGATTTAATATTTCACGCAACAGAAAACTCGTTATCCATTGAATTTTTTTTTTGACCTATACTGACCTAATTGCGAAGAAAGCTGCACAGAAATTTTTGATTCCAATTCTGAACCCTCTCCTCCTTTTTAAAAATCCTAGCTGCGCACCTGCTTATAGATAATGTCATATTTGAATTACCGCCTCTTTGCCATATTTCGACGTCAAATTTTATGAAGACTACTTCGAAAAGTTACAAAATTATCCGAGTCAATATTTTGATATGTTATCGAATAGCTCGCGGAGTCCCAACGTTTCTCTCACTAAGGCTCTGTACGGAGCAGTTTGAGAACCTATGACCTACACAACTTGCCAAAAGTAACAATATGTCAAAAGATTTCTCTGGTTAATTTTATGACGAAACAACACGAAATGCAAATATTTTGATTACTCTCCAAAGGCTAAGCGGGCCACAGATATTGAAGCGACGGGACACATGTGACCCGGGTGCCTGGGTTTGGACCAGTAACGATTTATCGAAGGAAGATTGTGATATAGAAATAAAATTTTGAAAGAAAATTCATACCCATCGGTGGAGTACATTGCTTCTCAGCGGCAACAGCAATAATCACCATGCATAGAACTGCAACAAATAGTGTTCCAACTTTCATCTTCTGATATATGTTTTGTCTCGGTTTTGTTCGTTTAGTTCTCACTAGACATAGATTATAGATTAGTTCTCACTACACATAAATTGTTGATTAATAGGTCTGATTTGTTGCGCCTGACGAGAGTTTTGACTAACAAGAGTTTTGTGCCAAGTTTGTCAATCTGACGATACGTAGACACCTACAGCAGAGAGTAGACGATTGAAAGAGTTTTATTGCAACATTCCGACAATATATACAGAATACAATGTACACACAATTAGATCAATTCTTATTCTCAATCAAACAGCAAAACAATGTCACATTGAAATGATATCAAGCTGTATTTATACGTTGATCAAACATCTAATTAATACTGGAAACGTGAGCTCGTGATTCACGTTATAAACAGAATTATTATCTTAATACGGGTGATTATGTACTTCGTACGGTTGAGAACTTGAATTTATTTATTATTTCCATTTTTTGTTCAAAGAAATTTTAATATAATAATAACAGGACGAAACATGTTTTTGAAACCCAAAGGTATATAATTAGATTCCTACGAAAGTCTTTGTCAGAATTTTGAAAAATTTAACGTTGTTTTCATAAATTTTAACTCGTGTTTCGTTGGGTAATGAGAAATTCAAATTGCGTCGTTACTTTTGAATTTTATGTTAAATTTAGCAAAGTTTGAGCACTGATTCATTACATATTCACTTAATACGATCAGTTAATTTTAAAGGTGAGTTATCACGCAAACATTTTTGTGGAAATTTCGATTTTATATATTTTTTTCAAGATTTTTGACGTTTACCACTTGCATAAAGTGAACTTAGTTTTCTATTTATGAATTTTTAAAAATGGTTTCAACGAAAATTGGCGCAATTCGGAAATAGCCTTTGATGACTTAGTACTGAAAACTCATTTCATTCATTTCACATCATTGTTTTCGTCGCTTTCCCGAGAGAATATAATAAATACAGAACAAACGGAAGGAGCAAAATTGTTTCATTTTACAATATTAAATGCAGGTTGTTTCTGTGAACAGTAAAATTTATGAAAACTCTGAAAATAGATTTTGAAGGGTTATTACACAATAAACTGCAAGGCAAATACAAGAAATAAATGCAGAGCGATTTACAAACAATACTTTCACTGTTGATAATAAATGAAGCACAACCGGTGTTAGCAAAACGATGTAATTTGCCAAACATGAGTTTACCTGGTGGCAATCACGCAATACTTTCTCCGATATTTTTCCGAATATTTTCTTTTCTTCAATAAGCTCTTGTTTGACTTCGAAAACACAAAGAATTCTCCATAAGACATATCTTTCAAGTTGTATTGAAGCGTTACAATTACTTTCATCGTATGAACCATCATTTTATTTATTTCTTTTGTCCACTGCCTCTGCATCAGCAACAATACCCGTTCAACATTTGTATTGTGAGATGCCATAGCCGCAATTCTAGGTGGCAGACAGGATTTTTTGATCGTGGAAAATACTGCACCATTTTTATGAGCTGGCAGTGCAGTGAATTTTTCCTCATTCCACAAACATCTTCAAATTGCAAACTTGGGCAAAACATTTTGCATCGTCTCTATATTCATTCCTCTACCGATCAGATATTTTATACAACGTTCAACGTGACATATCTCTGAAAAAAATGATTTCGTGGATGAGCAATATCTAAATCTTTAAGATTTGTAGCAGAGATTCACCGTATTTAAAAATCCCTGACATTCAGGTACATTTAACATTTCTCCCTGGCGCAAATTTGACCACCAATTTCCCGGACATGTCCTCGAAAAACCTGACTTATGGCAACCCTAGACTAGAGAGAAGATGAGATTCCCAGTTCAATTCTATGTAATTTACAGAATGTGAGAAACGTTTGGGTTCATCCAGAAATAAAGTTGGCCTTTGCATATCAATGGATATATTTATACAGAAGCTGGTTTGAAACGAAATGCCTCGAATGACAAAGCATACCTTTTGAGGTCAGGGCAATAACACGAGGTATCAATTAATGAATTCGTGGTGAAACAATTATTGATTTCTTAATGAATAAATATGATGATGATTTGTAATCGTTTGCTGAAATAAATAAAAACTTGATTTGATAAAGTGCGTCAAGTATTTTTGTTTTGGGCTGTTGGCAGGAGTTTGCATGGGCTTCAACATAATTTTAGAGCTGGAACGGTCCTTCAAATTAGAGGTCTTCTTTTAGTTCAATGAAGACATCAGAATACGTTAGTTGAGAAAATTTAATCCATAGTTTTCTTCTCCGTAGTTTCTGTTTCGGGACAGACTGACCACTGTGAATTCAGGAGTAACCACCTACTACTACTACTACACATCCGCTAGTGTTTGAAAGTATCGACAATATAACAAAAGTACTGGTTACAGATGATTTGAGACAAAAAAATAGCCTGGTATGCGTTCACTAGAGAATATATTACAGCAAAAGGTTCGGCACAGAGATCGGGTACATCTTGACCTCGATTCGTTAATCTGCTGTAATTTTTTAATAATGCAACGATGTTATTTGTAGATATTGTTATGTATTTAAAGCACTGCAGCATTTTACATATTTACATATTTATTTACATATTTATCAAGGAGGTGAGGAATTCTGATAAAGACTTAATCCCATGGGATGGCGGACCACGGCCTCTTGTCCATTCGCTAGTTCATGTCGTTTAATTAAGGATTAGTAGACAGTTATTTTTTGCTTTATTTCCAGATACATGAACATGAGGTTACGTGAACCACCATACAGCCGCGAAGAGTCCAACAATTCTTTCACACATAATCATCCCATACGAGATTCGAACCTGCGAATACCACACAGGGTAATCACAGGTGCTGTAGGAAAGGTATTCCTAACGCTTAGCACGATGTGCTATAAAGCCGAGCCTCCTATGCTAATAAATTCCTTTTTGCTTCAATCCTACCAAGTGCTGGTTCGAGTATTAATATAATTGCATATTCCGCTTGTTATCTTGCTTTAAAAGTACAACAGCTCTAAAGTTTAATACAATCGCGTATTTTTTTGTGCCAAAGACTCGTTTTACCTAGTTTTTTTGTGTTTTTTTTGCTTAACATTTTGTGTGTGTGTGTTGGTGAGCGGGCATATGATACCTCTCATGTTTTATACTTTTCCAATGTTTCTGCTCGCTCTTCATTTTTTTTGTATATATATTATCGAGTATCGATCTATCTAATTAGAGTAATACTGAATGTGACTGGTTTTGTTTCCTCTCCTAATCTATGATCATATTTTATTTATTTACTTCTATCAATCATCTTTCATTAATAGATGTTGTTTTGGTCCATGCATTTGAGCATTGCAAATATTTATGGGTTGTAGGTAGCCATAAACATCTCAGTGGAAGCTTCTGTCTTTGCATTCTAATAAGTTTTCATCTATACACAACCTTAACCGTGAGCCACTCTTTATAGTGGTTCACCCTTTCTCGTTTGCGGACTGGTAAAATTTCAAAACAACTAATTTTGCGGACTGGTGAACCTTCAAAATCAACTCAAAATGTCAAATACATAGAACATAATCAAACAAATGTAATTACGACAATTAAAATCAGACAATTCAATTTAATGAATATTTGGTTGCTGTCTTTCTTATATATATCATACTTGTTAAACGCCGTTGACTTTTACACGATTTTTGTATTTGGTAATGATGAGAGATAACATGGAAAGATTTTCTCACATAAATACAGGACTTTGTCACAGGATTTTCCTCTTTAAGAGAGATAGAAAAGTGTTACAACGGCGAAATATCAGTTTCTCCTTATGTCCTGTTAAACCCACTAACTTTTTGCAGGTTCCTTTCGAAATAACTGAACTGACAGTCACAGGGTCCACCGGATGATGCCTTTTAGAGGCCATGAGCAATTATGATTTTGGTGTCCAATATAAAGAATGAAACTGATTGAAGTCATGTCTGCAAGATATTTTTTTGGAAAACAGTTTGTGAAAGTGTTGCCCCAGTCAGTCTCGATGACTTTTCTATTACATTAATTCTTACTATTTTTCTCGGGGACTCGCTGATATCTAGTTTCACCCAATGTGATATTTTTATCAATAGCGCCGAAATTACTCTTTTATTCCTTGCTATTTCTTGCTCGTCGGCATGCCTTCACTCTCTCGCCCACCTGTCTTGCCTGCTGGCCCTTCCCTACAACTCATTTCACCCTGTGGTGGGGTTCGGACCCACTCCCCCTCCCCCTCATACTTGGTCTGATGTTTGTCCGTGTATGCTTCCCTTGCGCCACTGCTACTGATGGAGATTGGGTGGATCAGATTATTACTTGCCAAAGTCACGCTTAGCAGCCCGCGACGAGGCTAATCAACCCGAAAAGTTACGCTAAACATACTGCGCAGATAAAGAAGGTATTGATGACTCAATGTCATCTTGAACTATCGCGTGCGCTGCTTTAACTATTGAATGTGTGGATATCTAGTTTTCAATCGTTTTTCATTTTAGTTCACTTTTTCAAGAAAAGCGTATTTATGAAATCTTCGGCGAATGTTTGAATCATGTGAATATTTGTACAAATACTATCATATTCCGTTTTTTATCGTGGTTCATGTTAGTTTACCTTTTACAAGAAATAATAATATTATGCAATCATCGGCGACAAGACGCATAAGATAATTTAAAGGCATGAATCTGGAAACCAAATTTCTAACCGTCAGCGGAGGAATACTAAGACTTGAAAACGGTCATCTTTTTGATCATTTCTATCTCTTGGGTTAACTAACCGTCTTATATCTGGTTTACTGTTTCTGAATTCTCACAAACATCTCACAAAAAAAATGTTCAAATTCAGGACCAGATCATACCTTTCGTGGCTCCAACCACTTATGATTTTGGTTCTTTGTATATAAATATTAATAATTATAAAACTTGTGTTTTATGTTATCTGAAATTAAATATTTGAGTTTCCGTGTTCATTACTAATTGAGGGCCAAGTTACGAGTAATTGTCATGATTTTTTTTTATATATTGGAACAGTTTCCATACTCAAAAACATTGATACAGAGATTTAAGATGATACTTAACCGATTTTATTTTAACCGAGCCATTATCGAGGTCTGTGTTGTCTGACCAACTCGAATTATTTCATTAAACACTTAGGTACCATTGAAATATGGTCTATGGAAATTTCTTTGGTACCTCTTTGCCTTGGTGCCCTAAGCACGTGCTTATATTGCTCAATGGTTAATCAAGCACTGCCACGAACAGATCGATTCGAACAAAAAAAAATATACCGTTCGTTAGCAATATTTATTATGCGATTACTAACTATAGCAATAAATAAGAGAAAGCACAAATTTTTAAATAAGCAGTTCGAATCGAAATTTGAATATCAATCGCTTGCATAAACTCATTTTAATTTTCAGGGAACATTTTGAGCATAGGCATGTATTCGTTTTCGCTAAAGTACCAAGACATTATATTCCAAGTCAATTGAAAGTATAACATTTGATTGTTGAGTGGTTGAATGAAAGAAGCATTTTCAGTGGTAAGGAGTCCACGGGCCGACTGGAATAACATATTCGCAAGCTTGTTCGTTAATATTTGCAAGCTTGTTCATTACAACTTTTTACTTCTTCAGATTCTCCAAGACAAAATGAACCAGCCGGTCTGCAAACTCTTCTTCTTGTTTGAATTCCTCCTGGATAGCAAGTGCTGGGGCATGGACTGTATTGACCCCACTGACTCCATGAAGCGCAAGGTTGGTCTTTGCATCTGCTTACTTCAACCAAAGGTTCTGTACATTTGCTTTTATCCTCACTAATGCATTTCCTGTAGCGGCGCTTTTGCCCAACACCACATGTTGCTGAACAGGACGAAAACAGGCTCCATTCGGTATAATAATGAGATGGACCAGAATGCATTTTTAGGATGTCAGATTTAGGGAGATAACACAAATTAATCTCGCAACATCCGTCGAATCTTCCTTTGAGTGGAGCAAATCTTGGGACGTGGAATGGTTTGTACGGACAGTAGCTGTTGGAAGGTAACTGAGGAACAGTTGGAGGACTGCATGGTCTTGCTCCGTATGGCCTGAAAATGTGACCGCATGCTTCACTTTTACCTGGAATCATATGCATAGACGACAAAGAAGAGAATGATTCTGATGGTGTAGCAAATGGATTTGAATTTTTTGGGGGGGTAAATGGGGATGGACCTGTTGGAACAGAAAATGAATTACCAGATGGTAATTCGAATGGATTGTTTTCCTTCGGAGGAGTCGAGAGTTTTGAATTCTCCTTATCATCTGTGTTTTCATAATTGGTAATTTTGTCATCAATATTGTAAGCACCAATCTCTCCTTTCTCCACTCCGGCCCAGTAATCCCAGTGCTTATCAACAGTCATACCTTCACCGACAGCGAAAAGATTTTTATAATAATTAGTTGTGACCGAAGAATCAACAGTGCATCCAGCACTGAGACATTGATGATAACTCAGAAGTATGCGAACGGGAGAACTTGTATCAAATATCTGGCATCTAGGTCTTCCGTAAATGATCTCATGCTTGTTGAATCCAACATGACGTTGACCTGATTTGACCCTGACATTTGAAATGTCAACTGAATAAAAACAACCGTACCCGTATCTAAAACATCCATCAATCAAAGAACATTCTCTGGGATTAATATCTGAAAATACAAAAGAGTATATTATATAAATATTCTGAAAATATCGTGTATAAGAATATGAAAAATAGAAACTTGGCTTACTTTTCCATCCGGCCAATTTTGGACTAACGTGAAAAACGTCAAGAATTGGAAGAAGTTCACAACCTTTTGGTGTTTTCATCTCCAATTGGAACTCTTGCAGAATGCAGTTTGTGAAGTAAGGATTCCATATTCCGTGCTATGAATAGTAAATAATAATATATCATATACCATGTAAAAAATGACAATAAAATGATTGTAATTACGACCTATAAAATATAACATATTTGTACCTCCTTCACGACTAATTGAGCTTTTTGTTGGAAAACTGCATTTCTTATTGCCATATGACAAACTGGAACTCCTGGTAGAACGCTTGGTCCAAAAGCTTCTCGGAAATCAAACAATTCTTTGTCAAAATAACAACCAGGTTGTGAACCACAGAGATGGTGATCGGTGTCTAATTCTGCATTGTCGACTGAACATGGGATTCTGGTGAATGTAAAAGTAAAATAATATAGTTTATACTTGTACAAGGTAATATGACTGTTCAACTTTCGAAAGCTTTAAATGTGTAAAATATCAGACAAATTATAGTTTCCGCATTTTCTTATTATCGTTACGATAGAGTCTTTTACGAAAAGTAAGGGATACAGTTTCAAACAAGGTATGATAACAAAGACCGATAATCTTGGGTAATAGTATTCTACCGATTTAACTTTTCTCACCTGACACAATAGGGAACATCAACTGGTGGATCAAGAACGTAAGGTTCATTCCTTTGTGGATTACAACTTGCTGGAAATGGAGTCGGTTGAGGACATCCAGGAAATCCTGTTGTAAAAAAATAGAATAATGAATTAAAAAAGTAAAAATGTATTTATTTTAAAATCTATTATGCAGAATAAAATAATCCGAAGCAGTTTGATAAGATATTTGCTTATTTTCTATTGTGCCAGCCTCATACATAAAGAAAATATTTTTCTAATTCTTGATTAATTTTTCAAAAATGTGACAAAACATTTTTATTTCTACCTGGTGGTCGTAAGTGAAGAAATCTTGCGCTGTCTTTCTTCATTTTCATAGCTTTTTTAAACAGATCATCAGTATCGTCGACATTACCAGCCTTTGAAGCTGCTGCCGTAACTGAAAATTAGAATATATACCGTAAGACGACTTTATATGATGTAAATTTATAGAGTATGCATTATCATTTTCATGCTGGAAGAGCAATGTCTGTTTAATTAATTTCATATTTCTCGTTTTTTTAGTTTTTTTTAAGTTTTACAAGTTTATATGAGATCAATCGAAAAACTTGGAAAAACCAACCGTCTATATTCACACCTGGATAAGGTTAATTGATATAAACTAGTTGTGAAAAAAACTAGCTATCAACATCTTGAAAGATTTGCATCAGAATGAGCTAGATTGGATCGTTGATGATACTTTGGTTATAAATAAAATTAACTAATGAAAAATTGCCAAGATAAACGGAATTTTGATTCTATTATTTGAATCCAGATATCTGTAAAATTATTATGGAATAATTGCATTGATATACTTACGTTTTTCTGTATCAGGTTGAGCGTAACAAACTGCTGTTTCTCCTTCACCGATTTTACAACAATCTTTATGTTTGTGACAATCATCAGCATCGACTGTTTCTGAAACACCGTCCTTTACAACAGTGCATAATAATCCTCCTTCGCTTCCGAGTCCTGTAAATTATATAAAATCAGTTCAAGTTTTGAAACTACATCAAAATATGGGCGCATATGGAAATAATGTGCGACCAAACAACCAGGGTTAGTAAATGGAATAGCAAAGACGGAACAATCTTCCATGAATATTTTTTTAATCGCCGAGTGACAATTCAACTTAGTAAAAATGGACTAACACTAGGAGCGTATGATATTCAGTTGTTTGCTGTTCTAGTCGAATTATCGTAAATGTTTCGCATTACATTGTATAGTCTGTTTTAAACACTTGTTCATTATCAACACGATGCTCCACCGCAAAGCAATAGAAGGCATTACAATTCCGTTTTTCTTCACATTTGACCACTGCCTACAGAATCGACTTATCAAAGGAAGATTATGATAAGGAATAAAAGTTTAAAAAAAAATTCATACCCATCAGTGGAGTACATTGCTTCTCAGCGGCAACAGCAATCACCACGCATAGAACTGCAACAAAAAATGTTCCAACTTTCATCTTCTGATATATGTTTCGTCTCAGTTTTATTTGACGATTCCAAATAGATCTAAATTTTAAATTTCAAATTTGTTTCAATTTGAATCTGATTCTCTGAAGAATCGACTCAGTATTTATACCTGAAATGTGCCGCCCAGGGGCAAATTTCGTATGTTCATATCAGTATTTTTCACTTTCATTGAGCTTGAATCATCGATGCTGGGCATTTGTTAAAATGTAGGATTAATGAGTCAGAATTTCGATTTCACACAAATAAAATACGCGCTAATTAAATATCATCCATATGCTAATTATAATGAATCTTACGAGTTTGTATCAGTGGATATTTTCGTAAACTTTACCTAATTTTCGTTATTAATTATCTTCACACAATTTTTCGTTATTTTTGTTATATTTAAAGTAGCAATACGAAATACTTTATGTGTGTCTCGTGTTTCGTTATATGGTGAATAATTCAAATTTTCATGTTAAATTTAGCAAAGTTTCAGCACTGATTCATTACATATTCACTTCATACGATTAGTAACTTTTTGGTTGAATTTTCCAGTCTCGCCCTGTACTACGTGAGCCAAGATATATTATGTCATTTACATTCGAAATGATCTCACAAAACATGTATAATATATTTCTGTTGATCAAATATCATTTCAGAAATAAGGTGAAATTGCGACTTCTATTTTAGTAAACTTACTAGTATAGACTTTAGCGTTAGATTTTCCTAACCAGTCCGGCTGTTAACAATGTATTATGTGTTCCGAAGCTTCTTGCAAAAAAAGGGGATGATTTAATCTTTTACTATTCGAAATCTGTGGGTTTGTGGATCTAAGTTTTTAAAAAATTCTTCAAGTAGTATAATTTAGATATTTCACATCGGCCATGACAATGACCACTTGATTGAAAATAGGATCTCGGTTTATGAAATACCGTGTACTTATCAGTCTGTCAAATCCTACCTTATTTTTCCTATCCTAGGCGGTAAACTTTTTATGAGTATATTTCCGCAAATCACTCCAAATGTGAGTCTAGAAAAGCAAGCACTCATTTGAAAAGTACCAAAAAGTCGGCTATTCCTACACAATTATTGACAAATTGAGATTGTAGGCTTGACGATTTTATCTTAGATCTTTAATCTACGGCACCAAAATGGTCCAACGCTATTACGTCATAGACTTGAAATGAATAGGTTCCGAAATTAGGTCCTATCAATAAAAGTATTCGAAATATTACGGGAATTTTACAATAACTCTATTTAGTGTCTATTTAGTTTTGAATTATTGCGTCTGGGCATGAATGCTCGGTCTTTTACTTCTAAACTGACCGAAATTGTCTCATACCATGTATCGATAAAAAAAAATATTCCATAAAAATACCCGGTTTCGATCGAAAGATGACCAGGTTTCAGTCTTCGATCAAAAGATTAGTTAATTTCATTTTGATCAACAGGTAAGCCGTAAACTGATAAAATGCAGAGTAAACACATATTGGAGACGTCATAGAATTTCTTGTTTCAATGCGTAATAAATGCGCTACCTGCATTAATGTTGGTGATGTAATAATTGAAATTCACCTGACCACTCGCGAATGTTTTCACATGACGAACTTTCAAGCATGCTTGTTAATATTGACTCGTCACCGCAATTTTAGGTTTTAAGAAACATATTTTAATTAGGTTTTCAAATTTTCTTTTCAATCAAATAACTTAGTTATGAGTTAACAAGTCTTCGAAAGAATTTTATTTCAGTTGAGGTGATCAAAAAATAGCCACGAAAGAGAAAAGATACAATAATCAAATTAGCTGTTTGGGTGGAAATACCGCAATTAACCTAATATTCAATATATGATTTCTTTCTTGATTATCAGTTATGATGTAATACCAAATTGAAAAAGAAAAGGCAATTTCATACAGCTATCTCAAAATCGCGGAATACAAAATGACGTAAATTCTAATGGGATTACCGATATCATGTTTTGTGACACTAATTCAAAAAAGCGAAAATTGTCTAATATTTCGATACCAGTATTATTTATGGATTTTTAGGAAAATTTTTATGAACTCGTCGTTGTTGGAATAGTTATTTTCTGGTGATAATGATGATTTAAACGCACTGAACACCTTTGTATTTTAATTGAAAATTTACATACACTTTCGCTAGTACTCCAACCCATTTTAAAAAATGTTCTACTTTTGATTCCCTTGTCTTCATAGTAATTCAAATATTGATTTAAAAGTAGCTGATATTGACAATTTTAATATGAAACGTAAATTAATTGCTTCTACATCCTATTCCATGTCTTTTTTTAATTAATCAATTTTTTTTTTATTCATTTACACATTTATTGTGGTAACAGGGCTTTGACGGGAAATACACAATACAGATTAGAATCAACTAAATTTGAAAAGATAGAATATTTCCATGTGAGCATGTCTCGACATAATACTGATGTCCTATTGAAATGCATTGCATAGTACATGTGCATGCTGTGCTTAAAATGGAGAATCTTTTTCATGCAATGATTTTAGCCCGTAAACATTGTGTCACATTGCTCTGAAAGAAATTCCCCTATGCTTTAGTCTTATTCTCAATAATTTACATAAATAGCAAAGATTCATTTTCTGGAATCTTGAATGTCCCAAAATATCCCAATTAATTATATCGGTTATCACTAGATAGATTAAAACACTGCTTTACAAAAAATATAAAACTCATGAATAAGATTGTAAATTTTTTTGTTTCATATGCCCATGTTAGAGCCAGTATATTTGGAAAGCAAAGCCGAGCCAGAACCTATCTATACTGTTCTGTATTACTATTGTATCCTACTATTGGTTTCCGAAACAAATATGATCATCATTTAATTCTAAAAATAGACATCTAGAGAAACCTAATGAGTTGTTGTCTCAATAAGTCACAATGACGTAATTTTAAGCGCGTCATTTTGCGTAGAAACGTAGGTTTGCCCAAGGCCAATTTTAAGGACACTTACTCATACAAATTATGTCATTGATAACCGTTCACTCAATTATAAAATATTTCATACGAATTAGATTCTTAAATTAGATGGAAACACATGCAGAATATCCCATTACGCCAAGGATGAGAAGGCATTATTTTCTGTCATTAAAAAAAGAAAGTGGGTTTTGGATTCAATTAATGTCTGGGTCAATATAAAACTTGTGGTTGCATGTTGGAAACGGAGTGTATTGACCGTTTTGTTGTTGTTGGCGATGGTATTCTTGTTTTATTATTGTTGTTGTGAAATAATCGCTTTTCTCTTTAAATCACCGAACCAATTGCTTTAAAACTTTCAGGTACTTCTATTTATATCCTGAATTTTTGTGGGCTCCATGAAATTTATTTTCGTGCGATGATGTCATAAAAACTTTTGCGCACCTTGCGACAGTTTCGCGTTTGCGTTGGTTGCTTTCGGGGTGATCGGAAGAAGTGGTGAAAACTGCAGTGTCGGGAGTCTAATGAGAAAGATTGCATACTCATACAACTTCGTTTAGAGCTTAGAAGAGCCGACTTTTTCAGCGTATACCGACTTTTCTGTCACGTAAAATATTCAATTCTCTCCAGCTACGAGAATCTAAAATTTCCTTCTATATTAATATAATTGTGTCCAACGTAACTCGCAGTTGCGTCTTCTTTGGACAAAATAAAAACATTAATTACTTTTTTAAAATACCACGTCAATCTGTTGACATAAAACATGAGATGAATGTTGACATGAAACTGTAGTTTTGATACTTATTTTTGCGCTCTTGCGAATTCGTTATCACCGTTACAAAAATCTCAAGATATGTAATAAAATACGGCAGAGTACAAATGTAAATAAAATGAATATGTATTCATGGCCTCGAAATCCCCGCAAAACGACGGATAATAATGATTGTTCTATAGTGCAAAGTCATCAATTCATGACCGATACGGGTATATTTAAAATACCTTGTTTTATTAATTTAATTGTCTTCAATTTTACGTGACAAATAGAGGAATCAATACTCTAAATTTCTAAAATACCACGGCAATCCGCCGACTTAAAAATTGGTGGTAAACTGCCGAATATCTAGATTTGGTGAGTATTTTCGCCATTTTGCGAATTCGACAGTTCTGAGCGTACTTGCAACACTGAGCTCCGCTCTATCGCAAAGCTGCAACTCAAAATATTGGGCACGTAGTGGTCTTATGGATCGTTTTGGTATTTTTGTTGTTGTTATTTTACATAGTTATGAAAAAGTCGCCTTTCTCTTTGATTACTAGACCAATTGCATTGAAATTTTCAGTGGTTAAAGATGGAAGTACTATCACGCTCACTCAATTCAAGTGAAGACAACTCACTTCATGAGATTAAAAGAATATTACACGCCGTAACAAGGTGTACGAAGAACAATCGAGAAACTTAGTAGTTCAATAATATTCGGGTGACGGTACGGTTGAAATCAGTATATGAAAAACTGCTCCGTAGCAGGAAGTCTTAAAGGAAAATCTTCGTTAAAACGAAACATATCGAGTTGTTATAATATACTTTTTTTCAGTTTTGCCCTGTGCCTCAAGACTGAGGTAATAACAAATAACTTGAACCATAAGTGGAAAGAATTCGAATATCTGTTGGCACTTTATGTGGCAAAAATCTCGACTGAAAAATCCAAATAGAAGGGATCGTTATACAAGGCAAGCATTGTAATGCAAGGGATATCAAAGTGTTTATATGTGCAAGTATGGTCTACTATACAGATTACGTGAGTTTTGCTCCAAAAGGCAATTATTTAAGTTGATAAGTTAAAACGTCTCATAGCTAAAGGACGGTTGTTTTATTTTTTGATATTTTTCAATCTCAGATTTACTATTTTTCTGCCTGCGATTAGTCAAAATGCTTTTTTATTTCACACTGACTAAACACTTGGAAAAAATAATTATGGGTTCTCATTTTATAATGATTTAACGGAACAAACTGTTCTGCCATTGCCGCGATAGTTGCACTAAAGTTTTATGAGTAAACTAAAGAAATTGTTAAATCATCGTTTGTAAAATTATTTGAATGAATTATGTAATATGTATTTACGCCCCGACCTTTTTTCATGTTTTAGCCACAGTCTTATCGGAGTATTCAGAACGCGTTTGGAAGAACTCAGAGTCGATCATAGTACATACGGGGTGATATATTTTTAAATAGTTTATTCTTTCAATTTTCAATAAAAAGCAAAAATAATGAAAATATTTTTATTCAAATTTTGCTTTGAATAAATACAAATGAAGTTATTCTACGAAATTGTCAAAGTCTCGATTGAAAACTCAGTCTAGAACAGTGGTTCTCAACCATTTTTTCTCGCGCGCTCCACCTTCGCTGCACAAACATGCCGTGAGCCAAAAACTTTCTTATGCGAGCGAAAACCTGTGAAAAAAATTAAAAATTTTTTTTTTCAAAATAGACAGCTCCACTTTATAATTAAAATGAGAATGGCCACTCAGTGACAAAAATAACATCATCATTCATTACTACCATACAATCAAATTGACCTAATAAATGTATTATCTCGAAACTTTTTTAATAGGTTTATAACCCTCCTGAAAATGCTTTCGGTTTTAAATATAGCCGTTCAAGATCAGTAAATATGTGGATAATATTTTTTTTCAACAGCTCTTTTCTGAGAAAGGAAAGAAAGGAATTTCTGATACTCTTAAATTGGAATGCAAAACATTCGACAAACTAAGCAATGCACATGAATAAATTTTGGAAAGTTCGAGCAATGGCAATTGGTGCTTGATCTTACATGAAAATATATCAAGATATTTGAGTATCGCTCTCTTGTGTATGGATCGAATAACTCAAATGGTACCAATGGTAAAGTATAGGAAGGATTTTTCGCGGGTCAAGGGTCGGGAAACATCCATTACCCTAGAATTATGCAACAACAGATTGTACAAGTAAAATTTTACAAGATTGTACATGCAAATGAAAGAAAATCGGTTATCAATTAAATAAACGTGACAGAAATGTTGCCACTTTTTCCTGATTAATCATGTTATGCATTCATAAATCAGCACTTCCCTTCTAAAACACATGAGTTTCTACGTGTTTGCCTATTGAGCTAGACCTCGATTCTTCAGAGGTTTGACCTGCAATCGATAAATCTTTTTCATCGGGAGTTGATGTTGCTAGAACTGACAGACATTTGAGGACAAACTGTGACCAAATAGGAGAACTCATGTACCTCTGATTTCCCTGATTAGGTTCGTAGTTTCGAATCCTTTGGGGATAATTATGTGTGAGTACATTGCCGGGTTCCTTGCCCGTTTCACCTCCGGGAGTCCACAACACGAGGCACGCGTGCCAAATTTGTCACGCCATACGCTCAAACGTGGCACGCGAATGGTTTTTTAAAAAAAAAAAAATTTATGACTTACATTAAAATATCATGCTTCTATCAAAATCAGCAGTTTTTCAGGACATTAAATTGTTTCAATAAATTGAATGAATAGATATTCGTTATTAGGTATTATTATTGAAATTTGTTTGATGTGTGTTCTACGGGAGTTTATTTACAAAGGTTGTTTCCCTGAGCATCGACTTCCTTGTTTACTTCGTGACAGATTTTAAGGCGTGGTCGTTTTCATTACATCGTTTTCGCGTTTTTGAATTCTATTCTTTAGTTTTCAGTTGTGTTACGGATATGAAAATATATATAAAATAATTCAATGATCACTTTGTCTTCTTAGAAGTTTCAGTTCAATTGCAGTAATCGAAAATTAGTGTAGATATATATACCGGTAGCTGTGATAGACTAGGCTAAAATTCAGATTGTTGAATGCTATGAATCCGAATGATGGCTTAGAACAAATATCCCATTTTACAAGCGCCTCGCGTAACCACTCTTAAAATAAGCACCGAAAATTTTGCAATGGTATAATATAGGAATAATTTTAAGGGGGTCAGAGGTCGGGGAGAAGTCCATACCAACGATTGTGCGTGGCACGCGACAAGATTATTTGGAAAAATTTGGCCCGTGTCCTATTCGAGTGCACCCCTGATGTCCTAACCGCTGGTCGGTTGCAGCTTCCACCATCATCAAGTATATGCATCTAAAACAAATAACTATCTAACTAAAGCCATATTCTTCTTGGATTGGTGACCGGGAGAAAGGCCGGGTACGCCATATAATTAAGCCGTCCAATCGGGTTTCGCGTCAGGGATGAATATATAAAAAATATCCTAAGTGGATCAATATTAGTAGACTTACATTGTATGAAATGGTTTGGCACACTTGTGACTTTATCCGAAAACACAGGTTCTTCTAAACCAGTGGAGTCATACGCATCTGAAATAATTTCGACAAAATATATGACATATTTTTATTAAGTCAAAACGTGATACCTCGTCAAATTTCAGTTTACCTTTGCTATGACGTGATTAATATCCATTTCGAAAGACGAAGCAACGCCGCACACAAGACCCCGCGTAGAAGTTTTGAATGCACCGATGCCGAATATGGCTGAAGATAAAATAAATACCATCTTGCTATAATATATACCGCAAGAAGATCATTGAACAAATTTCCGTTTTCCAACTGTTTGTACCTTATTTGGATATGCGATATCGGTTCATTACTCAGGAATGACAAACACTATTTTCTAATAAACTTCAAAATCCAAACAATGTATTACAATATCCCTACAACAAAAAAATTCTACATAAAATAATTGAATATGAGTTAGGGTATGGGATACACATATATAATAGCGGAGAGAAACATTACTATTAAACATGTTCTAGCGTTGAAACTAACACTTTTTATAAAAGTTATATATTATTTGCTTGAGACACACATATCAATACAAAACAAACTTAAGGCTGAACTATAACAAATCATGTTTAAACTTGCAACAAAGCACGCGATAACGCCACGCTGAAATAAGAGTTGTGAGTGGCAAAACCAATGAATCCTGACTATATTGTGATACCGTAACCGTATGTGATTTCATTTGCAGCGGTTTTGGCAGAAACCTTACGCGACTAGAAATACATTGAAGCACAGTGCTTGTATATAAATCGGATTTCATATTATGTTTTGAGTTGAGATATTCATACAACTACAGACAAATGATTGAATTAAGCTTTCAAATTCCAATTTATGGCAAAATTTTCACAAAGGAAATAGACATGAGGGTATTTTTCGTAGAGGATATGTAGGATAATCAAAAAATCTATTTATTTATCCCATCTAGCCGGACTATTTTTGCTATTGGTTTTTGCTTCTCATTCGGGCCGTACCGTGGTGTTTGCAGATTGAAGAAGTGTTTGCGAATTGTTCAACAGTAAATTCCTTGTCGTTTATCGGTGTTTGTTTAAGTGTCAAAATCAAAACTTGTCTTCTCAAGAACATTTTATAGCATAAATTGGTATAGGTTGAATGAATTCTCCATTTCAATCAATTTTTAAATTCTCTTGGAAATTGAAATAAATTTATTCAAATATCCCCTGGAAGTTTTTTATTTCAATTCAATTTGAGGGTTTATAATTTTTTTTTTATGCAAAATACAAAAACTTTGGAACTTTATATATACCTGCAAAAAACTGTATATTTTTCTAAAGTCTTGTTGATGATTGAGTTTCTCATTCCATTTGTCTCTTTTGAACACACATATGATATTTTATATACAATTTACTTTCAATTCTCTTAATCACGCAAATAATGCAACTGTGAATATTCATTTTACTGAAACTTTCACGAAAAGAGAAAACTTGCTAACACGGAAGCAAAAGAAAACAATGGTTTGTTAAATCTTATCGTAGTTAGGTAAATATGATTGAAGATATTGTTTGTTTTATCTCCCAAAGTTCTGATTCCCCCGTTAATTTGTAATATTATTATTCATACACATGCACTTCAACGTACGTCAATATTTGATGATATTGTGTGTTCAATGATGATTATCTTTGTCTCGGGGATGAATATGACTAGACGAACACATTATTAATGTAGATATTGCAAAATCTAAGCATGCGCAAATTGCCGCTGCTTATGGGTATGCTTTCGATTTCCAGTCATTAAAATTAGAGTAGCTAAAGTAGTTAAAAGTGTATGATTCTGGTCATTTACCACGTAAATAAATTAGGCTTTAAGCGGAAGACAAATTTACTCCAAGTTGGGTTTCTAACGGTAAATTCAAAATGTTTTGTAAGGAGGATGTTGATTTACGAAACCGAGAAGAAATAAAATATATTTATGCCGCGGTAAAATTTTTTTTGCTGAGCATGGGATATAAATTAGCTAGTAATTTGCACCATCAAGGATCCATACCATTGACATTTTGTATATCAGTATGAAAGAATTTGATTTATAATGTGTCAGGTTTCCTCGTTAGTTGGTTAGTTAGTCCTGTTTATAGTATATTTAGTCTATTGCAATGTAAAAGAACAAAGTACATCATGGCTTCTGCTGCGGGGGTTACTTCCAAAATGTCGAATCTAGAACTAAATAATTCGAAGGAAACGTCAACGTATGAGTTATCAATTTCTTGCAAGTATGTCTATCAGTTAATACAATATGAATAAATTAATCAAATTAATGTATTTATGTTATAAATAGTTTATAAGTTTACTTTAGTTACGAACGACATCATCCCTGAGATTCGCATTTTAATTACAAACAATCTAATTTTAAGGTGTAAAATGCGTCTTGCTGGCTGTCACCTAAGCTCACCAGACCTACGAATAATGAATATAGTAGGACTCGAAGGTCTCCAACTCAAAACATGTCGCGGGCCACTTCTTAAAATTTATTGCCCACGCGGGCCGCAAACCAAGAAATTAGGTACAAAAATTGGAATCTGAATGTATTGTGTTGAAATTACACTTGAATCTTACAGCAAACGAGACATGAAACATATTCATTTATTTGTGCTGGATATTTGGTTTCCATGTTTGACCTTATTTTGCGTTGATTTGCTTGTCTTAAGACAACATGCAAATGCTTGTCCGTTAGTCATGTGCGAAGGGCTTACTTTCATAGTTGCAAAAAACTACTCGCAAATATATAAGAACTGCCAAACATCGCAGGTATGCAACGTGAATGTGCAATTATCTTTGCAAACCTTCTCGGGCACAATGGACTGACCGAAACACGTTTTTTTTCGCACAATGAATATGCGAAATGAAATTATTGTATTTATAATTGAATTATAACAATGACAATAGAATAAAACACGAATGTGGTAAAAGGGAATAACAGGGGGAAATTTTTGCTTCACTTTTTACAATTCGTCGGACCGGACTTTTGATGATAAATGACACGATAAAACTCACTAACAGTTGACATCGTACTATTTTAGTTTTTTTGTGGAAAAATCCCAACCATGACGTGGGCCGCTAAAAATGCCTGGCGGGCGCGTGTCGGAGATCCCTGTGGTTGGTAAACAAAGTCGAACCTACGTGTATAACTTGATTAGACAGTCTATACACCAATTGATATATTGAAGATTCATTTTTACTCTAATTTCACTTAAATAACGTAAAACTGTATTGTTATTCAGAGGTCTGAAAGATGCTGACATTTTCTCAAAATCTGATCCGAGTAAGTTGGTTCGTAATTTTAGGCAAAAGATCTTTTTTTGATATTATTTATTCTGATTTTTTATCTTAATACTTTCCTGTTCTAGTGGTCGTGATGTATGTAGAAGCATTGAGCTGTGAAGAAAGATGGAGAGAGGTTAGTGGCGTTTGGGAGTTTATGGTATACTATAATATCAAATAGCAAAGATAAATATACGAAAAAAATAAAATATATAAACCCCTGGCGTGCTTCTTAACACACTGTCTGATGTATGGTTGATGCATGACGGACATGTCTAGAATAAATTGATGTTTAGTCATAATGTAATGAATTTTTTAATATATATATGCTGATTATGTTGACATTTTTTTTTGCCAAAATATAGACGTTTTACATTTTAACCATCACGAAATCGACTATTGAGATAGTTGTTAAAAAAATTTTGATCCTTTTTCATTGTGTAAAGAATTCAACAACACGATATGATATGCTACAAATGAAATATCACGAATTGAACTATCTGGATTTAATATTTGAACTTCTAATAATAACATTCAGTTAATTTTGTTATTATGTTGTGACATGCTAACATGACGAAGTTACAAAATATAGCTAGCTCTAGGCTAAATAACTGTTTAAACCAGCATTTCCAATTTCTGTGTGCCAAAATAATTCCGAGTGCGGCGCTAATTTCAAGTCAATTTCCTAATAATTATTTCTTACATTCCTACATTTAGAACTATTCATAAAATCATAAAAATTGGTAAAATTAACGTTGAAAAAAAAAGCTTCAGGTAGCGAACTGATTGAATGTTCATATGAATACGTTGAATTTCTTCGTCATAATATAGTATTAATACAGTCAAAAGTTCTTTTTGATGCGTCGTTATTTGTATTATCGAAAGAAATCGCGTCATAATTTTGTAATGTTTGGCAACCGCCGGCATACGTGGTAACAGAATATTAATGACCGACACACAGCTACAATTCGATTATCTTGTGTATTATAATATGATAAGCTCACAAATTAATCCGAAAATAACTAAAAATTTATATATCTAAATATATAATGTCAGTGAAGCGCTTTGACAGACCCTCGTTTGCACTTTGGTATCGAGATCGAAGTAAGGAATGGAAATGCTATAATAATTGCTATTCATTTCTAGTTAGGACGGACAGAAGAAATTCAAAACACTTTAAATCCCCAATTTACGAGAAAATTCAGCATTGATCATTATTTCGACGAAATCCAGAATTTGAGATTTGAAGTGTGAGTATTATATGACCAAGAGACCAATGCCTATTTATAACGACCAACGCAGTACTTTGTAAATTACAATCCGGTGATTGTTCGACATGAAGTTGACCTTGTCTTGTTATTTTGTTATTGTTAGTCTATTTCTTTTTTTGGTCTTCATTTCTTTTCAAATTACCTTGTGCTCGTGTTGATTGCGCGATCACATAGCACGCCTTCATACTAGTCCGGCAAACCCGAAGTTATTTCCTCACTGATGCCAGTGTGAATTGCTACTACGAATAAACGAGGATTTGCTGATCCCATCTCCTCATATTTGATCATTACTACCTTGTTCTTTATATTGTGAAAGTAAATGTGTTTTTAACTAAATAATTTATATTTGTTTTGCTCGTTGGAGTAAATAACATAATTACATTTGTTCAAAATTCTTCGAGTTTTAAATTTTGTTGCAATTTTCAGTAGCTTTCATGGTATTGTTTTGTAAGTTTTGTTAACGTGTTTCGCAGATACGACATAGACAAAAAAAGTCATGACCTAAAAGATCATGTAAGTAATTGTTCTGCAATCATTAGTACCTCGCAAATGAATTTACGTATGTTCAACACCGTGCAATAATTGATTTGTTAATAAAGCTTTCATATACAATATTAAAAAAAGATATCGCACAGTTTCACTGGGGACAGATAGCCGAGGGTTACAAAAGCTGGTTATCAGCAGCGACATTCAAGGTTCTAATATAATTGGGAAATTTATTTACTAAACTACTGTTATTATCGAGTACCGTATGGCTGTGCCGAATTTTTTAACTAATACATCTCGTACTAGAGATAGATAATCATTCGAGATTGTATCAGCCCTCTTTAATCGTAATGTATTGCACAGACTCCAATTTGGGAAAGATTCCTGTCCAAATTTCATTCAGCGGTAAGTAATTCACGTTTTGAATTACAGGATTTTCTAGGTTGGGCAGAGTGCAAACTTGCAGCTATCATACGAGCAAAAAGATATGAAACCCCGCTATATTTAAAAAAGAAAGAAACGCCTTTACTGTGAGTGATATTTATGATTTCATGTATTTTGTCATAGCATCCTTAGGAATTTTCGCACGCCGTCGAAAAAGTGTTGAAAGTGCAAATATGAAAGCGCCACTGACGGGCTAAGAAATAATGTAATCCTTCCCCAACCAATAGAAACGTCAAAAGATAACAACGGTTGACACGAAACTTGAATAATCTAATGAAAACGGTTAATTTAACTGCAGTCGTATGTAAGACAATTTTTAGCATAAAATATCTCACAGTGTATGAATGAGAACTAGCCACTAAAATATTGAAAAGCCAAATATCTCACTGGGCAGACGGATAATATTAAGTAACTTTGAATAGGCCATCGCCGCATTTCTGTCAAACAAAAATTTACGATATATCAAACATTAACAGGTCTATACAAATCGCAGTTTATACAATTCCTATTTTGTTAATGATCCCAGTTTCACACTACTCATTTTACAACTATTTTTAGTCAACAGAAAAAGAAAGGAAAAATTATCATAGTTGCAGAAGAGCTCTGCGCCTCCAAGCAGTGGCTAAGCATGAAATGGGAAGGGAGAAAACTAGACAGAAAAGATGTTTTTGGTTCATCCGACCCTTTCATGGTTTTTTCTCGATGTAATGAAGATGGAAGGTTGGAATAATTTTTGTTCTTGTTTATTTTTTATGATAGCATCGTATAGCTATTTATCCCAACCAAGTCCCATGTATCAGTTTATGATATTTTTGTATGAATTTTAATAAGCAAGTCTTTTTGTACTCCCCGATCCATGCACAAAATATAGCGATGTTATTTGACAAGAAGTAGAATTTGGATTGTTTTGTTATTATATATTATTACTACTGTATTTATTTTATCCATTCCAAAACTTACTGTGGTTTTACTGTATATATGATTTGTCTTTCACTTCGAAAGTTTGGGAGGCGACGCCTTCAAAATTGAAATTTACTTGTAGCAAGATGCATGAAGATTTATTGCTACACGAATGTCGGAAGTTGTTTGACTGTACTGTACAGTAGACTAAGTACTGTATAAAATATATGATAATACAGTTGTGAATTAGATCATTTGCTATTTCAATTCACGCTGAGACTAATGAATCATCGTCACAGGGCTTGGATGAGCTAGGATGGTGAGGGTACCGGTACTAGTAAGTTGCTGTTCCACAATTCCAGCTTCAGGATACGGTTTTGGGAAATTATGAGTAGAAGTAAGTCCATACATTTGAGCATTGCTCTCTCGTTAGAAAAAATAGGCATTTTGGTCCATGTGCGTGTGATGTAAGGCTACAGAACCCATCCTCATCTCATTTTCCATGGGAATTAGCTACAGGCACTATCAAGCTGACTCACTCAGAAGTGAAGATAACTAACTACATAAGGTCATACGAATATTACACGCTGTAAAAAGGCGTACGAAGAACAATCGAGAAAATTAGTTGAACAGTATTCGGCTGACAGTAATTCAAACGGTTGAAATCAGTATAGCCTACTGAAATAACTGCTCAGTGGCAGGAAGTCTTGAAGGAAAATCTTCGTTCAAAACGAAACATATCGAGTTGTTATAATATAAAATATATATATATACTTTTTTTTTCAGTTTTACCGTATGCCACAAGACTGAGGTGATAAAAAATAACTTGAACCCTGAGTGGGAAGAATTCGAAATATCTGTTGGCACTTTATGCGGCAATAATCCCGACAGAAAAATCAAAATAGAAGTACTTGACTGGAATCGTAATGGAAGGTAAGCATTATGATATCAAAGTTTTCATAAGCGCAAGTTTGGTACAGAATATGTGAGTTTTGCTCTGAAAGGTGTTTATTTGAATTGATAAGTTAAACTTATCTTAAACTGTGAATTTCACCAATCTTTTTTCATGTTTTAGCCACAGTCTTATCGGAGTATTCACAACGTGTTTGAAAGAACTCAAAGCCAAACATAGAAAATACGAGGTGACATATTTTTAATAGGCTATTATACTGATTCTTGATAGAAACCAAAAAATATGCGTTATCTTGTTTAGTTTACGAGATTGTCAAAGTCGCGATCAGAACTCAGTCTAGATTAGAACATTCCTACGATTTTTAAATATAGCCGTTTCAAACTTAGTACAAATGTGGGAAATATATTTATTTCAACAGTTATTTTCCAAGAAAAAAAAGAGTTCTGGCACCCTTGAATTGGAATGCAAAACAGTCGACAAAGAGACGTTTGCCGACTACATCAAAGAGTAAGTTGAGAGTTCAATAATTCGATAAAATAAAGCACATAAATATAGCGTACTACATTTCCACAAGTGAAATACCTAAACCGGATGTAAAAGTCAACACAATCAAGATGCTCACCAGTGGACCAGTAGATACTTCATTGAAAATTCGAATTCATATTTAGGAACGGTAGTTTATCATGGATCGACTAATATCATCTGATATAGATCCTGAAAAATCTTGACTAACCTCAATATCGGTAGCCTAACTAACCTATGTCCTATGAGACTCACACTGACGTCCGTTATCTGATCATTCAAAAGAATTAAAGATTCGAATTGCAAATCAAGTCTTACCGTCGCAGAGATTCACATAGGTACTAGTAAATCCACGAAGATAGCGAGCGCATCGGTACCGGTACGGCCTTACTTGTAAGTTTACTTGTACAGAAAAGTTTGACGGACATCAAGCACGACGAAATAAAAGGATTCACTTTAATTAATATAAAACTGTATTATTTGCTGAAATATTGGATCTCACCCAGAAAAAAATTGAAAATGAAATAGCCTCTTATCGCCAACAACCACTTTCAAGTATTGGAAATTTAAAATCGATTGCTCCATTATTTGCGAGAAAATCAAATTGTTTCAGCCACAATAATTTACCCAAAAATAACAAGAAATTATCAAAGCGTTCTTTCTGTAGGGCCACTTCGTGTTCAATGAATAAACAAAACACGTACAATATTTCTAATACAGTAACAGAAAAGTCACGAAAATCTGTACAAAGTGCAAGTCATAATGTTGGGAGACTTGCTATTACTGTTAAGTAGTATACAGTTAGGCATACATAGACACCTTGTAGCAATATTTTTTTCAATGCAGTGGCGTCGAGTTGAGTTGCGTTGTTGCAATTGATTTCTCTTTTGTACACACTGATCCAGATGATAAACCAAAATATGGACTCGCAATCAAGGTAAAATATAATTTTATAGCTAACTACAACCAAACTAAAATGAGTTGAATGAACAATTGATAATGTTATGAATGTTCTACTTGTGTATTGTTTCACTAATTTATTCGAATTCAAGAGTAGAACAAATTTATCACAGAAGAAATATTGTACATGAACGTGAGAAACGCTACGTTCAAGTTTTTTTTTGTATATATTTAATTGGAAAAAATAAATAAAAGAAACTGGGCGTTTTATATTTAGGCTGTCGGTGAGGTGATTCAAGAGTACGATACGGATCAAGTATTTTCAGCGTACGGTTTTGGAGCCAATGTGAAAGAACCCAAGGAAGATTTTAATACAGATACATTTTCACTGGTGAAGTAACATTACACGAATTAAATTAGTAACACTAAGTGATTTGTTGTTGTTGTTCTTTTTTAACTATCAGTGCCAATTGTTTTGAATTTACTGGGCGCGTTGATTTACTTGGCTGCTTATTGATTTGGCTGCTTCTTGAATAAAATGCGCTATATATCGATCGACCGTGGCAAGCTTGAACACTTTACTGTTATTACTTTTTGTGATTTAATATAATAACTTAAGAAATTGATTTTCCTACTTTCTCCATTAAAAAGTACATAAATCCTTTTTTTCACATAATTTCTCATTTTTCTTTTAGAATTTGAATTCACAATTCCCGGACTGCACTAAAGTGGAAGGAATTATTGAAGCATTCAAAAGCTGCTTAGAGAAAGTGGAGGCAAAAATAAAAAGCAAAGCAAATTTTGCTCCTATAATAAAAAAGATATCAGAGTAAAACTATATATATATTAATCGTTTCAACTTACGCTTGGTATGTCGTACATACCAAGCAAAATGACCATATATGAAGAACACTGCCATCGCGATCAATAAAATAAATAAGGGATGTCGTTGCTGTAGATCGCGACACATTTTTATTCACAATCAATTTCAATACAAATTGCAATCCCACTTCGATTTTTGGACACGTTTAGTGGACATAACGATCGTTTCAATATTATGTTGTTATTGTTATTTCTCCATCATTTTTAAAAAATCGCTTTTCTCTTCGAATACTGGACCAATTGCTTTAAAATTTTCAGTGGTTAAAGATTAAATTTTTCTCCAGAGGGCTATTACTTTTTTTTCCCGCTATGACGTCATCAAAATTATTGCCATCGGGTTGCCAAATTATCGCTACGTGTCCATATATTTGAGCATAGCTCTCTTGTTTTAATTGTGATTAGGGTTGGACATTTTCAAATACCTGATGATTTCAGCATTGAATCCAATACTTTTTGAAGTAAGACAATGACAGAATTGTATGTGACTTTTTTATTGCAATAGGGGCTCCAAACACGTAAATTAGTGGAAACATTGAATCCATCACTCAGTCAGTTCGCGGAATTGTCACATACAATGAGAAACGTGTTTGAAAATAGTCACATTTTTAAATTGCAATTCAAAAATATGGCTTAACTATAAACAAAATTGAGAAAATAACAAAGATTACGGTGATTTAATATTTCTGTCTGAACCGATTCGAATAATTTACAATTCTATTCAAAATGTCAAGCCCTGATTGTGATATATAATCTAATCTAAAGTATTTGTTGTATTGAGGTGAAAAAAGTCACAGAAGAAGTAGAATATTACCTGTTTTTATTATCTTCTAGAATGGCATCTAAGAAAGTTGGAAGACTCGTGGAATATTTCGTGCTCTTGATTGTTACAAATGGGAACATATCCGACATGGATGATACAAAAGAAGCTATTGTAAAGGCAGCCACATTGCCAATGTCTATTGTGATTGTTGGAATCGGAGGTGGCGATTTTGAAGGTAATATTAGGAGGAACATTTTATGTTGATGTTAAATTTTGTAGTAGCATACTAAAGCGTTTTTCTAGCTTACTTATTTGAGTAATTTTCTTTGAAGAAGAACGCAACGTACAACTCGTCCGCTCTTATCAGTCAGATATGGAAAATAAAAACAGCAATTTTTCTTAGAATTTCTAATTTGTTGCCAGCTTTGAAAATGGAATTCAAAAAATACAAAAAATCTGGCTCTAAATTCAGGCGCCGAGCTCGAGGGTCCACTACAGTTTCTGTTCCCACAAGCAAAGCCCGTAACCTGGTATTAAGAAGCTCTTGTGTAGATAAAACGCCAGACCTCCATGTACGATTGAGGAAATGCAAGTTTTCAGCACAATACATTATGAATGTCAGGAAATCAGTTTATTTAACTTATTTTGTTTGAATCTGACAATTTGAGCCTCTAAAACTTGTAATATCATCTAAAAAGTTCCCAGTGTCTACATATGTAAGTTATGGAACCGAGGTTTCAAGCGTCCGGGAGGGAACCTCTCGCGTATTTACGCGTAATGATTCGAAGTCTAGGTTTTCATATGTAGATGCAACCTGGAAATCTTTATGTCTATAGGCATGGAAGAACTTGATGGTGACGTGGTGAGGTTGTTTTATATCGATGGCAAGGTAAAAAAGGAGGCCAAAAGAGATATTGTACAGGTAATATATATGTAAAGGAAGCTCCATGGCAAAACACATCTTGTTATAGACCATTTTTATTCATACTGTCTCATAACCTTATTGTGTCCGAAACACAATCTTATTGCTTTATTCTCATACAGATGCAACAGCAACTACTTAGGGCAATATCAATTCGAAAAACTAAAACATTACTTTTTTCAAATTATTATCGTAACATGCTGAAGTGGTGTCATGTTAACTATATATTTGTGTTACAATCAGTGACTGCTAGCTGCGAGCCTTGTTCCGAGTGGAGGTATGAAACGTCCCATAAAAAGACACCCTCATAACTAGATTTCTATACAACCAAAATATATATTGTTCTCAGTAGATATATTATGACAACATTCATTATGGATACCCTATTTGCCATAACAAATCAGTTTTTTCTTTTCTTTTTACCACAGTTTGTTCCTTTTCGAGATTTTTCTGACAGTAATAAATACGAAGTGCTAAGCATGCAAAGATTGAGAAAAGAAGTTCTCCAGGAAATTCCGGATCAATTCCTAGAGTATGTTACTTTATCAACGAAAAAAAGATCGGAGTCACAAAGTTCGACGAAAAGTATTAAGAAGAAAAAGTAAAATTGGGAACTGGAAACAAAAGAAAATTATTTGAGCAACAGAAAAAAGATATGTTGGTTTAATAGGCATTTGTTCGGGAGGTAATACTGAGAGGATTTAATTTAAATTTAACTTTTGGAAACAAAAGCCTAGCTCAATTTCAATACATGAAATACAATATTAAATTGATGATTGAAAATTGGACATTCAATTTCATTTCACCCAAATGTAGATCGACTAACCAAATTGTTAATGAGCTTTTGCTTATCTTGAAGTAGTGTGACAACAGCGAGTAGGGCGAAATCTATCGTAATCGGAGTAATAGCACAATATATTCCTATGGCAAGATTCCTATCTCAAAATGAGTTACTGAAAGAGGAATAATAACGGACCACCAGCGTGAACATTGACTCTACTAAGATGTCAGTACATATTTTGCCATAGCGATTTTGAAGTTACAGTTAATAAAATTATTGTTATCATGATTATCGAGCTTAATGGATATATAGCGCATTGATGATTCTTAGCCACCTGTTATTAATACCGGTAAAAATACCGGTACTAACCGGTAACTCTTTGGAAAATAAAATAAGCATTTAGTTTTTTGATTTGACCCTAAATCATTGACGCACTGCATTTTATTTGCGATCCAATACGGAAAATAGTATTTTTTAATTTAGATTATCAGTTATGTAGAGCAAAAATGTATATATATATATATGGTGTTTGATTTTCTGAAACAGTTCTCGATATTTTAAATTTTGTTTGATATTTATATAGTTTTTAACAGTTTTAATTTGACTGATTTATTATTGTCAGTATTGTGTCAATGTTTATTTTTTCCACATTAATTGCCAAATGCCTAAATTTGCATATTAATAACTATATCAGATGTTTTTTAAGTTTGCCTCTCTGAGCATTTTGCAAACATAATAAGCATATATGTTTTTTGAATGTGTGACACCGACTTCATAATGTTATTTCATTCATCTCTGACATCATAAACCACGTACCAAGGCGCAACGAAAAATCACAACTACAAGATGTCAGAAACTTATCCGCACGCAGAAGGAAAAATCGTAAGTCGATTAAAGAAGTCCCTTAAAAGTGATCCCTTGTAAAATTCACAGAATAACATCCGTGTTAGGCAGCAATGGAGAATTACTGACATTCGGGTCACGAACTGATTCCACATATTCAACAACTTGTCATTTACAAGTACCGGTAAATTTTTTTATCCTAGTCTATCATAGTCATAGCTATTGCTTGACTAATTTTTATTTACGACAATTAAACAAAACCTCATTAAGAAGAAGAAATGATTAATAAGTCATTTGCTTCCTCACTAGACATCACTTTTTTCATTTGGTCATTAGACAATGTTACTGACGTAAAAAATGAAGTAGGTGCTGGGGAAACATCCATTGAGCTTTTTTTTGTTATCGATTTTTAGTTCAAATGCAAGTATATGGAAATCCATGTTTTCACACATGAATATCACATAATCGGCGGTACTGATGCAAGTGTTGCAATTACAAAGCATGTACCAACCCGAGACTATGTGACTTAGGGCCGGCCCGTTCACACTGACGCACAGGTTTGCGTTGGGAACGTAATCAAACGCAATCACGTTGAGGGTGTTCATATTTATACCTTACTTAAAATGAACTTGTTTGTAATAAAAATCTCAAGGAGAATATAGTTCGTAACTAAAGTAAACTGATAAACTATTTATAGCATGAATACATTTATTTGACTTACTAATTGATGCATATATATTGTAAAAACTGATGAACATACTTGCAAGAAATTGATAACTCATACGTTGACGTTTTCTTCGAATTATTTAGTTCAATTTATGACATTTTGGAAGTAACCTCCGCAGCAGAAGCCATGGTATACTTTGAAATTGCAATACCCTAAATCTACTATAAACAGTGATATATGCTTAGCTATGGTGTATACACCTTGGCATTCTACTTCATGTCGTGAAATAATTAGAAAACTTGCCAAATTCAAAATCAAATTCATTCATACTAATATACGGAAGGCCAATGGTTTGGATTCTTGATGGTGCAAAGTACTAGCTAATTTATATCCCATGCTCGACAAATAAAAATTCCTAGCACGGCAGAAATCTATTTTATTTTCTCTCGGTTTCATAAATCAACATCTACCTTACAAAACATCTTAAATTTACCATTAGAAGCCAACATTGGGGTGAAATTGTCTTCCACTAGATGGGATTAATAAAGAATTTTTTTGATAATTATACATATCATCCACAAAAAATACCTTTATGTCTATTGCAAGTCTATTATTGCCGTTGTGAAAATCACAATTCTGCCATGAATTGGAATTTCAAAGATTAACTTAATCATATATCTGTAGTTGTATGAATATCTTAACTTAGAATAAAATATGAAATCCAGTTTATATACAAGCACTGTGCTTAAATTAGGCTTACCATACGTCCCGCTTTAGGCGGGACAGTCCCGCTTTTTAGCGTCTTGTCCCGCCGTCCCGACAAATCAGCTAAATGTCCCGCTTTTGCGTTCAGCCAACCAGCATAATATACGAACATGTTCTCGTTACTGTTGTGACTGTGTAGCGCAACGCTAGTCTATACTTACTGAAGGCGAATGCGTTATTTTGTTTGTTTCGTTGTTTTCCGCTAACATTGTTAGCGAACGTATCACATGTAAAATCAATTCTTTTTGGTCCTGTTCGGACGTTCAAGTGAATGTAACATTGAGCAACGTTCTTTTGAAAGTGTTATCTACAGAAAAACATGCTTGGGCGAATAAGTAAATTCTCAATGCTTGAAAACGGCAGACTATTTCCTTATTCTTTATTCCTTTTGATGTACAAAAAAAATTTAAATACGGATCATTTGTATCGTTAGCGTTTAATTCTTTCTATTTTTCGAACTGAACCCGATATTTCGACAGAGAATATGCGCATAAACCCTCGATTACAATATGGTCAATGAAGACAGGCCGGTTGACTTTAAATGTAGGCCTATGTAGTAAAATCGGAAACTGTAAACTTACAGGATCATAGCTAAGGGATCGTGTCTTTGGAGGCGTCACGCTTTGAAGTCAAAAAAATATGGTAACCGTAGCTTTAATGTATTTCTAGTCGCATACGGTTTCTGCTAAAACTGCGGCGAATGAAACCATATGGGGTATCACAATATGGTCAGGATTCATTAATTTGGCTACTGACAACTCTTTTATTCCTAAACTTTTTTTTAGAAATTATCTGTTTTTCACGAAGCATATTCCTATATATTATATCACTATTGAATTGGATTTTACTGATCTGATTCCAAACAATTTGACAGAAAATTAAGCAAATAGAGTATTAGTTATTATTTGTGAATTAACATTTCTTTTATGGCTTTTTGTTCGCCCTGATGCGTGAAAAGTGATTATTAATGGCTACAGGTATTTTGGCGCTCGGCTTGGCGTTATCGCGTGCTTTGTTGCAAGTCTAAACTTGATTTGTTATAGTTCAGCCTAACGTTTGTTTTGTATTGATAAAATTCTGTCTATGTGTGTCTCGAGCAACATACTATTTATTACCCGCAGTATAGGTTAATATATAACTTTTATAGAAAGTGTTAGTTTCAACGCTAGAACGTGTCTAATAGTAATTTTTTCTTTCCACTACCATATATGTATCCCATCCGGTGTATCCAAAATGTCGTGTCCCACTTGTACCACGTGTCCCACTTGTCTCAAGTGTCCCACTTGTACCACGTGCCCCACGTGCCCCACTTGTACCACCTGTACCACGTGTCCTACTTGTACCACGTGTCCCACTGTACCACGTGTCTCACTTGTACCACGTTTCCCACTTGACACATGGTACAAGCGGGATAAGTGGGACACGTGGTAAATACGGACACATGGGACACGTGGTACAAGAGGGAGAAGTTGTACAAGTGGGACATGTGGTACACGTAGTACAAGTGGAACAAGAGGGACACGTGGGACAAGTGGTACAAGTGGAACACGTGGTACAGGTGGTACAGGTGGGCACGTGGTACAAGTGGGACAAATTTAGATGCGCATGACTCCACTGGTTTAGAAGGACCTGTGTCATCAGATAAAGTAGCAAACGAGCCTAACGATTTTATGCAATGCAAGTCTACTAATATTGATCCACTTAAGATAGTTTTTATATGCCAGACGAAACGAAACCCGATTGGACAGCTTAATTAGACGGCGTACCCGGCCTCTATCCCGGTTACCAGTCCATGAAGGGTATGTTATTAGTTAGTTTGTTACTTGTTTTAAATGCATATACTTGATAGTGGGGGAATCTGTTACCGACCAGCATTTACGTAAAACACCCTCCGACGAAGAGCCCGGCAATCCACTCGCACATAATTATTCACCAGAGGATTCAAAATTGCGAACCCACGCAGGGCAATCAGAGGCGGTGCGATAGCAAGCGCTTTCCTAGCGTTTAGCACCATGCGCTACACCGCCGACTTATATGGTGGTACAAATATCTATCAAAATGTAAAATATCTCGAAGTTTTTCAGCAAATCAAACACCATATATATTTATATATACACTTTTACTTTACATAACTGATATCTAAATAAAAAAAATACCATTTTCCGTATTGGATTGCAAATAAAATGCTGTGCCTCAAGGATTTAGGCTCAAATCAAAAAAACTCAATGCGTATTTTGTCTTCCAAAGAGTTATAGTTTAGTTGCAGTAATCAAAAATTAGTTCCAAAAAAGATGCGATAGACGAGGTTAAAATTAGTTACCGGTATTTTCAAATGACAGGTGGCTAAAAATCATCCATGAACTAAATATTCATCAAGCTCCATAATCATAATAACGATAATTTTGATAACTGTAACTTCAAAATAGCAATGAGCAAAAATGTACTGACATCTTAGAATAGCCAGTGTTCCCATCGGTGGTGTGTTTGTTATTCCTATATCAATAACTCATTTTATTCGGTGTAGCAATATTGCCCTAAAAACACATAAAAATATATTATATTATTACTCCAATTACGATTGATCTTGTTGTACTCACTGTTGTCACACTATATCAAGATAAGCAAAAACCCAATAACAATCTGGTCAGTAGCTCCAGATTTGTGTCAAAATGAAATTGAATGTCTAATTTTCAATCAACAATTTCATATTGTATGTCATGTTTGAGGCTAATTGTTCTTTGCTAAGCTTTTGTTTTCAAGAGCTGATTTAAATTAAATCCTCTCGGTAATAACCTCCCGAAACAATGCATGTTAGACCGATATATCTTCTTTCTGTTGCTCAAATAATTTTCTTTTGTTCACAGTTCCAAACTATTGTATACCATTTTTTCTTCTTAATACTTTACGTCGAACTTTGTGACTCCGATCTTTTCGTTGATAAAGTAACATACTCTAGGAATTGATCCGGAATTTCTTGGAGAACTTCTTTTCTCAATCTTTGCTTGCTTATCACTTCGTATTTATTACTTGCAGAAAAATCTCGAAAAGGAACAAACTGTGGTAAAAATAAAAGATTGAACTGATTTGTTATGGCAAATTGGGTATCCAATATCCATACGCAATGTTGTCATCAGATATCTACAGAGAACAATATATTTGTGGTTGTACAGAAATCTACTTATGAGGGTGTTTTATAAAAAATTTATGGGGCGTTTCACGCCTTCACTGGGAACAAGGCTAGCGGCGAGCATTCACTGCTTGTAACGCCAATGTATAGTTAACATGATACAACATCTGCATGTTACGATAATATTTCGAAAAGAAAGTAATGTTTTATTTTTTCGAATAGATATTTTCCTAGGTAGTTGCTGTTGCATTTGCATTGTATTTTGTTTCGGACATAATATGGTTATGAAGCAGTATGACTGAAAAAGACAACATTGTAATTAACAAGATGTGTTTTTCTATGAAGCCTATTTTACATATTACCTGTACAATATCTCTTTTGGCATCTTTTTTTTCTTTGCCATCGATATAAAACAACCTCACCACGTCACCATCAAGTTCTTTCATTGCTATCAATATAAAAAATTTCAGGGTGCATCTACATATAAGGAGCTAGCCGCCGAACCCTTACGTCCATATACGCGAGAAGTTTCATCCCGGACTCCCGGTTTCGGAACTTACGGATATATATATATGTGGACAATGGGAACTTTTTAGATGATATTACTGGGATTATAGTGACTCAAATTGTCAGATTCAAACAAAATAAGTTAAATAAACTGATTCCCGAAAATTCAAATTGTACTGGGTGTTGAAAACTTTTTCTCAAATAAACATGGAAGTCTGGCGTTTTATCCACGCAAGAGCTTCTTAATACCAGGTTACGGTCTTTGCTCGTGGGAAAAGAAGCTGTAGTGAACCCTCGAGCGCGGTGTCTGAATTTAGCGCCAAAATTCGTTTCTTGAATTTCATTTTTAAAACTGCAGGCAACAAAAATTAGAAAATCAAAGAAAAATTTCTGTTTATTTTTTTCATATCTGACTGATAAGAGCGAATGAGTTGTCCGTTGTGTTCTTTTCCGAAGAAAATTAGAAAACGTAAGTCGGAGTAAGCCGCAACAGTGTTAATGGGAATCACTTCAATAGGAAAACTAGAAAAACGCTTTAGTATGCTACTGCAAAATTTAACATAGAATCAACATAAAATGTTCTTCCTGATATTATGTTACCTTCAAAATCACCACCTCCGATTCCAACAATCACAATAGACATTGGCAATGTGGCTGCCTTTACAATAGCTTTTTTAGTTTCCTCCATGTCGGATATGTTCCCATTTGTAACAATCAAGAGCACGAAATATTCCACGAGTCTTCCAACTTTCTTAGATGCCATTCTGGAAGATGATAAAAATAGGTGATATTCTACTTCTTCTGTGACTTTTTTCACCTCAATACATCAAATACTTTTGATTAGATTATATGTCACAATCAGGGCTTGGCATTTTGAATAGAATTGTAAATTATTTGAATCGGTTCAGACGAAAAATTTTCTTGTTTTTTCTGTCTGCCAAAGATCGAGGTGAATTTCTCAATTTTTTTTATATTGAAGCCTTGTTTTTGAAATGCAATTCTGATATGTGACTCTTTTCAAACACGTTTTTATAGTATGTGACAACTCCGCGTACTGAATGAGTGATAGATTCTATGTTTCCATCAATTTATGTGTCTTGAGGCCAAATTACAAAAAGTCACATAAATTACGTCATTATATCACTTCAAATAATTTTCAAGTATTCGAGATTCGATGAAAAAAGTATTTGATTCGATTCTGAAATCTTCAGGTATTACAATATAAAAAATCGAAGTGAGTTTGCTGTTTGTATTGAATGCTGTGAATGAAAATGTGTTGCGATCTACAGCAACGACATCCACTGTTTATTTTATTGATCGTGATGTTCTTCATATACTGTACAACATACCAAGCAAAATTAAAACGATTAATATATATATAGTTTTACTCTGATATCTTTTTTATTATAGGAGCAAAGTTTGCTTCGCTATTTTTTTTTGCCTTGACTTTCTCTAAGCAGCTTTTGAATGCTTCGATAATTCCTTCCACTTTGGTGCAGTCCGAATGTTGTGAATTCAAATTCTAAAAAAATGAGAAATTATGTGAAAAGCGGGATTAATTAATCATTTTAATAGGGAAACTAGGAAAATCGATTTCTTAAGTTATTGAATCAAAGTCAAATCACAAAGAGCAATTACAGTAACGTGTTCGTTGAGTACACGCTTGCCATGGTCGATCGGTATATGGCGCATTTTATTCAAGAAGCAGCCAAATATGAAATAAATCAACGCGACATGTAAATTCCAAACTATTGGCACTGTACTTGAAAAAAATCACTCAGTGGTATTATTTTTAATTTATGTAATGTTACTTCACCAGTGGAAATGTATCTGTACTAAAGTCTTTCACATTGGCTCCAAATCCGTACGCTGGAAATACTTTATCCGTATCGTACTCTTGAATCACCTCCCCGACAGCCTAAATATAACACGCTCAGTTATTTCTTTTTTTTTAATTAAATATATATAAAAATATTATTTAACTTGAAAAAATTTGTTGAACATAGGAAAATACAATTATTTAGTATTTATTTGTAATCAGGTACGTATCATTCCTCAGTATCTTATAGCGTTTCCTAACATTTCAATAATTCTTCTGTAATAAATTTGTTCTAATCCGACTAAATTAGTGAAAATATACGTACAAATCTATGTGGAAGCATTTATGAAAACTGTTCAATATATCCATACATATAAATAGAATATTCAGCAGATATATTCATGACAATATAAATTGTTTATCTAACTCATTTTACTTCAGAGTTGTAAGTGGCAATTTAATTATATTTTACCTTGATTGCGAGTTCATATTTTGGCTTATCACCTGGATCAGTGCATAAGATGGAGAAATCAATTGCAACAAGGCAACTGAACTCGACGCTTCTGTATTGAAAAAAATATTTATATTATGAACCTTTGTAGGTTTAACTGTAGCTTACCTATAATTGTAACAGCAAAATCACCCAATGTTATGACTTGCACTTGTACAGACTTTTCGCGACTCTTCTGTTATTGTAGTAGAAATATTGTAGGCCTACGTATTTTTTATATTCATTGAACACGTAGTGCACCCAATGAACGCTTTGCTAACTTCTTGTTGTTGTTGTATACGAATACTGTACGAATTCTGTACAAGTAAACTTGGTGCTGTGAGACCGTGCCAATGTGCGTCCCTCGTGTGTAATTAGCGGTACCGATGTGATTGGTGCGGTTGTTGAACTTAATTTGCTTTTGAACCTTTTGAATGATCAGATACGTCGATGTAAGCGACATAGATTAGGCTACCTGTACTAAGGTTAGTCATTGAACCCTCGTGCTAGTATATTTTGGAATTGCTCTCCTAATTTTATTTATTCATATTTTCAGGAATTACACCAGTTGATTGATTGTCTTAACGTTGCAGATAGGAGGTCCCGGTTTTTAACATTTAATATGTTGTTCTATACTCAGTTTAGGCAGTTCACTCGTGAAAAAGAAGTACACCGTTAATTGACCATCTAGTGGCCACAGTGTTAACATCTCATTAGTATTTATGTGATTTATTTCATTGGATTATTGAATTCTTCACTTACTCTTTCGATATGTAGTCGGCAAACGTCAGTTTTTCGATTGTTTTGCATTCCACTTCAAGGGTGCCAGAATTCTTTTTCTTCTCTCTCTTAGAAAATAACTGTTGAAATAAATATATTTCCCACATTTAGACTGAGCTTGTAGCAGATATCGTAGTATCGTAGATATGTTTTGGACTGAATTCTGATCGCGACTTTGACAATCTCGTGAACTAAACAAGGTAACGCATATATATATGCAAAGCAAATTTGACCAAAATATATTTAATTGTTCTACCTTCACCTCAGTATAATCACCTCGTATGTCCTATGTCCGACTTTGAGTTCTTCCAAACATGTTGTGAACACTCCGATAAGATTGTGGCTAAAACATGAAAAGATATTGGTGTGAATTTACAGTTTATTAGGTATATAATAAATTTATCCATCAAAATAAATTTACAAACGATGATTTAACTACTTTTTTACTTCTTTTCATAAAACATTTAGTGTAACTATCGCAGTGCTGGCAAAAAAATTTGTTCCGTAACCATTATAAAATGGAAAACCACAATAATTCTTTCATCAAGTGTTTAGTCAGTGTGAGATGAAAAACATTTTAACTAATCGCAGTCAGAGAAAAATAGTAAATCTGAAGATGAAAAAAATATCAAGAAATGAAACAGCCGTCGTTTAGACATGAGATGTTTTAACTTATCAACTCTAAATAATCGATTTTTGAAGCAAAACGCACGTATCTAACCTGCGCTTATGAAAACGTTGATAACGATATCCCTTGCTTTATATTGCTTACCTTCCATTACGATTCCAGTCAAATACTTCTATTTGGATATTTCTGTTGAGATTTTTGCCACATAATGTGCCAACAGATATTTCGAATTCTTTCCACTTAGGGTTCAAGTTATTTTTTATCACCTCAGTCTTGTGGCACACGGTAAAACTGAAAAAAAAAAGTATATATATTATAACAACTCCATATGTTTCGTTTTAAACGAAGATTTTCCTTCAAGACTTCCTGCCACTGAGCAGTTTTTGCAGTATGCTATACTGATTTCAACCGTTTGAATTACTGTCAGCCAAATACTCCTGAACTAATTTTCTCCATTGTCTTCGTACACCTTGTTACAGCGGATAATATTCTTATGATCTTATGAAGTTAGTTGTCTTCACTTCTGAATGAGTGAGCGTGATAGTGCTTATGGCTAATTCTCATGATAAATAAGATGAGATGGGTTCTGTACCCTCACATCACAAGTTCATGGGCTAGAATACTTGTTTTTTTAACAACAGAGCAATGCTCAAATAAATGGACTCTGTGGATATTTACTCACAGTTTCCCAAAACCATATCTTGAACGAAGCTGAAGCTGTGGAAACAGCTACCGTACCGTAACTTACCAGTACCGGTACCCTCACCGTCCTAGCTCACTTGAGTTCTGTGGTGGTGATTCATGAGTCTAGCCTCAACGTGAACTGAAATACCAAATCATTCAATTCACAACTGTAGTATCAAATGTTTTACAGTACAGTCACAAAACTTACGACTTTCGTGTAGCAATAGATCCTCGGGAATGTGATCGCAGAACCGCAACAAATAATTTTTAATTTCAGAGACGTCACCATTCAAAATATCGAAGTGAATTACAAATCATACAGTAAGCCTACAATAAGTATTGAAATAAATAGTAATAATATAAAAATTAATATAAATACATGAGAATTGATTGGGATAAATAGCTATACGGTGCTAACAATAAATAAAAAAACGAGAACAGGATTTTTTCACCTTCCATCATTGTTGCATCGAGAAAAAACCATGAAAGGGTCGGATAACCCAAAAAAATCTTTTCTGTCTAGTTTTTTTCCTTCCCATTTCATGCTTAGCCACTGCTTGGAGGTGCTCAGCTCTTCTGCAGCTATGATAATTTTTCCTTTCTCTACCTGTTGGCTGAAATATGTGTAAAATGAGTAGTGTGAAACTAGGGTGTTTAACAAAATAAGAATTGTATAAACTGTAATTTGTATGGACATGTTAATGTTTGACATATCGTGCATATTTTTACAATTGAGATCTGCTAAAGGATAAATAAATTCTAAATAAATTTTCGTTCGACAGAAATGGCTAATTCACAGTTTACTTATTCATTGGTCTTAATATTTATTATCGTTCTGTCCAGTGAGATTTTTGCCATAATTTCAGTTACTAGTTCTCATTCATACACCGTCAGATTGTCTGCTTGATGACAATTATTTTATTTTAAAAATTCCATCACATACTACTAGCAAGTGAATAAACCGTTTTCACTAGATGATTCAAGTTTTGTGTCAACCGTTATCTTTGGACGTTTCTATTACATTATTTCTTGGCCCGTCAGTGATCGCTTGGCGCATTCATAGCAGCACTTTTTGACGGCTTGCAAAAATTCTTAATGTTGCTATGACCAAGTACAAGTGATCATTAAGATAACTCACGATGAAGGCGTTTCTTTGCTTTTTATATAGAGCGGGGTTTCAAATCTTCTATTTTTCGCTCGTATGATATCTCCAAGTTTGCATTCTGCCCAACCTAGAAAAGCCTGTAATTCAAAGCGTGCGTTACTTACCTTTGCAAGTTGTACTAAAACCTTTCCAAACTGTAGTCTGAACAACCCAATACGATTAAAGTGGGCTGATAGTTACAAGACGGAAATTTGCGTGGACACAATGACCTAACAGTCACGTGGGTTGCTCGGTAACCATATTTTCAGAACAAAAACACTTTTGTTTCGAGTAATCCAGTCGAAGCGGGGAATCTCCCGCCCGCCTGTGAACCGAGGGTTCTTTTATACAGCCTCTAATGATTATCTATCTCTAGTAAGAACGTGTTAGTTAAATAATTCGGCACAATCATACGGTAGTCTGCTCTTCGACAATAACAGTAGTTTAGTAAATTGATTTCCCAATCATATTAGAACCTTGAGTGTCGCTGCCGATCACGTGCTTCGGTTACCCACGGCTGTCCATCCCTATGGAACTGTATGGTATCTTTTTTTCAATATTGAATATGAAAACTTTATTACTAAATCATTTACTGCAGGGTGTTGAAAATACGAAAGTTCATTTGCGCGTTACTACTGAATGCAGATCATTTACTCACATGGTCTGTGTCTTTTTTGTATCTGTAAAACACGTTGACAAAATTTACAAAAAAACAACATCACGAAAGTTTCGATAAAACTTCAAAAACTGAATAATATTTAAAAACTGTACTTTAGATATATTTTGCGACAATCTGCAACACCTCATTCTCTCGGAACAAATATAAAACATTTACTTTCACATTATAAAGCACAAGATAGCAATGATCGGATATATTCGGAGATTGGATCAACAGATTCTCTTTAGTCGTTGGGTTTCGTGTCCGTATTATTAAGCATTGGTCTCATGGTCCTATAGTACTCACACTTCAAATTTCAATTGCTGGATTTCGTCGAAGAAATGATCAATGATGAATTTTTTCGTAAAATCGGGATTTGAAGTGTTTTTAATTTCTTCTGTTCGTCCAAACTAGTAAGGAATAGTAAATATTATAGCATTTCCATTTCTTACCTCGATTTTGATACCAAAATGCACACGAGGTTCTGACAAAGCGCTTCAGTGACATTATATATTTGGATATATAAAGTTTTTGTTACATTTCAAAATAATTGGAGAGCTTATTCCATTATATGCGATATGCATAAGATAATCAAATTGTAGTCATGTGTCCACCAGTGAATATTATGTTACCTCGTCTACCGGAGGTTGCCAAACTTACAAAGTTTTGACGTATAATTTCTAAAATACAAATAACAACGTATCAAAATGAACTCTTGACTGTAATAATACATATTATATTACGACAAGGAAATATAACGTAAATATATATTTATATGCACATTCAATCAGTGCGATACCTGAAGCTTTTTTCAACGTTAAATTTATCCTTTTTTATGAATAGTTCTGAAGGGGGGAAAATAGGGAATCATTTTTAGGAAATAAAATGGGAATTCGCGATGCATTAGTAATTATTTTGGCACACAGAACTTTGGAAATGATGTTCATACAGTTATTTAGCCTAGAGTTAGGTATATTTTGTAACTTCGTCATGTCAGTATGCACAACATAATAACAAAAATTAACTGAATGTTATTATAGAAAGTTCAAATATGAAATCCAGATAGTTCAATTCGTTATATTTCATCTGTAGCATATCATATCGTGTTGTTGAATTCTTTACACAATGAAAAAGGATCAAAAATTTTTGAACAATCCTCTCAATAGTCGATTTTGTGATGGTTTCAGTGTAAAACGTCTATATTTTGGCAAAAGAATTGTAGACATAATCAGCGTTTTTTTAAACATTTCGCTCAACTAACATCAATTTAGTCTGGACATGTATCAACCATGCATCAGACAGTGGTTTAATGAGCCCACCAGTGGTTTAAATATTATATATTTTTTCGTATATTTATCTTTGCTATTTGATATTACAGTATACCATTAACTCTCAAACGTTACTAACCTCTCTCCACCTCTTTTCACAACTTAATGCTTGTTCATACATCACGACTACTAAAACATGGAAGTAATAACATTAAAAATCAGAATAAACAATATTAAAAGTAGACTTTTTCCCAAAATTACGAACCAACTTACTCGGATCAGAACTGAAGAAAAATGAATCTTTCAGATCTCTAAATAACAATAAATTTTTTGTTATCCAAGTAAAATTAGCGTAAAGATCAAACTTTCAATATATATATATATATATATATCAATTGGTGTTTTGGCTGTCTACTCAAGTTATGCGAATGGATCCGACTTTGTTTACATACTATAAGTATTATTAGTAGGTCTGGTGAGTTGAGCGGACAGCCAGTAAGAAGCAGTTTACACCATACTTAAAATGAACTTGTTTGTAATGCAAATCTCAAGAAGAATATAGTTCGTGACTAAAGTAAACTAATAAACTTTTTATAACATAAATACATTTATTTGACTTACTAATTGATGCATATATATTGTAAAAACTGATAAACATACTTGCAAGAAATTGATAACTCATACGTTGACGTTTCCTTCGAATTATTTAGTTTAATTTTCGACATTTTGGAAGTAACCTCCGCAGCAAAAGCCATGGTGTACTTTGCAATACCCTAAATCTACTATAAACAGTGATATATGCTTAGCTATGGTGTGTACACCTTGGCATTCTACTTCATGTCGTGAACTAATCAGAAAACCCGCCACATTCAAAATCAAATTCATTCATACTAATATACAAAAGGCCAATGGTTTGGATTCTTGATGGTGCAAACTAGTAGGCTAGCTAATTTATACCCCATGCTCGGCAAATAAAAATTCCTAGCACGGCAGAAATCTATTTTATTTTTTCTCGGTTTCATAAATCAACATCTACCTTACAAAACATCTTAAATTTACCGTTAGAAGCCAACATTGGGGTAAAATTGTCTTCCACTTCTAGCCTAACTTATTTACATGGTGGCCTAAATGGCCAGGATCACACACTTTTAACTGTCGCTCTAATTTTGATAACTAGAAATCGGAAGCACATTGCCATAAACAGCGGCAATTAGCGCATGCTTGGAATCTGCAATATCTACATTGATGTTTGGTCATTTTCATTCTTGAGACAAAGATAATCATCATTGAGCACACAATATCATCAAATATTGACTTACGTTGAAGTGCATGTGTATGAATAATAATGTTACAATATAACGAAGGAATCAGAACTTTAGGAGATAAAACAAACAATATCTTCAATCATATCTACCTACGACTACGATATCCAACCACGATAAGATCTAACAAACCAATATTTTCTTTTGCTTCCGTGTTAGCAAAAAATACATTAAACCTATACCAATTTGTGCAACAACATGTTCTTGAGAAGACAAGCTTTTAATTCGAAGATTTTGATTTTGACACTTAAACAAATACCTATAAACGACAAGGAATTTACTGTTGAAAAATTCACAAACACTTCTTCAATTTGCAAACACCGTGGTACGGCCCCAAAAGCAATAGCAAAAATAGTTCGGCTAGATGGGATTATTAAAGAAATTTTTTGATAATCCTACATATCCTCCACAAAAAATACCTTATCTATTATTGCCTTTGTGAAAATCACTATTCTGCCATGAATTGGAATTTCAAAGATTAACTTAATCATATGTCTGTAGTTGTATGAATATCTTAGCTTAGAATAAAATATGAAATCCAGTTTATATACAAGCACTGTGCTTTAATGTATTTCTAGTCGCATACGGTTTCTGCTAAAACTGCGGAAAAAAATCATTATAGGGTATCACAATATGGTCACGATTCATTAGTTTGGCTACTGACAACTCTTTTATTCTTAAAGATTTTTAGAAATTACCTGTTTTTCATGTAGCATATTCCTATATAAAATATATATTTTATCACTATTTAATGTGGATTTTACTGATCTGATTCCAAACATTTTGACAGAAAATTAAGCAAATAAAGTAATAGTTATTATTTGTGAATTAACATTTCTTTTATGGCTTTTCGTTTCGCCCTGATGCGTGAAAAGTGATTATTAATGGCTACAGGTATTTTGGCGCTCGGCTTGACGTTATTTCGTGCTTTGTTGCAAGTTTAAACTTGATTTGTTATAGTTTAGCCTAACGTTTGTTTTGTATTGATAAAATTCTGTCTATGTGTGTCTCGAGCAACATACTATTTATTACCCGCAGTATAGGTTAATATATACCTTTTATAGAAAGTGTTAGTTTCAACGCTAGAACAAGTCTAATTGTAATGTTTCTCTCCACTACTATACATGTATCCCATCTCCTAACTCACATTCAATTACTTTATTTATGATTTTTCTTTTTTGTTGTAGGAATATTGTAATACATTAATTGGATTTTGAAATTTATTCGAAAAGAATGTTCGTCATTCCTAAAGTATTCAACCAATATCGCATATCCAAATAAGGTACAAACAGATGAAAAACGGACTTCTTACGGTGTATATTATAGCAAGATGTTATATATTTTACTCTAGCCATTTAATGCATCAGTGCAGAGGTCGGGAACCCATGGCTCGCGAGCCATATATGGCTCTTTTGGTGACGGCATATGGCTCCCAGAAAAATCTATTATTCTAAGATTAAGCTTACTATTGTTACTAGACTTCAAACTATTTCATGGCCTAATTTGGCAAAAAATTCCCAATACGTTTGACAACGCGGGCCTAGCGCATGTCTATGTTATGTAAGAGAATTACCAGACAGGCATTGTGACAAAACATGGGGATTCTGGAACATATATTGTGACATCACAAAGCGATGGAGTTTTAAAATACAACGGAGATGCCTAAACGAAAAAGGGTGATGACTATCGTAGATTTCAACTTGGGCTGCATGTGAGCAACCGTTCAAGGCCCGCAGCGACAACATGCAGCATCAGAAGTCACATTAAATGTATATTGACATGGAATGTGTTGACTTTTGAGTTAACGTTTCAGGCCTGATTAAGTGAAGAAATGTTATATGGCTCGCACGGAAATGCAATTGAAAATAGGTATATTTTAGGGCTCTCCTGACCAAAAAGGTTCCCGACCCCTGCATCAGTGCATTCGAAAATTTCACACGAGAACTTGCGTGTGGCGGTGTTTCGACTTTCGAAATAGATATTATGACGTCATAGTGAAGACAAACTGAAATTCGTCAAGGTATCACGTTTTGACTCAATAAAAATATGACTTCACTGGTTTAGAAGGATCTGTGTCTTCGGATAAAGTAGCAAATGAGCCAAACCGTTTCATACGATGTAAGTCTACTAATATTGATTCACTTAGGATAGTTTTTATGTATTTATCCGGGACGAAACGAAACCCGATTGGACCGGCAATCCACTCGCACAAAATTATCCCTCAGAGTGGGGTGGCCAACCAGTCAGAGACCAAGTGCCGCATTTTGCACTTTATTAATGCGAAGAGCCACATTATAAACATGAACATCAGATATATCTTTAATCAGCTCTTCTAGAGAATGCTAGTTGGTACTCCAAGATGGCGGACACCGGAACGTAGATGTGCACCAGGTTAGGCCATAATTTTATTCCAATTTTTCTTATTTTAGTTCTATTACAATTTCGGAGACTAGCCAAGTGACTTCCGTAGTATTTTTATCTGAAATTATGGTCTAACACTAACCTGGTACACATACTACGTTCCGGTGTCCGCCATCTTGGTTCACATACTTCGGGAGTACTTGCTAGTTTATTGTAAATATCACTAACCAACATGATTATGACAGAAATTTACAAGACACGTATTGTTTAGATTGCTACTAAGTAAGTGTGACTTCTGGCATTCATTGGATTGAACAATGCTCTTTAGACGTGGCTTGTATGTCGTTGTGGACAATCGAAGCAGTTCTTTCATATGTGTCAGAATATATAAATGCTTTGATTTCACGTGTTTTAGGGTAGAAAACAAAGATTCGCAGACGTATGACCCAAACATTGACAATACCTAAGCGCAGCTCGTTTGACATTAGGTACACGCTTTTTCATAACCTAATGGTCCCTTCTCTCTAAGCGCAGTTGGTCTTCCTCATTGAGATCGAGCATCTTCAACTCAGTTGCAGCCTCATCTGAGACTAGAGGAATTTTAAATAATCCCTTTAAATTAATTAGTAGAATTAGTGAATTAATTAGTAGAAATAAATGAGTAGTCGATGACTTGATCTGTGACGTTTTATCTGCACTTCAATCAATGTTAAATTTCACTTTTGTCGCGCAACAATGAATTAGATTGTGACGTTATAAAGGAAGATTGCAAGGTAAATTAAATGAAGGCGGTCTTGTATCTTCGACGTAAAAGAACATTGCACAATGATTCATAATATGTTTAATCGTAACAAGATGATTCGTACTTTGCAAGTTATGATTTCTCTAATATAACCAAGGCGAAATGAGCCGCATGAGGCAGGCTCGCGACCGCGGGTTGGCCACCCATGCCCCAGAGGATTCGAAATTGCGAACTCACGCAGGTAGGTAATCAGTGGTGCGATGGCAAGCGTATTTCTAACGCTTAGCACTATGCGCTACACTGCCGACTTACAGGGTGGTGCAAAATTCTAAAAAAATTTAAAATATCACAAACTTTTTCAGCAAATCAAACACCATATATATAAATATATATATATTTACATTGAAAAAGATGCGAAAGACAAGGCTAGAATTAGTTACCTGTATTTTTGAAGTTGGCCAAAAATCATCGATGAACTAAATATCCATTAAGCTTGATAATTATAATAACGATAATTTTAATAGCTGTAACTTTAAAATTGCTATGAACAAGAATGCACTTATATCCTAGTAGAGCCATTTTTACACTGGTGGTCCGTTTGATATTCTTATATCAATAACTCATTCTATTCTGGTTTCGGTGTGGAAATATGGGCTTAAAAATACATAAAAATATATTATAGTATTACTTCAATTACAATTGATCTTATAGGACTCGCTGTTATCACACTATTTCAAGATAGGCAAAAACTCAATAACAATATGGTCAGTAGCTCCATATTTGGGGCAAAATGAAATTGAATGTCTAATTTCCGATCAACAATTTAATATTGCATGTCATGTTGGAGGCTAATTGTTCTTTGCTGAGCTTTGGTTTTCAAGAGTTGGTTCAAAATAAATCCTTTCTTTCCAGTTCTCAACTATTATCTTCTACTTTTTCGTCGAACTGTGTGACTTCGATCTTTATTTCTTTGATAAAGTAACATACTCAAGGAATTGATCTGGAATTTCCTGGAGAACTTCTTTTCTCAATCTTTGCATGCTTATCACTTCGTATTTATTACTGGCAGAAAAATCTCGAAAAGGAACAAACTGTGGTAAAAATAAAAGATTGAACTGATTTGTTATGGCAAATTGGGTATCCACTATCCATACGCAATGTTGTCATCAGATATCTACAGAGAACAATATATTTGTGGTTGTACAGAAATCTACTTATGAGGGTGTTTTATAAAAAATTTATGGGGCGTTTCACGCCTTCACTGGGAACAAGGCTAGCGGCGAGCATTCACTGCTTGTAACGCCAATGTATAGTTAACATGATACAACATCTGCATAATTCGATAATATTTCGAAAATAAAGTAATGTTTTAGTTTTTCGAATTGATATTTTCCTAGGTAGTTGCTGTTGCATTTCCATTGTATTTTGTTTCGGACATAATATGGTTATGAAGCAGTATGACTGAAAAAGACAACATTGTAAATTAACAAGATGTGTTTTTCTATGAAGCCTATTTTACATATTACCTGTACAATATCTCTTTTGGCATCTTTTTTTTCTTTGCCATCGATATAAAACAACCTCACCACGTCACCATCAAGTTCTTTCATTGCTATCAATATAAAAAATTTCAGGGTGCATCTACATATAAGAAGCTAGCCGCCGAACCCTTACGTCCATATACGCGAGAAGTTTCATCCCGGACTCCCGGTTTCGGAACTTACGGATATATATATATGTGGACAATGGGAACTTTTCAGATTATATTACTGAGATTATAATGACTCAAATTGTCAGATTCAAACAAAATAAGTTAAATGAACTGATTCCCGAAAATTCAAATTGTACTGGGTGTTGAAAACTTTTTCTCAAATAAACATGGAAGTCTGGCGTTTTATCCACGCAAGAGCTTCTTAATACCAGGTTACGGTCTTTGCTCGTGGGAAAAGAAGCTGTAGTGAACCCTCGAGCGCGGTGTCTGAATTTAGCGCCAAAATTCGTTTCTTGAATTTCATTTTTAAAACTGCAGGCAACAAAAATTAGAAAATCAAAGAAAAATTTATGTTTATTTTTTTCATATCTGACTGATAAGAGCAAATGAGTTGTCCGTTGTGTTCTTTTCCGAAGAAAATTAGAAAACGTAAGTCGGAGTAAGCCGCAACAGTGTTAATGAGAATCACTTCAATAAGAAAACTAGAAAAACGCTTTAGTATGCTACTGCAAAATTTAACATAGAATCAACATAAAATGTTCTTCCTGATATTATGTTACCTTCAAAATCACCACCTCCGATTCCAACAATCACAATAGACATTGGCAATGTGGCTGCCTTTACAATAGCTTCTTTTGTAGCATCCATGTCGGATATGTTCCCATTTGTAACAATCAAGAGCACGAAATATTCCACGAGTCTTCCAACTTTCTTAGATGCCATTCTAGAAGATGATAAAAATAGGTGATATTTTACTTCTTCTTTGACTTTTTTCACCACAATACAACAAATGCTTTTGATTTAATTATATATCACGGTTAGGGCTGGGCATTTCGAATAGAATTGTAAATTATTCGAATCGGTTGAAACAAAAATTTTGAATCACCGCGTCTTGTTTTTTTAGTCCACCAAAGTGAGTTTTACTGGTACTCCTGAAGTATGCGCACCAAGATGTCTGACAGCCTGAACCCTAACCTGGTACACAGTCTGATTTCAGGTTGTGCGCCATCTTGGTGCGCCTACTTCAGGACAATAGACAATAAGTTTATTTCGTCGTGCAAGAAATCACAACACAAATTCAAAATAGGAAAAAGTAATTAGGCGTTACAGTAAAGGATTTCATTGCAATTGACTGGAAGTCGCGAAGGACCAGAAATGGTCATCATAAGTCTGCGACACTAAGATTAAAAACGAGTTAATAAAAAATGGAATAAATGAAAGCAATAAACAGGAAGAGAAACTTATCCATCCAATAATTAACCAACAAGGTTGATATGAATCATCATATATGATTCGGGAGAGAAAGTAAAAATAAAAGTCGGGGAAATTCAATTGATATGCAGTAGCCTAATTATAAAAATAATTCACCATATCCTTCAGCTGTGCTTCTGTACAATTGCAGCGATTAAATTTTTTATCCATTGTCATATGCAACATTAAATAGAGCGATCATTTTATTTGATGAGAAAAACTAAATTAAGCAAAATTAAATTAATCAAGCAACTTTCATTTACAAATTCTAAGGCACAATTTATACTCCATGTACAACCAGCCACATGAAACTTTTGAGGAAGAAAATAAAATTTTGAGCCAAGGTTAAGGTTAGGCGCATATATCGAGATCGGAGGCGACTCCAGCCATTTTTTAGTTTCGGTTGGTTAGCTACGGCGGTCAATCATTCATCAACGAACTGGAAAATTGTTTAGGTTGCTGAGCGACCGCACGCGCATTCAGAATCTGATTTGTAGAGACAAAAAGTTTGGAAATATGTGAGTAAGAAAAATAGTACCATATTAGGTCAGGAGGTTCGTTTTATGTTTTTGTATTGGAAGTTGTGACTGAAAATGTATTGCGATCTACAGCAACGACAACTTATATTTATTTTATTGATCGTGATGGCAGCGTCCTTCATATGCTGTGCAACATACCAAGCACAATTAAAACGATTAATCTATAGTTTTACTGTGATATCTTTTTTATTATAGGAGCAAAATTTGTTTTGCACGCTTTTTTTTCGACTTTCTCTGAACAGCTTTTGAATGCTTCGATAATTCCTTCCACTTTGGTGCATTCCGGGCATTGTGAATTCAAATTCTAACAAAAGTATGTGAAAAGCGGGGTAAATTAATCATTTTAATATAGAACTAGAAAAATCAATTTCTTAGTTAATAAATCAAAATCAAATCATCACAAAGAGCAATTACAGTAACGTGTTCGTTGAGTACACGCTTGCCATGGTCGATCGGTATATGACGCATTTCATTCAAGAAACAGCCAAATCAGGAAGTAAATAAACGCGCCCAGTAAATTTTATAAAATTGGCACTGTAGTTAAAAAGAACAACAACAACAAATCACTCAGTGTTATTAATTTAATTCATATAATGTCACTTCACCAGTGGAAATCTATCTGTATTAAAATCGAATTCTTCCACATTGGCTCCAAATCCGTACGCTGAGAATTCTTGATCCTTATGGTACTCTTGAATCACGTCACCGACAGCCTAAATATAAAACGCCCAGTTCTGTTATTTTTTTTAATAACATAATATGTATAAAAATATTTTTTAACTTGTAAAAGTTTGTTGAACATAAGAAAATACAACTATTTAATATTTATTTGTAATCAGGTATCATTTCTCAATATCTTATAGCGATTCGTGTACAATATTTTTGTCTGTGATAAATTTGTTCTACTCTTAGTAAATTAGTGAAAATTTATATGTGGAAGCATTCATAAAAACTGTTCAATATACCTATAAGAGAAATATTCAGCAGATACATTCATGAAATTATAAATTGTGTATCCAACTCATTTTACTTTGTTTGAAAGTGGTAATTTAATTATCGTTCACCTTGATCGCGAGTTCATATTTTGGTTTATCCCTTGGATCAGTGCGTAGAAAAGACAAATCGATTGCAACAACGCAACTGAACTTGACGCGTCTGCATTGAAAAAATATTGATATAATAAACCTCTGTAGGCTTAACTGCAACAGCAAGTCACTCAATATTACGACTGGCATTCTGTTAGTGTAGTATTGTACGTGTTTTGTTTATTCAATGAACACGCTTCGCTAATTTCTTGTTATTGCTGGGTGAATTTGCTTTTCTCGCAAATAATGGACCAATCGATTTCAAATTTCCGATACTTGAAAGCGGCTGTTACATTATTTCCAATTTCCTCTGGGAGGGGCCCAATATTTCAGCAAAAATTTTTAAGTTTGATTTTAAATAAAAGTGAATCCTCTTATTTCCTTGTGCAGTTCAAGCAGTTCTCCCGTGGATATGTAGTACGCTTTATCTAACCGGTAATTGACCATCTGGTGGCCACAGTATTAACATCTCCTCAGTATTTATGTGATTTATTTCATTGGATTATTGAATTCTTCACTTACTCTTTCGATATGTATTCGGCAAACGTTAGTTTGTCGATTGTTTCGCATTTCAATGTAAGATAGCCAGAATTCTTCTTCTTCTCTTTCTTAGAAAATATCTGTTGAAATAATTATATTTCCTACAATTATACTGAGCTTGAAACGCCTATATTGGAAAAGCTTAGATATGTTCTAAATCTAGACTGAGTTTTGATTGCGATTTTGACAATCTCGTAAACTGAACAAGATAACCCATATATATATGCAAAGCAAAATTTGACCAAAAATATTTTTAATTTTTTTGGTTTCTATCAAGAATCAGTATGATGAGCTTTTGAAAAATATCACCTCGTATGTTCTATGTTTGACTTTGAGTTCTTCCAAACACGTTGTAAATACTCCGATGAGACTGTGGCTAAAACATGAAAAGAGATTGGGGTGTAAATTCACAGTTTAATAATTAATCAATACAATAATCCATCAAAATAATTATACCAACGATGGTTTAACCATTCCGTTATTTTACTCATAAAAGTTTATTGCAACCACCGCGGTGTTGGCAGAACTGTTTGTTCCGTTAAACCATTATAAAATGAAAACCACAATATATTTTTGTCAAGTGTTTTGTCAATGTGAGAGGAAAAGCATTTTAACTAATCAGTCATAAAAATGGTGATTCTGAAGATAAAAAATATCAAAATATAAAACAACCGTCGTTCAGCTATGAGACGTTTTAACGTATAAACTCAAATAATCGCATTTTGAAGCCAAACTCACGTGTTCTGTACAAAACTTGCACTTATAAACACTTAATATCCTCGCTTTATATTGCTTACCTTCCATTACGATTCCAGTCAAATACTTCTATTTGGATTTTTCTGTTGAGATTTTTGCCACATAATGTGCCAACAGATATTTCGAATTCTTCCCACTCAGGGTTTAAGTTATTCTTTATCACCTCAGTCTTGTGGCACACGGTAAAACTGTAAAAAAAAGTATATATATTATAACAACTCCATATGTTTCGTTTTAAACGAAGATTTTTCTTCAGGACTTCCAGCTCACGAGCAGTTTTTCCAGGCTATACTGATTTCAACCGTTTAAATTATCGTCAGCCGAATACTGCTGAACTGTGTTTCTCGATCGTTCTTCGTACACCTTGTTACAGCGTGTTATATTCTATGGATATCAGAATTTCCCAAAACCATATCCTGAATAAAGCTGGAACTGTGCAACAGCTAGCGTACCGTAACTTCCCAGTACCGGTACCCCCACCATCCTAGCTCATCCAAGTCCTGTGATAATGATTCATGTGTCTAGTCTCATCATGATTTGAAATGCTGAGTGAATTGAAACGTGAATTTTACTGCAATATCAAATCTTTTACAGTACTTAGTCTACTGCACAGTACAGTCAAAAAACATCCGACATTCGTGTAGCAATAGGTCCTCTGGCATGTGGTCGCGGTACCGCCACAAGTAATTTTTAATTTTGATGACGTCACCTCTCAAAATTTCGATGTGAAAGTCAAATCATACAGTAAGCCCACATTAAGTTTTGAAAAATAAAATAAATAGTAATAATACAATAATAATAACAAAACAATCCATAGGTCCATTTCGTGTCAAATAACATTGCCATATTTTGTGCATGGATCAGGCAGCATAAAAAGACTTACTTATTAAAATTGATACAAAAATATGATAAACTCATAGAATCGATCGCGATAAATAGCTACGATGCCATTATAAATAAAATAATAATGAAAAAGGAATTAATCCAACCTTCCATCATTGTTACATCGAGAAAAAACCATGAAAGGGTCGGATGAACCAAAAAAATCTTTTCTGTCTAGTTTTTTCCCTTCCCATTTCATGCTTAGCCACTGCTTGGAGGTGCTCAGCTCTTCTGCAGATATGGTAATTTTTCCTTCCTCTGGACTAAAAATAATTGTGAAATGAGTAGTTTAAACTGGGATGTTTAACAAAATAGGAATTGTATAAACTGTGATGTGTATGAACCTTGACATATCGTGGATAATATTTTTACAATGAAGATCTGCTAAACATGATAAATAAATTCTAAATAAATTTTTGTTCGACAGAAATGCGACAGTGGCTTATTCGCAGTTTGCTGGGGGGATTTAACCTTATCTCTTAGCCCGTCAGTGATCACTAGGTGCTCTCATATCAACACTTTTTTGGAGACTCGCAAAAATTCATAAAAGTTTGTATGACTAAGTGAAAGTGATCATATAGATAACTCACAGTTTTTTTCCTTTTATATAGAGCGTAGTATCATATCTTCCATTTTCTGCTCGTATGATATCTGAAAGTTTGCATTCTGCCCAACCTAGGGAATTCTGTAATTCAAAACGTGGCTCACTTGAGCGATTTGAGCAAGAATGTTTCCCAAACTGGACATAAGCCCACGTAAGTGGCTAGGTAACCATCAGAACTACCCAAACTATTTTTCAAGATAAAAACACTTTTGCTCCGAGTAATCTATAGTTGAATCCGCCCGACAATAACAGAAATTTAATAAATAAATTTCCCAATCATATTGGAACCTTGGGTGGCGTTGCCGATAACCAACTTTGATTACCCGCTGCTATCCGTCCCAGTGGAACTGTGCGATATATTATCTTTTTTAAATGTTGTATATGAAAACTTTATTAACAAATCATTTATTGCAGGACGTTGAAAATACGTGAATTCATTTGCGCGGTACTACTGAATGCAGGACAATTACTTACATGGTCTTTTAGGTCATGACTTTTTTTGTCGTATCTGTAAAACACGATAACAAAACTTACAAAAAAACAACACCATGGAAGCTACTGAGAATTTCGATAAAATTTTAAAAAATAAAAATTTTGAAAAACTGTAATTTGGATATTTTCTGCGGATAGCTTGACACGTCATTTTTGTCGAATAAATATAAAATATTCAGTTAAGAACATATTTAGTTTTTATACTAAAAAGAAGAAGATAGTAACGATCAAATATATGGAGATGGCATCAACGAATCCTCGTTAGTCGTCGGGATTCGTGTCCGTATAATTATAATTAAGCATTGGTGTCTTGGTGATATAATACTCACACTTCAAATTTCAAATATTGGATTTCGTCGAAAAAGTAATCAATGCAGAATTTTCTCGCAAATTGGAGATCTGAAGTGTTTTTGATTTCTTCTGTACGTCCGAACTAGAAATGAATAATAATAATCACACTACAGCATTTCCATTCCTTAATTAGATCTTGATACCAAAATCCAAACGAAAAATTGCTCCAGTGACATTATATATATATATATATTTAGGTATATATAAGATTTTCTTGTTACATTTCGAAATGATTGGAGAGCTTATCACATTATATTGAACAAGATGTAAGAATAGTTTAGGTGAAAGCAGTATGTTCCCCAGCTTTTCATTTTAGGGAGGGGGGTTCGAAATTTAGGGGGTGGTAAATAATTTTCTATTAGCGATAAAACTATTTGTATTCCTAAAAAATTGGTATGTATATTAAGAAACGATGTACATGAGGGGTCCCCCAAGTTGATTGACGACGTGCCAAAATACACAGCAGAATGAAATTGTAGGGCCAGAAAAGGGGAGCGAGGAAAAGTGCGCGACGACACGACTTGGGTTCAGGGCGCGCTTAAGCGCCCTGAGAATATTTTGAGAAATAGGCACCAATATAGGCTCTAAGCTTGATTTTAGATACACCTAGCATCGCAATTTGTTATGTAATGAAATAAATAATTATAATGTTTAGCGGATAAAACTCCCGGGAAATAAATAACAAGCACGGCTTTCAGTAAGTAATGTGCAACTAATAGTGACTAATGAAGTTACTTGCTCATCTAGCATATGGCATCGTATGAATGGCTACTTATGGCTTGTTTTGTTACACATTTTTTGAACATTTTTTTGAACATGTTCGTTTGACTTTTGTATGAATTAGGCAATGAATTAAATTTTGAAATACGCGCGTCAACTGATCATATTGGCGCATAATGTTGTATTCCTTTAGAACTGAAATATTTTGTGGGCAAGGAAGACAAATCGCTGAAGTTTGATTTTTCCAATAAAGAAATAAAAACGCTGCCATTCATCTAAAAAAGGTCTGTTTTCAGTGCATAGTTTTCGTTTTGTGACATCTTTAAGCTTTTTTAATATACGGCTGATATCCAAAATACTGCAGTGTGTGTGTAATCTTAATACCCACACGCATACGTAAGATACTGGTATAATTCAATTGTTACGAAATAAACGTGCGTAAACTGTGATAATGATGTAACGATGGACGGAATCTAAAACTCAAAAGGTACCACATGAAGTGATAAACCATTTCACTCAAGTTCGGCGATCATTTTAAATCGTTACGCGGGCCGTAATTGACCGCAGACTGCGGTTTGGAACCCCCATCTACACTGATAAATATGCCATAGTCGTTATATTTGAATACAATTATACTTGAGTTAGAAATGACCTCAAAATTAGGGAGGGGGGGGGGTGAAAGCACCAGCTATTATCTAACTTACACAAAATAATAAAATTGTTGTTGTGTGTCCACCAGTGAATATTCTGTTACCCTGTATACCCGAAGTTGCCAAACTTTATAAAATTATGACGCGATTACTTTCTATATGATACAAATCACGACACATCGAAAAGAACACTGACTGTATTAATTATTATATTATAACGAGGAAATATAACTTATATATATATTTATCAATCGTATATTTATCAATGTGTCACCTCAAGCTTTTTTTTTCATTTTCATGAATAGTTCTGAATATGGGGAAAATAACAAATAATTTTTAGAAAATGGACTGGAAATTCGCGATGCACACGGAATTATTTTGACACACAGAACTTTGGAACTACTATTGTTTTGTTATATTATATTGTTTATATTTATGTGACAACATAGCCCAATACCAAAAATAACTGAGTGTTGTCGTTATAAGTTCAAATATTAAGTCCAGACAGTTCAATTTGTATATCATTATTTAATTCTTCACAAAATAAAACAGGATGAAAATATGTCGAATATTCCTCCATTTAACATCCATTTATTCTAGACATGTCGGCCGTGAATTCACCATACATCAGACAGTTATCTTTGCTACTTGAGATGCCAGTTACCCATAAACTCTCAAACGCCACTAACCTCTCTCCACCTTCCTTCACAACTCAATGATTGTTCATACATCACGACCACTAAAACACAAAAGTATTAAGATTAAAAATCAGAATAAATATTATTAAAAATAAGAACTTTTATTTTAAATTAAGAACCAACTTACTCGGATTGGATTTTGAGAAAATGTCAGCATCTTTCAGACCTCTGAATAACAATAAAATTTATGTTTTCCAAGTGAAATTAGGGTAAAAATTAATCTTTCAATATATCACTTGTCGTTTGGACTGTCAACTCAAGCTATCCGCGTGGGTTCAATTTTGTTTATCTATCACTGGGTCACCAAACTTTTTTGAACGCGGGCCGGATATGACTCAAACTGTGTGGAAACGGGCCGGACAAATATTTTTGTCAATGCAATACAATAAATTCACAAAAGTTGGGAAATCCATTATTCAATTTATTCAACAATATATATTCTATATTTCTGAAGACTTGAATATTAAATTCTATCTATATCGCAGAATATAGATCAAGAACATTCCAGAAAAACAAATATACAAGATTTCTATATCTAGACAACTATCCTGAGTTTAAATGTTATCAAAACGTTGCAGTCATGAATTAGGAATGTTACATAATCCGATTTTTCGCTCCAAAAAATGTACGCATCACGTCTGCTAAGTACCGTTACGCCGTGTCGGAGTACCGCTCATAAAAACGACTACGGACTGCCTGCTGTAGCATGGAATTCCATGAAATTTTGACATAATTTAGATAAAATAAACAACTATTATCTGGTATATGATTTTTTTCATTAACGCATAAATTTCCCAACATTCGTGTCTTTTAAAAATTACGCTCTATTTATACGTAGTACAGATTAATGATATTGTCTATGTACACCAATAAAAATTATGTGGACGTGTGTATTTCTTTTCTAACTTGATACTTACCCATATTTATGAAATTTGTACAATCAGAACATCGTTAATTATTACCGACAATGAACCACTCTCAAACTAACGTGTACAACTCCAACGTTTATTTGCGACGATCTTTTGGCGGTATCAAGACAGTTGCCGGAATAAAATCCTGAAATAGTCTCAATATTCCATAGATGTGACGCAGATCGAAAGACTAGTGATTGATACGTGTTCTTTTTTCATATTTATTACAGTTCTTATGAAAAAAGTGATACAATCTTTATGGAAAGAATTGGCCTGTCTGGTGGTACTAAAATTCCGATATTTCTTGATCGTTTTTTATAAACTTGGTATTGTTTTTTATTTTCACTCAGATCCACTGGCGCAGTTTTTATTTAAATCGGATAAACTGTAATTTTTTTGTAATATACCCACATGAATATCCGCTTTGAAGCAGTACAAAAGTTAGTGTGACTTGTGAAATTGGAGCAGTACGCGAGGGATTACAGTACTGTTAGCGCAACATGCACATTCGACGTTCATTTCAGCACAAGAAACGTGAACAGTTTCGTCGAAAGCATGAGCCACGAGTGCATCTTTCGCAGAAAACGTTGCGTACCGGTAGAGAATTTTAGCCTATTTTGTTACAGCTATTTCTAGACTAATTTTTCATTACAACTATTAAAACTACAATTCCTAAGGATGCAAATGATGATCGACGTATTTGATTCATACTTAAATTTCCCAAACACAACCAAAACTAACAAATAGCATTCAAAATCGCAAAAACGAAATATTGTTCACAGCCACGACTGAAAATCTGTCAGGGTGACAAAACAAAAGTATCTAAGCGGATGCGAAAAGGTCTATTATTACGTCACTTTTTTGCATCTTGCTGATTGGCCAATGTTACGAAATAAACAAGGAAGACGATGCTCGGGGAAAATTTCCCTTGGAAAAATAATTCGCCATTTTTGCATGTTATTGCGGGCCGGATAAAATGACGCCACGGGCCGTAGTTTGGTGACCCATGATCTACCACATCGGTTCCCAAAGGACGCGCAGCGACAAGTTTCCAAGTACTCCGCGTGAAAATGAACAAAATTGTGTTAAACCTAACTAAAATATGATTAAATATTTATATTTCAAATGTTTTATTGTTTCTTATTTTAAATGCTGTGAACATAAATCAATAAATTCATTTTACCTTTCTATATCGTTTACTTTCTGTTACGCATCCCACTTGAGAAAGAGTTGGCTTATTGCCTTCATTCCTTAGACTTAGACCTACTTGTTTACAAGTTTCATAATGGCATAAAGTAGGCTAGCTAGACATTAACAATCACAAAATTGATCTCTAATTAAAAGCGTCATTATTTCCGTGTAATTGCTCCGTGGGTTTTTTCCGTGATAATTTGGCGCTGTACGAAGTTTGGGAACCGCTGACTTACTATACTCATTATTCCAAGGTCTCGTGAGTTCGAGGTGACAGCTAGCAAGAAGCGATTTACACCTTGAAATAAACTTATTTGTAATAAAAATGCAAATCTCTAGGAAAATGTCGTTCGTAACTACAGTTAACTGATAAACTATTTATAACATAAATACATTTATTTGACTAATTTATTCATAACATAATAACAGATAAACATACCTGCAAGAAATTGATAACTCATACGTTGACGTTTCCTTCGAATTATTTACTTCAATTTTCGACATTTTGGAAGTTACGTCAGAAAAAGCCATGATGTACTTTTAAACTGCAATACCCTAAATCTACTACAAACAGTGAAATATGTTTAGCTATGTGTGCACATCTTGGCATCATGCTTCATGTAATAAAGGAACTGGGAAACCTGCTAGATACTGATATACAAAATGCCAATGGTATGGATTCTTGATGGTGCAAACTACTGACTAATTTATGAACCATGCTCAGCCATTACTTCAATCAACATGGAGCTTTCAGACCATATTAAATCTACCTTTGGAGAGAAGACACGCATTACAGTAGCATTTCGTCCACCTCAAGTCTGATTTATTTATATGGTACATGGCCAGTAACATGCACTTTTAACTGCCGCTCTAATTTTAATAACTAGGAATGGAAAGCATATTGACGTAGACAACGGTATTTAGCGCATGTATAGATTTTGCGATATTTACATTGGTGTGTTCGTCTAGCGATTTCATCCCTGTGAGGAAGATAATCATCATTGAGCACACAATATCATCAAATGTTGACTGATATTGAGGTGCATTTGTATGATAATTAATGCTAAATATTAACGAAGGAACCAGAACTTTAGGAGATAAAACAAACAATATCTTCGATCATATTTACCTAACTACGATAAGATCTAACAAACTATTGCTTGTTTGTTTTTGCTTACGTGCAAGTTTTACCGTTTCGTGAAAGTTTCAGTAAATTCATTATTCACAGTCGCATTATTTTGTATGACTGACGAATTGAAAGAACAAAAAAAATAAATATAAACTTTCATATTTTTTTCCAGTAAGAGACAACTGGAATGAAAAACTCAATCATCAACAAGACTGAGAAAAGTATACAGTTTTTGCATCTTTATATTTATTGCATCGTTTCGTATTCTGCATAGAAAAAAATGGAAAAACTCTAATAGAATTAAAAAAAAAACTCCTGGGTGAAATTGAGTATTTCACTTCAATTTCAAATAGAATTTGAAATTCAATTAAGATGACAATTCCCTCAAACCTATACAACTTAGTACAACAGCATGTTCTTGAGAGGACAAGCTTTCAATTTTAAGATTTTGGTTTTGACACTAAAACAAAACCGATAAACGACAAGGAATTTATTTTTGAAAAATTCGCAAACGTTTCTTCAATCTGCCAGCACCGTGGTAATGAGAAGAACCGAATGAGAAGAAAAAGCAGTATCGAAAATAGTCTGCGGCTACATATCCTCCTCAAAAGAAATAGTAAGGGACGTTGAAGCAGAAATGGATGTCTTTTGCTAGAATACCTTTGCGAAAATTATCAATTCGTCATAAATTGGAATTTTCAAGCTTAATTTAATCATTTGTCTGTAGATATATGATCCTAACTTGAAACATATTATCAAATCCAGTTTATCTACAAGCACTGTGCTTGAATGTATTTCTTGTCACATAAGGTTTCTGCCGAAACCGCGGTGAATGAAATCATATAAGGCAACCTACGGCCTCATTTACCAAATGTGACCCCAAGGAAACTTGTGCGACCCACGGAAAAACGTCACTTTTGAGTAGTGTGCGGCCCGCAAAACCAGTTTCAAATTTAATCTAGTATGTGCGAGTAATTCCATTCCTTTTATTCCAAATAATCGATCATCTTTCACGCATCAGGGCAAAACAAAACTGCAATTAAAGAATTGTAATTCACAAAAAAAAATACTCTATTTGCTTAATTCCTATTTAATTGTTTGGGAAATCCACATTCAAAAGTGATATGATATTGGATTATTCTTTATCAATGACTACAGGTATTCCGGCGCTCAGCGTAGCGTTATCGCGTGCTTTGTTGCTAAACTTGATTTGTTTTAGTTCAGTCTAACATTTGTTTTGTATTGATGAAATTCTGTCTGTGTGTACTGAGCACTTAATAGTAAAATACCACTTAACACTTCCCGCAGTATAGGTTAATATATAACTTTTATAGAAAGTGTCAGTTTCAGCGCACTATAATAGTAATTCAATTACTTCATGTATGTTTTTTTGTGAGAATATTGTAATACATTATACATTAATTGGAATTAGTCTTCTTATGGTGTATATTATAGCAAGATGTCACTCATTCTACTTCAGCCAAACTAGGCATTTTCACATTCGATTTCAATGATACCCCTTCCACCCACCACCAAGAGTGCGTTAGAAAGAATATTACATTGGCTTTTTTATTTGATTTGACGTTGATGTTTCAGTCTGACTTCATTCGAATCATCTTGAAAAAATGTTAGCATCTCCGCGTAGATTTCAGACGACGTCATATTGTATTGTAAGTGGACTGAAAATTGTCCCCCGGCGAATTTCGTTTTCGTACGAAAATGAGCTCGCGATTACGTAATCGAGACACATATACGCAAACAAGTTGATTTTATCATGATGACTATTTTTAGAATTGGATGACGACAAAACTTTGTTACGGTAACTAAGACAACAGCAAGCCTTTTGGATCAGATGAAGTTAGAACGTGATTCAAAATAAAGTGTTTGTGATTGTCTGATTGAGGCTCACAAACAGACATTTTTTCACAACACCACTATTAAATCCCTTTTGTAATTTTGTAGTTTTTTACTTCGGTACAAATAATTAATGCGTGTTCAATTACTAACATAACTGGGTATGTTTGAATTCATATTCGATTGTGCGCATTTCAGATTGGCTTCCACCTCAGTTTCGTCATATTATTAATATATCCCCCTGAATAAAATAGACATAACTTTGAATTATTGCGATAAAAATTCACGTTTCACTTCAAACGTAGAATAGCGAAATATTTATTTGGCATTGTGTAATATGTCATATATATGGGGAGAAGTTAAGTATTTGTGTTGTCGATGCTGATTCAAGCAACTTCTGGTTCTTACAATTATAGTAGTCTCTACTCTATGTCTGAACCCAAAGAATCGAAAGTACTTTCAAAGTATCGAATGGCAATATTTTAGAGGTTTTTCTAAATATTATAAAATTAAAAAATAAGGTATAAACCTTTGAAGCAAATTCACTTTGAATCTTTTGTGAAAATTTTGACATTACTGAGGTTTAAGTGGAAATCTAGTAAAATGCTCTTCATACAGTAGATTTTTACCAAAAATCTTTTAAAGTCGATAAAAGTGAAATAAAATGATCTTTTAACTGCGACTGAAACCTGGTCATCGGTAACCGAAACAAGGTATTTAAATAGAATTTTTTCTAATTATTACTTGATATGAGAGAATTGTGATCACTGGCTTTTTCTACGCACACGTACACCTTCAATCAAGCGTGTTACCTTGAAGTTTTGAATAAGATTATCGTAAAAACAGCCCAAGATCTGTTGTCTCATTTTTTTATATAGATATATTTCCATCAAGCATTAAAATTAATACTCATTGTCATTGTTCCATCTTTCCCAAATTTGATGATGTGCATTTATCCGTCCCTGTGATTAACATGAAAAAGTAGAAACATGTGATATAAATAATAAGAAAAAACAATGTACAGTAGAAATCTGCACTGTTAAATTTACGGAAATGAGAATTAGATATTCGTATTACTTTTCATTCTATACTCATATTATCGTTATCGGAACTGAAAAAATTACATCAGAATATGTTATGAGGTCATTTCGATTGAAAACAACATAATATCTCTGGTTTCGTGTACCAAGTAGGAACTGAAATTTCGAACAGATAACTAACTTAATGTCTTAAATAAAAATTTAATGAATCAGCCAGACATGGAATGATAAAATAAAGTTAATTTAAGCTGAAAAGTTTAAATTAGAAATATTTTAGAGTAATTCAACAATGATACGACACTATTTGTATCACCTTTAAATAAACAAGCATAGGATAAGTAGACAAAAATGTTTATTCACGACTCCATAGAGTGAGACTTAAAAAGATGAAGTAAAACAAAAATTTGGTAATTTTACAGATAATTTCAACATTGCAAACTAATTAGTTGCAACAACGTGATGATCAACATAAAGATAGCTAGCTTACACGTATATATATATACATTGTGTGTATAAAAATAGAAAATCTGATTCATTAATCTCATTTTTCATCAAATTTCCAACATCGGTGATTCAAGCTCAATGAAAGTGAAAAATACCGATCCTAACATACGAAATCGCCCCTAGGCGACGTATGTCAAGTATAAATACCGAACTCATTTTTCATAGAACCAGATTCAAATTGAAACACATTTGAAATATAGATCCAGTGGAAATCGTAAAATAAAACTGAGACAAAACTTATATATATGAGAAGATGAATGTTGGAAAACTTTTTGTTGCAGTTCTCTGCTTGGTGGTTGCTGTGGCCGCTGAGAAGCAATGTTCTCCACTAATGGGTATGAATTTATTTCTGTTTATTTTCTTCGCATATGATGTGCCGCTTTTATCATGAAACGCTGTCACTGACAAAGGTTCTAGATTAAGAGGCTTTTCCATGTTTCTTCTATTCTTAACTTTATTACGACACGAGTCATAAGCGTTGAGCTAACCATAACAAATAATGAAGTTTTGAGTGAGATTTTGCGCCATTGAAAAATATGTCAATACTTTAACCCGCTGGCATTTGACACTCTTTTTTCCCATATTTGCAGGCACAAGAGATGGCTGTTCAAAATACACATTTCGTTATTCTTGAATTTTTCAAATTCTCAGCAGTTTTTTGTTATAATATTTTTCCAATAGTTAGACGAAAAATTCCACTCATTTGTATTGAACATGCAAATATGTTATTGCGTTGTTTTATAAAATCTCTTTAACATAGGATTCGGAAGCGAAGAAGGATTATTATGCACTGTTGTAAAGAACGGTGTTTCAGAAACAGTCGATGCTGATGATTGTCACAAACATAAAGATTGCTGTAAAATCGGTGAAGGAGAAACTGCAGTTTGTTATGCCCAGCTTAATCATGAGAGACGTAAGTATATTATTTTTTTGAAATCAAAACTAAAGATCACAGAATTCGATTAAATTGGTGAAAAATAATTCATTAGAGAATTACAAAGTTACCGAGAAAGTGCAGATGCTGTTCAAAATCCTCGCCAAAACCTAAAGTCTATAGAAAATGATGATGAAAGTCAGGAGTTGAAAAAACGTTGATGTTTGGTTCCGAACTATGTCTTGCAAAATAAGGATAAATTTCACTCATTACAAATTTTGACGTAATATATGAAGAATTTGGATTCATTTAATTTAGCAAAAGATTCTAGCCTATATGCTTGCATGCTGGATGCACGATATTACACTACAAGTACATGTCTAAGAGTTTACAAGACACGGGAAGTCGTCAACATTATTATAATTTTCAGTTTCAGCAGCTACTGCGAATGCTCGAACAGTCGACGATAGTGACGATCTGTACAAAAAAGCCTTAAAAATGAAAAGAGACAGCGCAAGATTTCTCCATTTACGTCCACCAGGTATTTTATTATGTTCACATTTCTTTTTTGCTTTTATGCATGGAATCTGAAAAGAACAAAAACAACAGAAATCTTTCACTCTTCATCTGAGAACTATTTTTCCGCTACAGAATGCCGTTACTTAGATAAACGGGTGGTTTACATTTTTTTTTTCTGTTTTACCAAATATATACCTATTTTTTTTTTATAACAACAGCATTTCCTGGATGTCCTCAACCAATTCCATTTCCAGCAAGTTGTAATCCACAAATGAATGAACCCTACGTCCTCGATCCACCAGTTGATATTCCTTATTGTGTCAGGTGAGAAACTTTGAATCAGTGGTGTGCAGCCTTTATTACTCTATTTTAGGTCATTCTAATGCACTGCTTGAACAAGGGATGTTTAATTTGAATTTAATATTCGAATTTCGCGACCTTTGATTATCGTTTTTTGTGTTTATAAGAATACAGAATATGGCGCACATACCCTAGTGCCGCCGTCCACGTTTTGATTTGAAACGATCATAACCCAAGTCAACCGTGTGCGGCGCGGCAATATATTATTTGCCATTCCATTGGTCCGTTTGTTTCCCGCGGGTACGTACAATGTTGTGATAGCGAAATTTAGTGGAATACGATGAGAAAATAAAATAAAATTTTTGAATTTCATGTGTGTTTGCTCATTTTCGTAAATTACGTTTTCTCTCAACGGCCAACTTTTGCCGCTTTCTCCCACATCATCCGACCGCCGCCTCTTACTCACCGCGGTCTTCGTTTAGCCTAGCCCAGTCGTCCAACGCCAAAGGTAAACAAATTATGTCCGAGTTTTGCGGGGCTTCGAACAGAGGAGGGGCATTCACAGGTAAAATGTGTCCCTACTTACGGAACTTTCTACCTACGAATGGGCTTCGGAAACGAATTATTTTCGCAGGTAGAGTTTCTGTTGTAGTTGCAAGCACAAAAATTTGTTTCTTTTTGCTATTGATCATTGTTAGGGATTCCTGCAGAAATGTTGAGTTAAAACGCATGAATTTAAAAAAAAAAACTGCTATTCAAATTTATCCCGATTTAGTCACTCCCGACTCTAAACGAATTTAATGGGAAACACGTTTTCATAACAACATTGTGTATTTTGCACCAGGATTTGGCTAGATAGTTTTGCTAATATGACATTCAAAATTGGCACTTCTCCGCGGTCCGCACAAGTTTCTTTTGTGGGTCGTATTTGGCCCGCGAGCCGTAGTTTGCTCACCCCCGCTATAAATTATCGCATCAATTTTCGAAATATAACTCTTTGTTTAGAATATATATAGGCTAATAGCCTACTATATGACTATGTGCTACTTTTATGAGAATTTGAATCAGAAAATATTTTTGCGAAACCTATAGTTTCTGATATTAGACAGCAACGTGTGTTTTTAGAAGTTAAACAATCACCTTGCGTTTCATAAGTAAGTTTTAACTAAGGTACTTTACTTTGATATTCACCAGAATCCCATGTTCAGTCGACAATGCAGAATTAGACACCGATCACCATCTCTGTGGTTCACAACCTGGTTGTTATTTTGACAAAGAATTGTTTGATTTCCGAGAAGCTTTTGGACCAAGTGTTCTACCAGGAGTTCCAGTTTGTCATATGGCAATAAGAAATGCTGTTTTTCAACAAAAAGCTCAATTAGTCGTGAAAGAGGTACATACCTTTGTTCTATATAATTCGCAATTACAATCATTGTATTGTCATTTCCCACATGGTATCTAATATTATTTACTATTTACAGCACGGAATATGGAATCCTTACTTCACAAACTGCATTCTGCAAGAGTTCCAATTGGAGATGAAAACACCAAAAGGTTGCGAACTTCTTCCAATTCTTGACGTTTTTCACGTTCGTCCAAAATTGGCCGGATGGAAAAGTAAGCCAAGTTTCCATTTTTTCCTATTCTTATACACGATATTTTTAGAATATTTATATAACAATTTTTTTTTGTATTTTCAGATATTAATCCCAGAGAATGTTCTTTGATTGATGGATGTTTTAGATACGGATACGGTTGTTTTTATTCAGTTGATATTTCGAATGTCAGGGTCAAATCAGGTCAACGTCAAGTCGCATTCAACAAGCATGAGATCATTTTTGGAAGACCTAGATGCCAAATATTTGATACAAGTTCTCCCGTTCGCATACTTCTGAGTTATCATCAATGTCTCAGCGCTGGATGCACTGTAGATTCTTCCATCACAACTAACTATTTTCACAACCTTTTTGCTGTCGGTGAAGATATGACTGTTGATAAGCACTGGGATTACTGGACCGGAGTGCAAAAGGGGGAAATTGGTGCCTACAATATTGACGACAGAATCATTAATTTTGAATACACGACGGATGATAAGAATAATTCAAAACCCACGACTTCTCCGAAGACAAACAATCCATTCGAGTTATCGTCTGAAAATTCATTTTCAGTTCCGACAGGTCCAAACACATTTGCCTCTCCACGAAATCCAAATCCATTTGCTCTACCAGCAAGTTCATTTCCGCCTTCGCCATCTATGCATATGATTACGGGTAAAAGCGAGGCATGCGGTCATATATTCAAGCCATATGGAGCAAGACCGTGCAGTCCTCCGGTTGTTCCTCAGTTGCCTTTCAACAGCTACTGTCCGTACAAACCATTCCACGTCCCAAGATTTGCTCCCCTCAAAGGAAGATTTGACGGATGTTGTGACGTTAATTTGTGTTATCTTCCTAAATCTGAAATCCTGAAAATGCATTCTGGTCCATCTCATTATTACACCGAATGGAGCATGTTCTCAGCCTGCTCAGCTACATGTGGCGAAGGACAAAAGCGCCGTTATAGAAAATGCGTCAGTGAGGATAAAAGCAGATGTACGGAACCTTTAGTTAAAGTTAGCAGATGCAACGATCAACCTTGCGCTTCATGGAGTCCGTGGGGTCAATACAGTCCATGTCCAAACACTTGCTATCCTGGAGGAGTTCAAACAAGAAGAAGAGTTTGCAGACCGGCTAGTGGATTTTGTCTTGGAGATTCTGAACAAGTGCAAAGTTGTAATGAGCACCCCTGCGATTATGACACACCGGCTGGTAGATGGACTTCTTGGAATCAGGAAGCATGTATCTACAACAGGTTCACTAAAACATGCGAAGAAACAAGAACAAGATATTGTACTTACAATGGACTTCCAGGGGGCAAATGCCGTGGTTCATCATTAGAAACCAAAAAGTATCGATGCTCAGGATGTCCCAACAAACGAGGTTAATGAACGGGATTGGTATATATATAACTCAATGACAGTTATTTACATTATGCTTTATTTATTTCTATGATTGCAAAATAAAAATCATACATTACTCGCAAATGCTTTATCTCAATGTCTTTTATCTTAGATACTTAGCAAATTGATAGTCTTGTAAATATTTCGTGATAATATAAGAGTAGCTTATAAAAGGGCGTCAACTCATTAGACTCGAAACTCAACGCAACACCTGTGTATCGAACATGTGCGTTTCTTTCAAGGCGCGACTCCAGCCATTTATGAATGCAAAGACCCGATGTTATTCATCTCGAATTTGAATATATACGGGCCAATACAGTATCCAAATGAAACCCCCTCGAACTCCGATCAGCATAGCTCTGCAACCAAATGTCGAAAATGCTGTAATGTACGTAGGCAATATCCCGCGCTGGCGTCTTTGGTATATTTTAATATATATATCATAGGCAAACGGCATTGCAGTTACAGAGAGACTGTTGGCTAAACTAGTGTTGATAATACAAATAAAAGATATTTTAGAGGCCTAAATTAAATGGAATAAATATGTTACAGAGGCCTGACCTGGATTTCGAACATGTATTCCACGCCAGGCCAATAGGTCACCTGAAATTGCTAAATCTGTAAATATGACGGCCGATATATTTGTTCTCTAGTATCACCTTTTATTGCAAATCAGAGAAATATCAAATATGTAATAAAGTCTATACAGTATACGCCCAGATATATTGAGACGAAAGTCAAAACAAATTTATTTTTTGCAATTCCTTCAACAATTATATCCGACAAAGCTGGAACTCTGGAACATCTACCATAACTTACCAGTATCGGTACCAGGGTACCAGTATTCAAACTGTCCTGGCTTTACCAGTGACGATAATTCAGTCATTGACGGTCAGCCTCGTGAATTGAATCAAAATACCAAATGATTCGAGTAACAACTCAATTGTAGTAGACTATCAAATCTTTTACAGTACCGGTCGTCAACTCAACATTATCAAAAACCGAACTGAAATCGCGAGACCGCAACACGATGCGCAATTTGAAATTTTCATGACGTCAGAACAGACGACAGAAATGTTTGGGTACTCCTGAAGTATGCGCACCAAGATGTCGCATAACCTGAACCCTAACCTGGTACACAACCTGAGTTCAGGTTACTTCAGAAGGTCCAATTTTTGTAATAAAGAAAAGTAGTAGTCTTCTTGCGACAACAATCTTTAAACACTGAAAATTCAAAGCAATTGGTTCATTAGTTGAAGGGAAAAAAATTTTCACAGCAAGTAGAAAATAGAAGAATACCGACTACAAAAATGTAACAAAACGATCCATAAGTCCACTTCAAAAAATATAATTTGTCGAAAGTGAACGACCATTTTCATTACCTTCGGACTGTTACAGAATGAGCATGATTTATATACCTATATATATATTTTTTGCTGGCATTATTGGTATAATTGTTTTATAATTTTAAAGGTTGGCTTCAAAAATGTGAAACTGCAGACAATATGGTAACTGTGAGAAAAAGAAAAGAACCCGATGTCAATGGAAAATAAACAACATTATGTTTACTCACATGTTATTGGAACCATGACATAAAATCGCACTAACGTGAGTCCAAGATAAGAAGAAACATTGTTTTTATTATAATTACTACCATGCTCATTATGTGTATCGATCAAACAAAACAAATAAACAAACTTCCTGCAATTAAATTAATGCCTTTAATATGTTTGAGGGAACGCCTATGTGTAATTATATTATATAATTATAAATAAGCCCGCAGGCAATAAAATTTTTCCCCGAAAATGAGATTATCAAAGAAAATATTTTCTTCAATAGACATAAAGGCACGCGTTGAAATTTATCAATATTTGTTTTCTAGGCTTATTGTTTGTGTCAGTTGACAGTTGTGGTCTCACGGAATTAATTTAGTGTACAATTGTACAACATTTGAAACATCTAATTGTATGATTGTTTTGATATATGAACAAGAGTTTAAAGTACAACAATCTTCAAGTCAGAATAATTTAAGAAAAGAGAGAAGCCCTGATTTAATTATATTTTAGAACAGAGTAAAAAAAAACGTTTGCAACTGACTTTGGTATAGAAATGATTTTTTTATCGCTAGATAAGCAAGTTTTCCTGATTATACGGTTTAAGCAAATTTTGATCGAAAGAATGTTCCTATTTCTAACATTTTGTATTTCATAATATTTTATTCAGTATAATAACTAAAAATGAAGCGAAAATATAACTTGATATTCTATAGTTTATTACTTTTGATAACACTGAGTACCTGTTATGACGAAGGTGAGGCTAATTGTTGTTTCTGACTTTGTATCATCATCATCATATAATGATAGAATTTTGAAAATACTGCGATGCTACTATTTATTGAGAATTTTATTTCAAAACGATTCTGTGTTGTAAGCAAATATAAATACAGTTTAGAATATTGAAATTACTGCTCTGTAAAAAAATCGCTGTACTAAAGACAATAAAATATCAAAGCAATTCACTCACCACCATTATTGTTTCATTTTATAGAACACTGCGAATTTGTGAAGTTCGAGAATGCAAAAATAGAATATGGAAGCAATCTTGAAATTGAATCAAACTTATTTGAAGCAAGATTTAATTGCAGTAAAGACGAAACTTGCAAGGTTATTATTTGCTCAAAATATTCACAAATTGTTTTATTCTTTTTATTGGCGTTTTCTTAATGTCGAGGTGTCATCGCAGGTAATAAAAACGCCCTTGGTTCTAAAACCCGATAAATCACATGTTGTGTTTCTAAACTGTAATCCGTAAAAATGAATAAAGACCAAAGTATCCCAATGATTATACTCAAAGTAACCCACCCTTTCTCGTGAGAACATTTTTTTTTATTACCACTAAGTTGTAGATGAATTTATGCAATTTTGTCCAATGTATCACTCATTTTTTACCAAAATGACAGCAGATAAAAACAAAAAAGCGAAACATAAAAGCTGCAGTTATATTCTGAATATATTTTGTTAAACTAATTTGCAAGCTAGACCCACAGTCATATTTTCGTCTCAACGAGTAGTGACTATTGAAAACAGAGATCTCAGAAACATTTGTATTGGTTGCATATACGTGAAACTGCTAGCTAGGTTATAGTTTTGCATGCATCTGATGTATACAATTATATTATGATCTATAGGCAATCTTCCAAACATATGACAATAATTCTTTCTTCACTCGAAGTGATGAAAACGATATCGAATATCTGGCGTACTCGGAAAATATTGACGACACCGTGTGGATTAAAACATGCAACAATGAGCCTACATTTCGAAAAATAAACGTACCGTTTTCAACACCATATTTTGAACCGGTAATGCAAGGTACGACGAGCAATAAGTAATTTCACAATTTCTGTGACTGTAAAAACACATATGCTATATAATTACTTTGATATATGCTATATGAGAAAAGTAGCAATGTCACTCATCATTTCTCTACGAAACAGGCAAAAACTGATATGTGCTTCATTTGATGCTTTCTTCACTGCCTAATCTTTTTGTAAAAGATGCACAATAATTACGTGATGTATATTACTCTTTCTATTACTATCATTTTAGGTAGTAATATATCATTGCTGAAAGAATTGTCTGATTTGGAACTCAGAATATTTGACAACGGTCTCAAACGACATCGTGAAATCAAATCGTCTGATGATGCTACGGAAGACAATTTTATGCTTGGTGAATACGTCATCAATGTAAAAAAGATAAATGTGCAGAGAAAAAAATCTCTTGAAAAATCAATCAAAAGCTGGTGCACTTACTCCGAATGTGAAATATCGCCAAGAACCTATTTCCAAGTAAACATAAATTTTTAATTTTCGAAAAAATAATAATATGAAAAGATTACCGAGCAGTTAAATTTAATTTGTTAGATGGCAAAATATTTTTAGACATTCTTGGTTCAAAACTTTGAACTGCTTTACGAACTTTTCTCAGAACGCCTTTTCGTCTCCTAAAAATTTTGGGAAACGTGTCCATTCAAGCATTGTTAAAAGTCTGAATTTCTGTCAAATTCACATTAACAGGAAATTATTTCAGTCACAAAATGAATTGTATTTGTAAAATCTGAAATGTTATTTAGGAAGTCACTCCCGAATTCGCCCTACTTGCCTATACTGATAATGATGGTTATGGTCACGTGGTCGTTCTTGGAAAAAACAGAAAAGTGAAGGAAACAATTTATCCAAAAGTAGATGGGAAAAGTGGTATTGTATCTGGAGTATATGGGTTTTTGGATGGAAGATTTGCAGTGACGGTATATGTAAGTGTAGTATTTATTGATGGTCATAGCAAAATTTGTATCTTCTTCCAGTTTTTGCCCTTATACATTGTATCACCGAAGTAACATTTGAACGTCCATTTAATTTAAAAAAAAATGAGATGTTAGTTTAGTAGTACATGGCACATGATTTTAAACTAGATAGTTCTGTTATTAGTTCAAGCTGAAATACATCATTAATGGTGGCTCAATAGTAAAAAGCCTTTGTTGATCCCGTTTGAATTGTAACATGAATATTTATTAAAATTTAGATAGCATGCTAATAAATTTAGGTGATGTTTTAACGTATATATATGTATACTTTATTGTGAATTATGTTCCAGCTTGATGACGAAAATTATCTGAATCGACGAATGTATTTGCAGTTATACAGAACAGATTTCAGTATGGAATGGTCAACGCATCTTCATTCAGCTATTGGAGCACCGGTAGATCGATTTTGTTTATCTTTGTGTATAACATAACCCCAAACAATGATCTGGCGCATTTCTACTGGCATTTGGCAATTGAGGAGGAGTTTTATTTAAAGACTCCCCAGAGTTGAGAGCTGTCATTCAAAGTTAAAACCCCTCGGTATCGAGTACAACATTGGAATCAATATGTTGAATGATGCAAGGACCTGATTCTATTTTGACTGAAATAGAATTAAAAGTTTTTGTGATAAAAACTTATTTACGTACAATGAGGATTCTTTTTAACTTGAAGTCTACAGTCGAAATGTGTCGATCTGGAATCTCAGAATTTATTGAAGTTGGAGCATCATTTCATTCATATTCTGTAACTTTAGCTTGAAGCGTTGTATCTTTCTTCCATAGTCTTAGCTAAGTTTGTTTTATAACAATTTCGCAGGACAGAAACGTTGGTGATTCCAGACTTTCTTACGGAGACGGATATTTTGCCATTTATTTTACTGTCTACGGAGTGTCAAACTTTGCAAATGGGACGAATGGCGAACAACTTTCTTTTGTCAACGAACAAGGAAAATTGATGACATCTTCTTATAAATTACCAAGACAGACTTTTGTAGAGTCCGGTAAATGATTTAATGTTTTTTCAAACAGACCGGTTTGATAGGCATTTAGCACATCACAGTTTTGATTCGAGTTCAAGCGAGTCTTGTGTCAAGTTCAAATTTTGATTTTTAGTAGGCCAAAAATTATGTTTAAAAGATGCTACTAAATTGCTAATTATTGTAAAGCAGTTTACGTACACTTTCAAGTAATGACACGAGATGATAAACGCCATTTAATCAATCGTGATTGTTTCAAGAATCCAAATACCTTCACATATATATCCGTGATGATTTCTAGAGTTTTCTGTATATCATAGTCTTGCTGCGTGAGCTGTATTTTTTGTTGCAATAAACTCGTTTGGCTATCACACTGGTAAATAACACCTTTATTTACAAGTAGAAATAGTTTTAACGGAAAATTCGAATTACAGGATACCGATGGGGCTGTTCTCATTCACTTGGGCAACTTGTTGACTTTCATCCCTCTGAATACCAGTTTGCTACAATTTGCACTTCTGATTTATATCCGAAAGGAATTTCCATCGGAGAACCTAACACAGGAGCATTATTATTCGAGTGAGTGTTAGCAATTTTGCAATAATAATGATATTCAAACCAGGTATATATTTGAGATTTATATTTTCACAATTATGATAAAACGGTCAATAAACTAATGGTTTTGGGCAGTCTCAGGGTACTGGCGGAAACAGCAAGCTTCTATTGGCATTTCTGTCCAATAGATTACAAAAGACTTTGCTGGCCTTGATGTCTCTTATTCTGTACTATAATAAATAATACTGTACTATAATAAAAATATAATAAGCAATTTCATTTAGTGCGAAAGCCAACGGCCGTGGATACACATCAGCGCAGATAGGACAATTGGCTGCAGGAAATTTCGGATGGAAACTGCTGTTCAACGCCATGGACTTGTAAGTTTTTAATATTTACGCTTTAGATCTCAGTTTCAAAGACTTTGGATGATATTCCAAAGCATTCTGATTTAAAAATTTAAAACTATTACAGTGATTGTTGCGAAGGCAATGGTGTGGGATTCATCAGCATATATAATGAAATTGATGACATCACAGGAAAACAATCTTTCGATGATGTTGTGTGGTTGACTGACACCAGAGGAATGTACGAAAGAGATCCTGTTATGGCTAGATATTTTCCAGGTACAAAAATTTGGAATTCAATCGAAACCATTGTGAAATTTCCGGGCTGCTATGGTTATTAGTCAAAAAGGTTTTCTATTGTTAAAAAACCCCCTAATGTATGATATTATTAGGAGTTTATTAATTGAGGAAAATCTAAAATGAAAACAAAATAATTCAATAAATACTAAAATTAATTTCAACACCTTTCGTTCAGATGGAACGGAAGAACAAGAGAAAGAACGATATCTTGTGGGGTGGTACAATGCTAGAGATGATGATTATTATCTGGCAACAGTCGATACATTTGGTTCTATCTTACAGGTACAATGAAAAAAAAATATCGCTTTATTCAGTGGGATATATTAGATATTAGTTACTGTTAGATTTAACATAGTTTCATAGTTAATGCATTTTCAACCAAAACGGAAAACAGACGTCACACTGTCGTAAAAACGTGTTCCCATTAATAATAATAAAAAACAGCGAAATTTTAGATGGATTATCTGACTTCATAGGGAATTTAGGAACAAATAAAAGTGATAGCATTCTAGCAACAACAACAATTTTTAACCACTCAAAATTTCAAGTCAATTGGTCGAGTAATTAAGAAGTAAAGCAATTTTTTTAAACAAGAAGAAGAAAAAAATACTAACCATACTAACAAAATGAACAGCAACATAAAAAAAAAGAAACGATCCATCAATCCACTTTGTGCTCTATAACAAACTTTTTTGCTGCTTATAAATTCAATTGTTACCTTCAAGAGTCCTGTAGCTACAAGTACACTGAATGGTACTAAAATACGATGTAGAGGAAATTGTGTTGCATGGGGTAACAGAGATGATTCGTTCAATACATTATCAGATGGATCAATAGGTTGGATACTTGCTTATCCAGAATCAAAACAGATTTGGATGTATGAAGGTAATGTTGGACTTAATGTTGGTTTTATCTATAGGAGGAAAAAAGCATGATTGCTGTTTCACAACAAACTAAAGATTTTAGCAATGCTTTCTTAATTACTCAATGTATCTCTGTTTAAATATATCAATGTTTTAAGCGCGTTAAATGGAAGTGGAGGTATGAATATGTCCATTGTTAGGCGCATCTACTGCAAAAAATAGCTCTAAATATATTGAATCAAACTTGACCGGGAAGGCACATATCTGAGATAACATGGCACCGGAAGACCAGCAATGTGTCTTTATTATCTTTGGGTCACCTACAACATAATACATCAGTTTCTGCACTTTCCGCGCATAAGCTATCTTTCAAACAAATATGTTATCAATGATGAATGAAAGACATTCAATAATCGAGTTTTTGGTCCGCCCATTTCATATAAAAAAGAGCCTACTGCAAGTTTATGACTAAGGCCAACTAATTCTTACTTTTATCTAATATATATAATGCACTTTAGCATATTGTTGGAAACTTAGCACCGTTACCGGCACACAATCTAATTCTGTCATTTTTTTTTCAGTTTCATCAACTGATTTGAAGTCACGTACACAATGGAGTTTGTGGAGTGGTTGGGCTATGTGTAGTAAGAGTTGTGGTGGAGGAAAAACAGAACGCATCAGAACATGCTTAAACGAATCAGCAAACAAAGAGCAGAACTGTGAAGGAATTGCACAAGAAACTAAAGATTGCAATACTGCTAACTGCACAGGTGCGCAAACGCATAACTATTGTATATATGTTGACTTACTACACTGCGTAAATCACGTTAAAAACTTATGAGATCACTTCAAATTGTTTGAACAATTCTACACGGGCTCAGTTATTTGTATCGAATGATGACACCAAGTTAATGAATGTCACGTTAACGAACGATTTATGACCTCACATTATTATCGACATGCCAACAATTATCGGAGTTCAGAATTAATTATGCAGACATTGGCCAATGCAATATAAGCGGACATTCTTTGATGTTAAAATTTATAACACGAATTATCCATTTATAATAAGATATTAGTTTAAGTTTGTTGCATTAGTTGAACTAGATTTATATTTTATATATATATACATTATTTCACAGTACCTGTGGTTTGTACATTCACGAAAATACCCGAGACTGACCAGTTGATTGGTACTTTGTTCATCAACCAAGCTGTCCAATTTGCTTATTCAGAAATCGAAGCAAAAGAGAAATGTTTTCAATTTCGAGGTTCGTGATGAAGTTTATTTTGATGTGTATACTAATACAGAAAATTGTTTTACATTTAGATCAGGGTTGTGTAACAGGCGGCCCGCGGGTTACAACTTGGCCCGCCAAGTGTCAGACTCGTCAACACTCAGATTTCCCCCATCAACCATATAATCCTAATCCTACAGTTTATGTTTAAAAGGTGCTCTTGTCGCTGCGTCAAATCTTTCACCGTTTTGGCCAATGCCTTCATAACTGTAAGGCTGAGCGATAGTTCATTAGCTGTTTGACCAGTCAGTTAGGGTTGCTAAAACTGTCAAAGCTGATTTTAACAAACTATGCAAACCCTCGAAATACCAAGTGTCCCACTGAAAATGTTGAATAAATAACATTTTGCAGTGTTTGAATTTTTAATTCGTTGTGTACATGAAAACTAGATTTATAAAGCTGGGTATATGACCCGCCGACAAAAAATGCTGCACACCTCTGCTTTAGATATATGTTACCATTCAGAAGGTCGAGATTTTTTGTATATATACTGTCTTTGTGAAAAGTTTTTCATTAGGAAATCTTTTTTGTAAAAATATTACCTTTTTCAAAAAAAGATATATGTTGGGGATATGGAGAAGAAATTGTTAACGGCTTTCTATTTTACGTCCTGAAAACGGAACAAATTACAATACCGCCTGAAAATATCACCGAAGGATTCAATACTACAGCCGGACATGCTATGAATTGTACAGGTAAAATAAATAACGTATAATATTCGAAACTTTCCAAATACACGCTTTTCTTTAGCTTCAACTTATCTAAATTTAACCAACCTTTAATAGGTGTTTCTCACCTTTTTTGCGAGCAAAAGTCTTAGTAATTAGCCATTGATAAGTCGGGCTCGAACTCCTCACACGAACATTCTGCAAAACACTATGCAACTGATATGCTATGATTAAGAAAATCAAGTAAAACAGTCTCTTGGGTACTGATGTTAACAAAGAGAATCGTACTTCATTTTTCACTGGAAAAAATACTGAGTGTTTGTCCTCAATGCTGGCTTCATGTTTATATCATATAATATAAGCTTTTAACGCACTATTTACATACCATCAATAAATATCGCCACAAAAAAAATCAACAATCTCGACTCTGATATGCTACTTCCTTCCTAACAGAAAGACCAGGATGGTCAAAATGGTCAACCTGGTATTCATGCAGTACTACTTGTGGAGGAGGCTCGAGATATCGAACGAGGTTTTGCGACGGATCAGAAAAAGGATCGCCGGTTTGCCAAGGTCTTGATATTCAGATCGGTGCTTGCAATTTAGGAAAATGTCCCTCTTGGAACGAGTGGTCATTATGGTCAGAGTGTTCTCAAACTTGTGACGAAGGTAAAATTCACTTTATCAGCCAATTTTCTCCAGTCTATCTTGGGACTCACTCTTCTAAACGACCTCGTTCGTTACCGATTCAAATATATTGGTGGCAAGTAGTCGTACCTGACGTTAATACATTGTATGTTTCTGCAACAGACTTTTTGATACCTTTTTATATTTGCTTTTTTTAGGAGTTCAAAATCGGAATCGCCAATGCGTTGGGGATTACCCAGAGGCGTGTGGAGATTTGAAAGGCCCCGAAAGCGAACAGCGACCATGCACGAAGGGGATTTGTCCATATTGGACACAATGGACTGAGTGGAGTTCATGTGACAAAACCTGTGGTCAGGGGACAAGGTTTAGAACAAGAGATTGCAGAGGAGATTTTGATTGCTCAAGTTTGGAAGAACCACTGGAAGTTGAATCCTGTAACCTCGGAGTGTAAGTTTCCTTCTTTCTTCTATACCTTCACAGTGCTGAGCCTGTCGAAATCCGTACGAAGCCTGGCTTTGTTATCCCAACAATTCTTAGTTTTCAACTCTATTTTAACTCGACTTTGTTAATATTAAACGTCGTGAATTCAAGACGAACTGTCGCTGGCGTATATCAAGTTTTTGTCTCCTCACTCTATTGAATCACCTGCATGCCATTTATCTGAGCAGTGCATTTTCTGGTACCAATGGAGTAACAATTACACTTTTTTACTTTTAAGATGCCAGTTTTGGTACGACTGGAGTCAATGGAGTGGATGCAGTGTGACGTGTGAAAGTAATGGAATTAGACAGAGAACGAGAAGATGCGGCGGAGACTTTCCTAAGCTTTGCGACAGAGATAGCTTTGAAGAAACTGAAACATGCTCGGTAGATAACGAATGCCCGAGGTGGACAACATGGTCTGAATGGAGCGACTGTTCTGCTACTTGCGACATCGGGCAAAGGCGGCGAACTCAATCGTGCGCAGCTAAAATTCTGGAAACCTGCACGAAGCCTGGTGCAGCAGTAAATTCGACAAATACTACCTACGTTATCAAGCGCGATTTCTTGAAAAATTTATTTTTAAAAATTGATGCCAAAAACTGTACGTTTGGAGTGTGTTCTTCTTGGGATCAGTGGGGAAACTGGGAGACATGTTCTGCAACTTGTGGCAATGGAACACAACTCAGAAGTCGACAGTGTTACGGTGATTTTCCGAAAATGTGTGCGTCGACGGGAAAATCAGTGGAATACCAGGTGTGCAATCCGGGAACATGCGGAGTTTGGCAAGATTGGTCACAATGGAGTGACTGCTCAGCAACTTGTGGTAAGAATCTTTTTTTCTACATATTTGCGCATGACCACAAAACTTCAATATCAGAAAGGATGAAAGCTTACAACATTGGAAACTTATAAGTGACGATTCAAGTTATCGCTGAATCAGTTTCGCTGTCAATTTGTCATAGACGTTACGATTATATTAAAAAATCATAAGATATGACGACCAATTATACGTAGTTTTATGTTATTTTTAAAAATGTACTAACTTGATTATTCTAAACTTTTTTCCAGGTTTGGGTACGTGGACGAGACTGCGAAAATGTATTGGAGATTTTAAAGAAACTTGTGTTGGTCCTGATAAAGATACTAGGCCTTGTGATGTGGGCGATTGTATTCCAGAGTGCCACCCTCGTCCATGCAATAACAAAGGACAATGTAGATCAAACGAATATCTTGCAAGACGATACAACTGCAAATGTCCTGGCGGTTGGATAGGAAAACATTGTGATTATGGTACGTATATATATATATTATAGATTTCAATCTAAGTATGGTCAAGAAAATTAAAAGAAAGTATTACAGAATTCAAACTTGTGATTTCACTATTATGGTACTATTATTAAAACAGCCATAAATTAGCAGCATTTGAGGTTGACGTTTGAAAAAATCTTCGAAATCTGACCACATTTTGCACATAGATTGGACAATAATTTAAACATAACACCTATCGGTTATTGCAGAAGAGTTCACTCTTGCTATGAAAATGTCCATGCTGGATGTTGTCCTCACTCTTTGCCGTTGTTCTTCTTAAAGTATCGACTTCAATTGTTTTGAGCCGAATGTCAAATGACCGGATATCTCTGTTGCAAAGATAAATATATTCAAATAGCGACATTAATTGTTCACCACTCTTGCATCAAGGATTATTTCACTTTTAATTCTTGCGACTTGCTTTAAGCAAATTTGCATTAAATCTTTCACAAAATAAAGAAATTTGTGAGGATTCGAAATTTCAATTTTGATGTGGCCACTATATCCACATAGCACATGATTTTTCTTTTAAGTTGGTAATCTGTAAATAATCATTTCATAGAGGGGCCGGGAATCCAATGTGAAACAGATGGAGTAAAAATTGAAATCGACCGTCGAGTTTTATCTGATGAACTTCTTCCTGATGACCCAAAGTATGTCGCATTGTCAGGATTTTCAGATGTATCGGAATGTTCAGCAGTGCCACTTACAACATCTAAAGAAATAGACGTATTTTCTTTGACTGTACCGAGCCCGATTGATCTTTCATGTGGATCAGAAATGGAGGTGAGTGAGCACGAAATATGGAACAGCGCATCAGAATGGGCTTAAGTCCAGGCTTGATGAACTGTTGTTTTTAAGACCAAAATTTTATTTTTCAAATCCTAATAATTGGAACTCTATGGGAGATTAAAATACGAAAGCTATGAAAAAAAAATCATGAATAAACCCAATAGATTTCTATTCTGTCCGTTATAATTAATGATAGACAAACAGAATTTAGTCAAATAGCAAAGTGACGTCACAATATCCAGAATGCTTTAACACTCAACGATATATGAGCTGAATAAAAAATTTATAAGATGTTGTGACGTCACAATGTAGGATTGACGATTCATAAAATCATTTTATTCGCAAAATGGGAATAAAACATTTGTTGTTACAGTAGCGCGCTTTGTTGCGCTATCATGTTTCAAAAATCATTCATTATTTGTTGTGGTGTTGCGGCCTTAGCAGGATGGGTTTGGTGGGAACAGAGAAGAAAGAAACATAAAGAAATAGAGAGAATGAAAGCATATGTTATAGACTTAGAATACAAATTTTACGAATTGAAGGAGAAAATGAAGGTCGTTGATGAATTGTGTATGGTAGGTGATAAGTGGAGAGTCGAGTAGAAAATTGAGAATTTGAACACTTTAGGAGTAGATAATAGTGGGATGAATATATATCTCAACGAATAAAAAATACCTATTTTGGGGTAGACGAAATTTTCACATGAAAATTTTCAAGTGAAAATTCTTATTGTTACTCTATAAGTTTAGAATTAATATTGCATTTAGTAATTATAAAATACTTTTAATGGTTTATCAAATAAGATTTCTAATTGGGCCGTTGGAACACAATTTTCAGCACAAAATAAAATTGAACAGAAAAAGGCAGAGAGATTCGGAAAGATATATCACAGATTATCTAGATCGGTTTCTGGAGACAACTGAATTGGCATCGCGGTTGATGAATAATCAGTACAGAACTATAAAGTCAAGATTAGACAATCTAGAAAAGCAAGCAAAAGATATTGCAAAAATGCAATATAAAATCAGAAGAATCACAAAATCTTCGGGAAAGAAGAAAATTGTTGTAATGCCTATAGTTAATAAAGATTCGACGAGCGATTCAGGTAGATAAATCGTGGCGTACAGACGTTCCAGTCACTTTGGCGAGAAGAATGAAATATTTATTTATCCCATATGGCGTCAGGATATAAAAACAACTAGTTATATGTTTATATTTTTATCTGTATCTGATCCGACTTCAGAAAAGTCGATGCATGTTTTGGGCGGAGTGGATAGCGTTTTATGTTACGCAATCGTAAATATTTTCTAACGATTAAATCAAGTTATTTTTTTCAAATTAATCATATTTTTTTCAAATGCCCCAAAAATTACTGAACAATTTTAAGATAACTGATGACGAAATTCGAATCAGGAATAGAGTTACATGGAAAGCAGTCGACGACAACATACAAGCTGAAGTTATTCTGTTGGATTTTACATGCGCTTACAAAAGCACGATAGACACCAGCGTTGTGGATACTTTTACTGGTGGTCCACTAACCATCACTTCTTTCAAGAGGTAACATATATACTACTTGTATCATTTCCGTCAGATTGATGGTTACCTGAAATATAACGGGATTTTCATATTAATCACGGGGAGACGAAGTCGATAAGACGGCTTTACCATACGGCAAAACCTCAGTCTCTCATCCGAATTTATTTTGTTTGTTTTCTTGTTTCCCGCTAACAGTGTTAGCAAACGTATCAAATGTAAAATTAATTCTAATTGGTCCTGTTCGGTTGTTCATGTGAATTTAACATTGAACAACGTCTTTTTGAAGGTGTTATCTACAGAAAAGCATGCTTGGGTGAATAAGTAAATTCTCAATGCTTGAAAACGGCAGACTATTTCATTATTCTTTATTCCTTTTGTTGAACATAAAAAATCTAAATTCGGATCATTTGTGTCGTTAGCGTCTATTTATTTCTATTTTTTGCACTGAACCCGATATTTAGACAGAGAATATGCGCATGAACTCTCGACAATGATAATATGGTCAATGAAGACAGTCGGGATGGCTTTAAATGTAGGCCTATGTAGTAAAATCGGAAACTTTAAAGTTACAGGAGGCGTCCCGCTTCGAGGTCAAAAACATATGGTAACCCTAGGTATCGGAATAGTTATCAAGTTGTTTCAGATGCATGAATTTGATGGTGGAGGAAGCCGTAACCAACAAGCTATTACAGTAACCATTACATTACGTTGGCGAGGAGTCCGGCAGTTCTCCCGTACATCCGCACGAGTAGAACGATGGACGTTTTTTTTTGTATATGTGTCTTCAAATTTTTACTATATCGTATTTCTTGACACAGGTCGCGGGAAATTGTTAATGGATCAGCTAACTTCAGAGTCATGATTAATCTTTTCCGAGATTCCAAATATAGACTCCCGCTTGCAGCAGATTTTGGTACATTGATGCATGTTGCTGAAGGACAAATAGTTTATGTATCTGTCAGTCTGAGTGAATCAAGCATAGCTGATGACGTAGGTATTTACCTCGTCATGAACACCTGTTTTGTTACTGCTTCGGCGGATAACAATCGATCCACAACTCAGGAACAGAAACCATTATTATATCTACTCAAGAACAGGTGCCATCATTGTTGATTAGTTTATTAAGAATCATACTTTTTTGCTCAGTTTCATTTTCGCACACTAGCTAAACGGAGCCATGACTCAATAAGTGAAAAAAAATTACTGAAGGAACTATTGAAATGACAATGAGACATCTACAATTCAAATTTATCACTAATGTGACATTTCAAAACGATTTCCATTTGTTTGTCTTGTCGTAGGAAAGATGCGGCGAATTTATCAGATAGTGCGAGCTTACCACTGTGATGAATCGAACTCTTATTTAATAAATATGACAAAAACGTATTATTATTACTCAAGCATTCGGGCGAAGTTTATTTTCACACCACTACAAAAACGTTTTCGAAAAATGTATGGGTCGCTATCAACAGGCATGGTCGTAGAAAAGTTTTGTCTGATTTCGAGTCATGCAAAAATATAACCGATTCCAGATTGACAAATATTGCGACTAACTGTTGGCATTCAAATAAATTCGACTCCGATTCATAGGCGAAGCCTTTTCTATTTTTCTTTGAAAATTTCGCCTGCGAGTTAAAGAATATCGTGAATGTCACGGAAGTTATGAAAGTAATTCTAAATGGCATAATTATTTATCTTAGATGTCCAGTCAGTCCATTTGTCCGAGTCATATCTAACGGTGAAGGAAAATCTGGAAAATTATCTGTTCGGGTGTTTGGGTGGTCAGGAAAAAACTTGAAAACCAAGAATCTTTATCTGCACTGCACGGTAAGCATTTCTGATATACAGTATATCCAATTTCAGCCAATTATTTTATTCTTAACTTAAATGGGCTAAGCAATTTTTCTCAAGGACTGTAATAGTCTCTTATTAGATAGGTGTCACAAATGGACCATTAATAGCACTTTACCCGAAATCTCTAACACATATACTTTTATACCAACTTGGGCACAAAATTGTCTTACTCAAGTCAAAAATGTCGGTGCACCCGTAGTATGTGCACCAAGATGGCGCACAACCTGAACATAGTATTTTGAACCGGTAAGGTTTTCTGGTTGTGCGCCATCCTGGTGCACATACTACGGGAGCGACAAAATTTCAGATGGTCGACTTCATTCAAGTATGGCAAACAGCTTTGACTAAGCTAATCCTATCAAAAATGACATCAATTTTTATGTGATAATATTCCATACTATAGGCAGGGATTGATACTTTTGTAACTTCGACCTAATGACATTTCTAAATGCTGGGTACGGAATAAATACTGTATAGTTTGCTGATTACAGGTAGAAATTTGTCAAGACCAAATCAACAAATGCAAACCAGTTTGCGAATCACGCCTGAGAAGAAAACGATTTATAGAAGAGAATATTTTACTGGTGAGATATGCTAATGATGCTTATGATACTGCTACAACAATATCAATCGCAAGTCTGCAGTTAGGTGTTTTGTTTATCACCAAGAGCAAAAATCGACGCGGTTGTGTGTATATATATATATATAAATGTTTCGATCGTGTTTTTATTCACTTTTCATTTAAAATTTATTTCTGTTTTGACTGGAATTTCGTCCATTTGTTATATAAGTTTGTGGATGGTTGGCTGGTTCATAATCTCTAGTCGTCAGGTCTGTTTTGGTAATTTGATTATGAATGTCGAATCTTCAATAAATATTCACTCAAACTAGATTCAGAAAGGAAACAAGGCCAACATTCCCTCTTCTGGCGAACTTTTACATCGGGACGCCAGCAAGCCATATCCAAGCGTCGTGAAAAAGGTCGACATAGGCGAACCGGAAATTTCCCTCGTTATGAAAGGACGCATCAACTTTGATATAAAATACATGGTTTCAGCAGGACCGATATTAGTTGAAAGTGAAACTCAAGGTAAATGAATTCTATAATAAATGATATATATGTATTAGGAATTCTTGGAAAGAAGAACCTTGAATGAAGACATAGTTTAGTTTTCAGCCTGCTTTCGGCAAATGTTGTTTTTCATGTTTCCACACATACATATAACTTTCTTTTAGGTCCCGAAGTGCCATGATCAGTATTATCAGATATTTAGATGATATTCCTTATGCAAGCAAACTGTTCTATGATGCATGACTTGTTTTGTAGGTGAACTGTCAAGGCAGACTCGTGATGTAATGATGGAAAAGTACGACAAAATCTCCGAAGACGAAACTAAGTACTCACATGTGTCACAATCGAAAATCCCCCATGCTAGTAACTTCGTGACGTTATTCGAAAAATACTTCATCTCGTCGGTGATTTTATTATCTCTTGTATTTTGGTACCTCAGGCGAAAATTGAGTAAATTCTTTTTAACCAGCTTGAATAAAAACTTGAACTGTTGTAAACACGATCATAACGAACAAATATTGAAGGGTTGATTACGATCTACTGTTCATATCAAAATAATACGTTTAGCCAGTAACACGCTTATGGACTGTACCGATGACTTGAGTATGAAATGTTTCTAAGCTTCTATGCCGTAGTTTTATATGTACGTCTAGCTACATAATTTTTGTTTGCATTTGTTTTGTATTGACTTGTTTACATTGTGTAATTTATTGTGTCACTGTGTACATTACGAAAAAATATTATTTTGTTGAACTAAAAAATAAACAAAGTAACGACTCCGAAGACATGATATATATTTGGATTACGAATCAGCGTGTAGCACAGGTGACGTGAATAGTCAAAGGTTGCAGTCTTTAAATACAGCTATTTTAAACCTAATTATGGAAATTTGTAAAAAACTTAACTGGAGGAAAGCAAGATATGGCGAAAAGCACATTAGCATAAGTGTTCGAGCGATTGGATAAATTCCGATTATTGTTTCACAAGCAAATTTTTGTTGATTAGTCAATATGCGAAAATAGCAGAGAGGGCTTTATTATTTAATTTTGGGTGGTACAATGCACCCAACCTGAACACGACTATATTTCAGAGATCTTTTGTCAGACTATATGGATACTTGAGGGGTAAAATTTGACCTACTTTGGGGAGATCGGTGGCGTACTATGACTATTACTACTTATATACATCTTGTAACCCGTAACCTAGTGAGATAGTATTGGGTACAAGGCCATTTTTGTAGGCCAATAAGTGTAGAATCGTAGGAGGATATCGGTGTTTTCAGTATCAAGTGATTAGCAAGCTCCAAATTTGTGAAAAAGCTCAATAAAAAATCGCACTTTGCAGAAAATAAAATCGACCAAGCTTGAACTTGCCACAAAACAACATCAACAAACCACAGACGAACGATAATTCAAAGTAATTCATGCGAATCGTTGCACGTGATTTTTAGCACGCGTGAATTAGTCAATATGTCATGTGACGAAAATAGTAAACAAATTGTGATTGGTGTGTTGTTTGTAGGAGTACCCCTTTCCATCACTTTTCTTTCGCTCTTGCTTGTCCACCCGGGGTTTCCCTACAATGGCGTGTGTCACGTGCAAACATGTTGTCTGAATATTACAAAACGAATAATTTCGGGAATTGTTTCATTCGCGAGATTTCGAGTTCAGTTATTGGTTGCTATTTTCTCGACTCGGTGCTACGAGACAGATAGGTCAGTAGGTACCCTACTAAAGTAGTCCAGTTGATCCATGCAAAATTTCAATGCCAATGTTTTGTTTAAAATTAATAATACTGTATATTGTCATTGCTGTATTGGGATCTAAAATTGTGTTTAACTGAATTAACTTGAAAATAAAATCGAAAAAAAGGGCGGTAACTAAATCATAAATATTAATAGTAAAATAAAACCCGGATCATCAATTCTGCTGTTCTGTAAATAATCCGTGGTATATCAGTATCTTGAGTAGGCTATTTTCTCCCTTCTTACTAGCCGATATTAAATAATCATGCTTTCCTGGTGTTGCACCATAGCAAATTACTACATCACATGTACTGAATTAAAAAATAAACTGACCAAATTACTATTATCTATTCTTATGTCATGAATGAAAATTTTAAATTGAACAGATATATCAGTATATACATATTACAGTATTATTATAAACTATGGCATATGGCGGCCAACCTCCTCCTCAATACACTGCTTCTCCAGCATCATATCCAAGTAATGGAGCATCAGCTACATTCACACCTTCGTTTTCAAATGACGCAAGCTGGAATTCACAACCTGTTCATTCAGTTGAACTTGCTATCTCTTGCAGGTGAGTTCCTTTTGCTTTATTTCAGAATTTATAATGACGATAAAATATGACAGTAGGGCACATTTTTCTGATTCCAGGATGTCCCAACATTTGATACAATAAAACAGACACCTTGTTTGTCTCAGAAACGAGAGCCTTCGGCCATAATAATTTGAATCGTCACATGACCAAATTTTTTTGCTATGAACTCCTAAATGCTACGATAAAATTTTTTTCCTCCGTGGATCTTTTTAAATTTGGAAAATGGAGCTATATCTTTAAAATACAGTCAATCATGTTGTCTTGGGTATATGAACATAAAAAGTTTTCAAAAATAGAATATTTAGAATTTTAATATATATGTTTTTATATTAAACTTACTAATAAATTTAAAAATAAATTATTCATTCAAAACATGTTTTTGTAATGCACCATTACATGTATATGTAAGCAATTTTTAATTTTAATGAACATTTCTATTGTCCAATAAATTACTAGCCCAATGGCTTTTGTACATTGTAGGTTTGTTCAGATGGACTGTACTAAAGAATCAACTTTTCTGTTGTCTCAAGCATGACATGTAAATAAAACTGCTTTGATTGCACGATCCATAAGCAGATCATGCTTGGCATGGTAATAAAAATTTTCAAAATTGAATAAAAATTGAAGAATTGAAATATCTTTTATTTTTATTATACAATTGTTTTTCAACGTTTCGGTTAATTATGTTGTTGTCCATAGATTTTATCCTATAACATGTTCAATCGAATCATTATGTTTTGCGTCACCCAACTATTCAAATGCGTAAACCACATCTGACAACCGTATTCTTTATTACCTATCACCTCTAGTTACATATCCTGGTTACCCCCCAATTAAGCTACAGTAACTATGAAGGCAACATATTTAAAAATTATGTCCTTTGTTATGAAGTTATAAATGTAAGTGAGGCAAGTATTTTTTATCATTCAAGAAGTGTTTCCTGGGTTGAAATGTTTTTTATATAATATTCTGGAATAGTATGTTCTGGTTAGGTACTCGTTAATTACTTATGGGTAAAACGCTTAAAATTGTTATATTAGAATTATTGTCTGTATCGAAATTTGTATATTTGATGGTGAAATTGGAAAATTATGATCAGATTTATATGCCAGGACATCTCCTTATTAATATTACACTCACAGACCTAGAGGGATGAAAGTAACACGAGGGAATTATTTCCAATCTATTTTGTCATAACATTAAATATATCGAATAACATTTTAGAAAGTTCTTAAAAAAAGTTTTTTTCGCTCGGAAATGAGTGAGAAACTTAACTGTTAAAAGTTGTTGGACAGTCTTTAATTTAGTACATAAACTGATAGCTCACATATATATGTCCTATTATGCAGGCTTATCTATGGCAGGCAGGTTCATATCAAGTAGCCTTTCATTTTTGGATTTCAACCTGAAATTCATTTTTCTGTTAACTTTTGCATAGATCTTGGTTTACTGCAAATAGGATAAATTTGGCAATGGTAAAATATAGAACATACTTTTTCAACGCCAAGGTTCTGAAGAAAGAAAATTCATTCAGTTTGACATCTCCATTTTTTGAGTTGATAGTTCTGTATGCTCCTAATTCAATATTTTGATTTTAAAATATTATTCAACACATCATTTTTTTTTAATATTCATAGTTATATAAATATTACATAACCTGAGTATCAATCACTACCCGTACCACAACAAAACAAAATGTATAATAAAAGAAAGCAATCAATGACGCCAGCTTTCAAAACTCAATCAACAGCCAGCCCATCTTCTCAAGTAGAAATATCTGTCGGCTGCAGGTTGGTTGTTCAAGCACACTTTGATAAATTGAGAAATTTTTTATTACTTGCATTTTCCTGAAGTGAAAGTAGTGTTGTAAAGCTTTATTACATGATTCCGTATACTCATCTTGTTGGAGTTGATAAAGGGTGGATAAATATTCAACATGATGATACATTATTGCAAAGCAATCCAGTTCATTTTCTTATGTGAAGTTTAAATGTGCATGTTACTCCAAACAAGGCTTTGTACAAGAATCTAGTACAGGGGTTCCCAACCTTTTTATCTCAATTTCCCACTTCCGATTAGGCTGAGTTGGTATTTCCCATTACATATGGACTTGTTTAGAAAGACTACCGTAATTTCCTTGTCAATAATAATTGGTATGACTTTCTATAATAAAGGCTTGCAATTGGTGTAGAGGTTGAAACCTCGTGAAAACATTCATTCCGCCGTCTAGCATCCCAAGACGGTGACGATCCGTGTAAAGAAAATCAGTGTTTTCCATCGAATAGAACAATTCAATGCTTGAAATTACAAAAAATGCATCAAAGTTTACATTACATTACACCGTCCATATCAATTCTGCTGTTTTTTTATATGGTAGACCGGAAGTCTGAATCTATTTTTGAAAATGCGCATTGCTATTGTACAAGGAGATTCGTTCATCTTTGGTGCCGCAGACTTACTCGGCAGAATATCATCACACTCCGCGAGACAAAGTTTCATTTAAGTCCCACCGATGTTATGGAACTTTTGGTTCTTGCTATTCGGAAGACATCTACAAATGACGTAGTCAATATCACCTTTGAACTCTTTTGAAATCGCCCATGTTGTCGAATCTTAGCACACTGATAAGCAAATGTATATTTGAAATATGTTGCCTCATTTCATGTGGTTACGTATAACCATTGGAGATGGTCTTATTGCATAAAAACGCATTGCGCAGTTGGTCAAAATTTTTTGTTAAAAACATGAAACGTAGCCGAGATGACTACGATCGTACTTTATTTTTACATAAGCCATTACCTTTTATTAACAATTTAGCAGAATGGAGGGACGGGTCAAAATTTGTTCATCAGAGCGCGTGCCTACCCAATACTTCTGAGACATTTGAATAAAAACTGTTCTCTTTTGCGCCTCTGCAACGAAAATCTTCTTGCGAAATGTTTAAAGCATTGGTGCTCGTTCAAGACATGCCTTCGACCAAAGATCAAAATAAGTTGCGAAGCACGATCAGAATATCATGCCCAACAACGTGATATTTTACTAAAATTTTGATTGATTGAATGGGAATCTTTTCTCTTTTTCCGCTTCATGGCATATGTTGTGATTTTCATTGTGTAATATTTAATAATTGTGTTGTTGTGCGTACATTTTCAGAGGAGCATTAAATTTCCCACCTGCAACCTCCAAATTTCCCACTAGTGGAAAATTTTCCACCGGTTGGGCACCACTGATCTAGTAGGTGTGTATCTCAAGGATGAACAAAACTGAATATTTTACTTTATTGAATACATTATGAGAAAATATTTTTGAATATTGAGTATCGAATACATTTTAAATTGGGGGCAAGTTAATGTGGAAAACTTCATAAATCATTACATCTTCATGTTGATGATATTTGAAACAGCATAAATAAAAAGGTCTTTGTTTTTGTTTTGTTTGTTGCCCATTGAGATAATCATATGTTTAGATCTACGTGCATGGCGGCTCAAAATCCCAAATTTTTTAATAAGAATATTACAAATTATTCCTAAATTCAAAGATCTACTATATCGAATATGATTAATTTCAAACAAATTCAAATATTTGATTTGTTTTGAAAATCCCGGGCAGCAACTATTTTTGGAGAGACTTGAAGCTTTTCGTTTATGCATTGCCTACCTTCTCAATTCATTACACTAGCTGAGGTCATGGGCATGAGATTTGTACCTACGATGACAACATTTCATTTGAGCCATATTAGCAATAAATATATCATGCTTTTTTATTACTTTCTCAGAGGTTTGATTGATGCAGATGTGTTTTCAAAGTCAGATCCAAGTGAGTTATTAAATATATTACAAGTACCGGTAATTGTAGATTTCGGTTTATAATTGATCATTTTATGAGTAACCTTCCTGGCTTTCCTTATATTATATATATTCAAAAATGAATATCACAAGTCCTGCAATTGTATTTCTTAGATATCTAATAATATCACATATTTTTTTTAGTGGTTGTAATGTATATTCAAGGCCTTGGTACTAAAGAATGGAGAGAGGTAGGTTGCATAATTCATGATATTTTTTGAACAGGGTGGTAGACTATGCCTGCTCCATATGAGTTGGAGTTCCACAAGTGAGCTCACTCTCACTGGCAGTTGGTTGATTACAAGTTCGAGTCATTTCACTCCGATGACTTGAGTCACTTTTGAGTCTTTGATAAATTGGGACTCAAGTCGAGCCAATTACTCAAGCACAGAATAAGATTTAACGTGCTATTTGTTTACTGAATACATAAGTTTATTGATAATACAAACTCTCTTATATTGCAATAAGTTCTTCCTGTCACATTTTTCATTGTTTATAGTACGGCAGAACCGAGACAATTCAGAACACTTTGAATCCTGATTTTGTGACCAAATTTGTGATTGATTACTTTTTTGAAGAAAGGCAAGCTCTGAGATTTGATGTGTAAGTATTTTATATTCATTCATATTATCACATCTGTACAAGGTTTTGTCAAAAACTTATTACTTACAAGTTATGACAATAGTGGACTGAAGCTAAACAAAACATTGTCGGATATATCTCAATGTAATCGTCAATATTTATAAAGTGCCATATAATTGACTTGGCAAATTTATCACAATTTTTTCAATACAGACATTTACAGACTTTCGCAAACTTTAAAAAAACAAGCCTCTAATTGGCAGTACACGTCTTGTGTTGCCAGGGTTACCATCTACCCAGAGCCAAAAATAAGCGCGGGTGTCAAAAGGTTATTTGGGGGTACCTAACAATCGCAGAAACGCAGAATAAAAATGAGAAAGAAATCATACAGCCCATCTACCCCCGAATGTGCGAACATATTAAACAATAAATAACATAAACACATAATTTTGAAATTAACTTTACTGAGTCAAAACATACGCCAAATGATTTTTATTTATCTCTACCAAACAATTTGCTTCAGCAGTCTTTGGTGATGGATAATTGATACATCACAATAATAACACAGTGAAGCTTGCCGTGAATACGCATTTCCATAATAATAAGCAAAGTTTCCACGGAAGCTTTGTGCGCAAAACATGAACAAGGGATCCATGTTTCTAAGACAAAATAAGCACAACTTATTTTATACGGAGCGGGCTAGAAAATAAGCACAAATCTTAGAAATGAGCACGATATGGTAACCTTGTGTGTAGCTGCCCTGCAAATCAAACCTGCTGTTGCTGTCTATATGGCAGCGTTCAGGGGCCTCTACAGATGAGGCCATTCCACCACTACTTCTAGCTGGGCTGTCTAATCTGACATGTTGGAACAGTTTCAATGGTTCTAAAAACCAAATACAACGTCAATCAATTTTTTTGTATTTTTCATTCTCTAGATTCGATATTGATTCAAAAAGTGCGAAGTTGACAAAACATGTAAGTTATTATTATTAATTGTGCTCTGTCCTGCAAATTTTTATAATTGAAGTTTTATGAGCAATTGCTCTCAGACTGTGATAATGAGATAGTCAGCATTCATGTTAAAAACTCATAGCTCTTATAGTGATTTTGTACTTTAGAATAACACTTTAAAAATAACTTGTTCTATCAAAAAATATATATATGAGGAGATAAAAGTTTGTTGAATGAGAGTCTAGCGCTAAATAATTTTTGGGGCTCCCGAAGTATGCGAACCAAGATGGCGGACATCGGAATGTAATATGTGTACTAGGTTAGGGTTATGCCATAATTTTAGGTATAAATACTACGGGAGGCTCTTGGCTAGTCTTCGAACTGTCTTTAACCCTAACCTGTTACCCATGTTACGTTCGGATGTCCGCCATCTTGGTTCGCATACTTCGGGAGCGCCTAATTTTTAATCCAAGGACTTTGGTTAATGATGCATTAATCAGAATTATGCTTTTTGTGGTTGTGTGTCCTTTAGTAAAGGAGAAGTTATAGCCTAGCAACAACCTCGTTTGTAATACCAGTACTTCCTCGTTTGTAATACCGGTACTTATGTCATCAGAGATGGATCATAGATAAGCAAATTTGTTTCAGCTTTGGCATTGCTTATTACACTATATGACTATAGAAATAATTCTAATCTGTTATGCTAAATTTTATTCACACTTTCTTTTTAGGACTTTCTAGGTCAAGTTTTTTGCACACTTGGGGAAATCGTCGGAAGTCCAGGAAGCAAATTTCAGGCACCATTGAAGTATGTTTTCAAGATTATTTTGATTGATTAAATTCTCAATATCACACATTGTGTGAAGCTTGCTTATGCTTAAGATTATTTAAACAGTGCAATTGACTTGTTTCCCTCTCTCTAATTTGTAATGTAAGGTGACCTATTAGTTGGATTCTTGAATATGCCCATGTTGGCGTGGAAGATCAGGTCCTTTGCATAACAACACCTGATCAAGGGTGCAATAGAATTGGATCGGCAATGTACGGGCTAATAACCTGTTTTAGGTACAAAGTATATCCTTACATATCTGTTTGTCTCGAGTAGCGTAGTGGTTCTCAGACTTTCATGATCCTTAGTCCACTTCTAAAAATTGTCGAAACACTTTGTGGGCCCTGCTTGTCAATAAGAAAAAACTAGTTTGTTTTTGATGGATTTTAGTTATTTTATTCGATATGTTTATTAATGAAAAGCCAAACGAAAGTAAAAGAGTAAGTGCACATGGCCAATAGATTTGAAGAATCACATTCAATTTACTTTAAAATATACAGTCTTCGCAAAAGGTACCCAGTGGAGGCCTCTGCCCGTGGCCCTAAGATATTCTATATGGCCCCATCAGCAGACCGAGGGCCTAGTTTGAGAGTTATGTTAAGATCGAAGGTGGGAGGCTGCACATAACAATTTCTTAAGACATGGAAGGAAATTTAACTCATTTACCCCATTTTATATTTGGTATATTATTGGATACAAAGTGTACCTATAATTAAATCATTTTGAAAAATTGTTGTTTTTATTGAGAAAAACTCCATTTTTTTCACAACGAATAGACCATCGATGTCAAATTCTCAGTGTTTGAAAGGTGTAAGAAGTCGATAGAAGGATTTTAATTTCGGTTTAGATTTTTTTTCTCAAGTTCGAGCCCTACAGGAGCTGATAACTCATCCCAAATTTTGCTTGTTTTTATACTTCCTCAATCACCAACAACACACTTTTATATGACATTCAATACATTTTCTTTAATTTACCATTTGGTTAGAATATTCCTGATATTGTGATGGCAAAATATTAGTCGTTTAATCATGCTGATCGTATATTTGAACATAACTTTCTTATTTCTATTTAACATTATTGTTATTTATAAACTAGGATTGAATCGAGAACAAAAGGAAAGATCATTGTCACAGCTGAGGAATTAGATTCATCTAAAGATGTTGCCTTCATGGAATGGAATGGAAAAAAGTTGGACAAGAAAGATTTGTTCGGGAAATCTGATCCGTTTATGGTGTTTTGTAGATGCAATGAAGACAACAGGTAATATTAAGTTAAGTTACGATAAAAAATTTCAGAAATTTTACATTGCATTTCGAAAAAAATTTTCAATTCCAACTTCGACTCTTAATACCTCTGGGTTGATAGAATTTTGACTCGACAGATTCAAATTCCCAAGAAAATCAATTTTAGTAACAAATACTTGGTTCATTGTGATCAAACAATAAAAATATTGGTGACGTACTATGCCAAGGGATATCAAGTGTAGTAGCAGTGGGATATTGGACGAATGGCCAGAAATTAGTATCTCAAAATATCTCTCTTTTTGCGCAACTACAATTTTTGTGGGCTCTTTTAACCCCACTTGACACTTTTAATGTTCAACCAAGCGATTTTGTGTATTTTCCCCTGTATTTTTCCTTGATTACGAAAACATTTTACATTTAAAAACAAAGTTTCATTCTGTTTGATAATCCAGGCGAATCAACTAAATTTCTTCATGTTTTCTCATCAGTGAATAAAAGGCTATTTATTCTTTCCATTAATTCTTATTACTGTTCTGTACTTTTCAGTTTCACAGTTTGTCACAAGACTGAGGTTATAAAAAATACATTAAATCCAACTTGGAAAAGGATGCAAGTTCCTGTAAGAACTTTATGCAATGGAGATTTGGAAAGAACAATTAAAATTGAAATTTATGATTGGGATAGAGATGGAGGGTGAGAGTTTGTGTCTTCGCTATCATTGCTTTAAAGTTTTTGGCAAAATTATTTTCTCGGTTCTATAGTTTGCACTAACATATGTGCGAGTTACGGTAGTTATCTTGGAATTTCCCCAAAAATGCTTTCTGCAAATAAGTTTGCTCGAATTGTAGAATTCAAGATTATCTGATTTTTCCTCACATTATATTGCAGATTAGACTGAACAAAAAAAGAAAAATACATCAATTTCATACTAATTTGGTTAATTTATTTGATAATTAATGTTGCAAGTCTTATATTTTAAGAAATTTTAAATTCAAAAGATTAGTATAACGCAAGTTATATATCAGAATATAAACATAGATTAGTGTCCTAGTATTATTTTTATTCTCTTATGTAACCATCTCTATTTTCCAGACATGATTTAATCGGAATATTTACAACCAGTTTGAGCAGATTGATGAGAGGACCTTGTATTGAAAACACCTATGAGGTATCAGTACATTGTTGTTGTATAGCTGTTGATTTGCTGTGTCCCATAGTATTATTTCGATTTGATTTTTGTTCTGATGTTGCATTTTCCTAACTACAGTTATGGCTACCGAAATGTTTTAATTGGTTGCTTACAAAGCTAAATTTTCAGTTACGATAAGGGTCACTTTGGTCTTTGATAATTGGTGACTCGAGTCCCAAGAGAGCCAATGACAGGTTTGACCTTTGTCAAGTAATCGTTTTGTCTTTAACTTTGAGTTATTGCTGTCGTAAATTCATAGGTGTGGTATGTTTGTTCTCTTGATTGCTTAGTTTGAATCCTTACTGATTTCCCACTTGATTTGAATTAGTTTCACTTTAATACGATGCAGTTGTATTGATTCACAAATATTTTGTTCCAAAACAAATGTTGATCATTTTATTAATGGTTTGAAATACATCTCGAATCTTGATTATTTATTCATCTAATTCATCATCATTTGTCTATTTGTACTGCTTTTGGATCGTTTTCAAAACAAGAGATTAATAAGATTGGCATTTTCATGGCACATAAGAGGAAAAACTTTTTTGATTTTTTGAAAAAAGGAAGGCATACAAGGATTGTCTTCAATCCTAGGTTAATCACAGAATTTGGGTAAATCAAAGTCAAAATTTAATTGAATTTTTCTATTAAATCTTTATTCTGTACAATGTGGTTAAAAGAGCTGTTGTGAGACGGATTATTGGATGTGTTTGTTTATATGGATCCTTTTGCTAAATTCCTTTTCATTTTACGTAAAAATCGCTTTTCTCTGAAACTAATAGACCAAGCGATTTCAAATTTTCAGTTTCTAAAGATGGTTGATGGTTCTTAACAAAGTCTCCATAAGAATATTCAATTTTTTTATCATATATCTGGAGTTGTTGCCCGATTATTAACTGAAAATTTGCTTTTTGGTTTTATTCCATGGAACCCTTTTTTTTGGAATGCGCAAACACTTTACTGCATTGACTTCTTGATATGAACATATTCAATCGCCATATCAATATAGAGAAATTGAGGGTTTCGGCACAAGAAGTCGAGTATAACTACGGTATGTGCTCTTCCCAGTATATCTGATGAATGAAATTAAATTGTTTTCAGTGCATCAATCCAAAAAAGAAGAAGAAAAAGAAAAGTTACAAACACTCTGGCCTTGTCAATTTACTGAGTTTTCGAATTGAAAAACAACCAACATTTCTTGAGTATATTCGTTCTGGGTAAGACGCTCATTCATGTCATGTGCTCCATACCAGGCTAATTTCTATATAAGGAGCCAATATTTTCAGAGAACAGGAATCTTTTTGGTTCAGCATTTGCCTGCCCAATTTATTACATTCTAAGTGAGGTGAAGGGCTTGGGATTTGAATCCGAGATGTGTAACCTGCGATGCCATCACAGCTAATTTCAAGCTTTTAACCACTAGGCCATTATGCCGACTAAATTTATCAAATATTTGGAATATGTTCTGAATTAATGAAAATAATTTTGTTAGAATATTGACAAGTTACATAATAAATTTATTTATATGACTTGATATGTTTCATTGCCCAATTTAGGAATACACTATTGAACATATTCACCAGATCCAAAATGATGAAATAAATAAAGCTGTTGGTTAGGGGTAATTTACAATAGACTTTGACTGGAATAAAATTATGGCTGTGACTCCAGGCCCGAATTATAAAAATTCTTGACTCGAACTCTTGGCTTTTGGCTATTCAAATTTTGACTCTGTCTCCAGTTTCAACTTTGCAGCAAGCCTTCTTTGATAGACTTTTAACAGACTGATAAAAAAGTAATTCAAAAAAGTAATTTTGATGTTTATTGAGTTTCTATAGAAGATTTGGATTCTTTCATCAAGTCTTGAATTTCGACTTAATGGATCAGAATCTTTTTATGTATTTTTCAGAATATATTAATATTTAATATTGTTTTTCAGAACTGAATTAAGTTTTGTTGTTGCAATCGACTTCACAGCATCAAATGGAAATCCAATGAATCCTAATTCACTTCATTATATCAATCCATATCAACCAAACCAGTATGCTTTTGCAATTCAAGTGAGTTATTATTTATTATTATAAGTGAGTAAATTATTCAATCTCCAAAAAATAATTTCCATCTGCATTTAAAACTGTAGTAAATTATGTGCAACAAACATCTACTTTGTTGTTACTACAAACTCTCGTTTCGTTGTCAATATTTAAGCTTGAATACAGTATCCAAGACACTCGAGTCATTGACGAGTCGAACTAGAGTCAAGTATTCAAAGAATCAAATTGACTTGAGTCATCCGAGCCAAATGACTTGACACCAACTCAGACTCGACTAACCCCCCAGAGAAGCTCAGAGAAAATTTTGGACGAGACTCTGAAATAGAGAAGCATGTACGATTCACTCCGCCATCTAATATTGCATTGAAAACATAAAAAATTCCTTAGCTTGTTGCGGCAATAACTCGCCGATAGGCCATCATGATACCGAGTGTATATATTTTTTAATACATGATTTATCATGCAGAGCATGTTTTATTTTTTGGAATAGCATTGGTTCATTGCGAGATACAAAGTTTGTTTTTCCATTTCCCTGTTGCTTATAAAATAAATCTAACAAATTATCATGTTTCCCGTAACACAAAGTTTATATGTGTATAATTTTCTTTTGCTTTTTCGCTACTGAAATTGATTGGATGTAACTGACTTCGTTACAAATTTATTTTAAAATGGATCAAAGTTTTTATTTAATCCATAGTTTTGTGTAACCAGAGTCAAAAACAGATGATGTCTTGTTATTTTTTGAAACTATTTTGTTGCTTGTATAATTCATTATAAGATTACCTTACCTAGCACTGTTTATCTTATAGCAACTTATCATCTTATTTCTTCAGGCTGTTGGTGAAATTATTCAAGATTATGATACAGACAAGTTATTTCCAGCATACGGATTTGGAGCAAGACTTCCACCTCACGGACAAGTATCTCATGAATTCGCTATTGTGAGTAAATTTTTTCATCAATAGACATAATAGTCTAAATATTCTTGTCTGAAAAAGTGTGATCCCGATGTTAAGAAACATTAAAGAAACTCTTGAATCACATAGAATAATCATTTTTATTGTTGCTTAAGCTTTTTGCAACAATTTATTCTTCATAGGGCTTCATAGCCACAATATTTTTATAGTTTCAGTAATTCTTGGGACTTGAGTGGTTGCCCTTTACTCCACTCGGTGATCAATCTCTGTTATTTCTGAGTGAGTGTGCGTGAGCTTGGTTCGATCAAATTATCTTGATAAAAAATGTATATATTATTTTACGGATTCACCAGACGTAGCACTTAGAAAAGATTGGAAGGTGGTTAGTCTTGTGTGAACTCAACTCTAATAAACATAAACATGGTTTATTTAATATATTAAAAAACTCAAAATACCAAATGTGAAACTTCGGAAAGCCAGTAAAACCTCTATTGGAGCTCGAAGAATACAGTGTGTGTGAGAACCATTTTATTTCAAATATATGTAGAAAGTTCTTTAGTAAAAATTGCTGCTCTCAACTGGTGTTGAATATCACTGATATTGAAAATCAACCGAGTGTATCAGTTGTGTGATTTCAAGCAGAAAAATTATCAAGTTGAGAAGAACTATGAAAAACCTTCACATAATACAGCGATAGGATTGCCATGTTTACTGTGCAAGATGCGCAAGAAAATCAAGTTGAATTCAGTTATATCTGGTATTTCAAATCTTTTTTTTTCATTTTAGATAAGTTTGATTTGAAAAATTATTCTTTTGAGCAATTAAGCCTCACAGTTTGACCAAAAAGGCCATAATTTACTTTCTGAAAACTGTAAAACGCTCAAAACCAGTCATTTGCTTGTCATTTTGTATTTCTGAAACATCCCCATTGAATATACATTGACTTTTCTATGTTATTTATTGTATATGACCCAGATTCATAATATACCTTTGTTATGATGTTACCTTTGGATGATGGTTTCTGTATGTATTAGTTGTCAAAGCTTCATGTCATCTAAAATAAATACACAGACATCAGCAATGTTGAAATAGCAAGTGTAGTTGGTGTAATACCTCGACCACGACCTCATGGATCAGAAGCCGGACTAGAAATCTTGATGTATTATGTTATCAAACTATCTTGTATATTTCTTCACATCACAGTTTGCTTGAATTTTTTTATTCCTAGTTGTCAAGTTGTGTTATTTGTGCATCTGAATGCATATAATCACGTTACGGGTTGTTAATGTAGTTTAAGTGCTTGGATAGAATTAGCAGTATGTTCATTGTCATCTGCAAGCTAGGGTATAAACTTCTGTATTCTGTATTTATAGCCTACTTTGTTTCATTACTGTACAATTGCCCTATGAATTGCATTTTGTGAATATAAAGTGGGGTATGGTTATGACAAGTTTTTTACCTAGTATATTACCTTATTGTCATCTATTATTTTATTTGTTGCTGCCCCATAATAAGATTGGCAGAACAAGTTCAGCTGCATTGTCTTGAGTTGTTTATCAAGTCATTATAGCCCTGAATTTGATAGGATTATTTAATTTAGAATATCGTTTGTTAATCATCTGCTAAGAAAAGGTTTATTCTTTAGTAATTGTTTATTGTAAATATTGTTGCCCAAGATTCTTGCCTTCTCATCTAATAGTCAAATAAGCAAACATCAACTGATATGAATACATGACTGTTCATGTAGAAGAATTCCATGTCTTGTTGATCAGTCTAGTCTAGATAAACAGTAACATAGTCAGCATGTGAAAAGATGCATTCTGTGAGCTTCCGATAACATAGAAAGAATCACTTAATATTTAGCATACAGAGAAAATAATATGATGTATTGCGTAATCTGGTATAAGATTATACTTATCAGGATGAAGTATAATTCTGTGATTTCATTTTTATATACCAAGCTCATTTTGTAATTTATAAAATAAAAATGTCCTGTTTGACTGATCAAAAGTCTTCTGATGTTATCGGATGCGGCAACAGTTCCAGACACTTTGTTGTTAAAGTCGGTGATGAAAGTTTTGATGTTGATCGAGATGTTGTCTCGTCTCATTCTCAGTATTTTGCCGCAATGTTATCTTATGACACTATGGAAAACCAGCTAGGTATCGTAGACATGAAGGAAGTTACACCATATGCAGTTAAACAGTGTTTGGATTTTATGTCTCACAACGGTGAATTAGATATTGCTTTGCGGGATGAACTAACTGCAGGAGACATACTTCATGCTGCAGAAATTATGCAACTACCTGTTCTTAGCCAAATTTGTTTTGAATTTCTAGAAAAGATCCTTCAACCAGATAACTGTATGACTATTTTCAACTTAGCACTAAAGTTCAGCCATCCAATTCTTCAAGAAAAGGCTCATAATAGGCTTGAATATGTCTTTAAAGTTGGAATATCTCAATTTGTTCATTTTTCTGAATCTGAATTCACTGATTTTGTGAATAAGCGATACCAATCTGGTAATTTCAATAAATACAGTCATTAGAAACCATTATTAATTGGATCAAGTATGACATTGCTGACAGAGAACAATTTCTTACTAAACTCTTTGATCGTTTGAAATTAGATATTTTTGCATCGCATAAGTTTCTACGACATCTCTGGAATCACCTTTCTCAAGCCTGCAAAGATGTGATTTATGAAATGATATTTATGGATACGGGAGCTTTTCATTTGAACCTTACCACTGATAATTTTTTTATCATCAAAAAAATTTCTGAAGAATTTAGATTCATACCAAAGCAAGTTAGGAAAAGGCTTGCTGATTTCATGAGGAATAATTTTATTGCTCTTTCTTCACAACCTGAGTTTTTGCATCTTACCGAAGAACATTTTCTAAAGTTATTTTTAAATGAAGAGGATTATTTACCACCAGAAAAATGTAAATGGAATGCAGCTATTCGTTGGGTTGAGTATGACAATCGTCGACTGAGTGTATTGCCCACTATTATGAAGATAATCAAATTTGATTTTCTTTCAAAAACATTCATAGCTACCAATATAAGAAGTGAGCCTTTTGTGAAAGCATCTTCTGAATGCTCCCAACTTCTTATGAACAGAATGTTTATGGACAAGCCTGAACGAAACCTTAAAACATTTATTGCCGTTTTATATTCCGAATCTAGAATTGCTGTTTATGATTGTGCTAATAACACATGGGATGAAATTCCCAATGTTCCAAAAGGATCAACGTCAACAATTTGTTCTTTAAATGACAAGTTATGCCTATTGGTGGATGAGAAATTATATTATTTGAATAAAAATCAAGAATGGATCAGCATGAGATCCAGACATCACAAACTTGATACAAATGATGTAGTCACTGCTTCAGATGACAGTATTTATATCATAAATATGACTCACCGTAATATATCAGAATACGATGCAAATACCGACAGTTGGAATGAAATTTCTCATTGGAATTTACCATATGGGGTCATTGTAACTAGCTCATTCGATGGGTGTCTGTGTTTTTTCAATGGTGGACGTGTAGTAATTATTGATAAAGGCAAGTTGAAATCGAAACAACATAGATCCACTATACACATTCCAATTTATTCAATAAGTTCTGCTGTCTGTTGTGACAGAATAATATATTGTATCTCAAATGATTACCAGATTGGAACTTTCGATCTCAAAACACAAAGTTCCCAGAATGTAAAGGTCATATCGACACCGCAAACAAGTGGATCAAAGCTTTGGTCTCTTATTGTTGATGGAAAATTGGTGGTAGCTAATGATACCAATAATATATATGTCTATGTTGATCTTTGCAAGCAATGGTTGAAAATGACGAGCATACCATTATATGCAGGAAAGATGGATAAGAAGTCAACAATTTTATCTGTATGCTCATTTATCAAATACTCATGAACTCTCCTATTGACCGATAAATTTCAAAGTATTTGTGTCCATGATATGTGGAAGAGACGAATTGCAAGATAGTTTGTGGGCATTATTTTCAAAAATCTCTGACTTGAAATTTCAATACATTTTCTCATTTTGTCTCAATTTTCATAATGTTGTGCAAAAACAAGATTTTCATCACAATCACAATATTTTTAGGATCAGCCGAAATTTTCGTCAGTTTCAAGCATCTGGACATCTGTTTTATTCAAATCTTTTTCCATGTCAATTTCATTTTTTATTGTTCTGAGTTTTTTTTATTATACAGTATGATAAATTAGGGTATTGTACCTGTAGGTATTGAATGAGGTTTCAGTAAGTTTTAGAAACACAAGTTATAGCAAATAGTGCCTCACAGACCTAAATTTGATATGTCAACCGGTTCTGTTCGGTGCTCTTATTTCGTGTTTGCGTATATTAAGCGTATATTGTGAATTATGCTCTCCTCCCTGTATATTCGTTAAAACTCAATCATGAAAATTGTTATGTAATCATTGATATTTACTATATTGGGCAGACCTTTTTTTTTTCATCTTTACTCCGAGTCAGGCCCAGTACAAACAGCAGGTTATCAAGTTTGGCATTGTCTACACCAGGTCCAAATTTGTCGGTTCCGTGGGCCACAAAATTATTTTTGCTTTGTCCGCGGGCCACAACACTGCCAAGAATAAGTAAACAGTGCAATACAAAACAAACACTTTTATGTGCAAACACCTTGATCTGTCATCTGTCAAGCTAACCCACCAAAAAACTAAAAATTAAAACCTGCAAAAGTCTTTATATATCTATTTTCCTCCCACATCCAGTTAAGAATTAGGCTACGGTACTAAATTTTCTGACATATAGGCAGCATTTTTTGTGATACTGTTCAGTCTGGTGGCAGAAAATACCCAGCATGAATTATATTGTTAGGCCATAACATTAATATTTAGTGACAGTAGTGATTTAACGATATGTCAAAAGATTTTTCTGATTAATTTCATGACGAAGCAACACGAAATGCATTTTCCAACTACTCTCCAAATGCGACCCAGGCCACAGATATGGAGAGGCGG